AACAACGATGATTGATGTCACTATAAATCTCCCTCCTCGGGAAATCATGAAGTTGACACGTGCAGTTGTGAGGTCGTTTATCAATTGTTGTTCTTGATAATAATGTGCAAGCCTCCAGGACAGCTGCACAATGCAACGACAAAACGCAGTGGCATCAAGGGGTTTAGTGAAGACATCAGTAGCTTGCTGCACCAGAGGCAACTTCCTCGCCACGGTCCGATTGATTTTGAGTGGAGCCACCTCTGAATTGGTTTCTCAACGGTGAAAGTGACTCATTCCATCTCCAGGTTATATCTCTGCTAGTGTGACGAGTCTGCAAGCTGGATCATCCAGATGGGCTCTTTGTGCATACCGTAGTGGGCGTCCCAGAAAATGAATATTCTATAACTTGATAGCTATGAAATAGAACTGGATAGTGAGGTAGATTGAAGCAAGAAAGTCATGGCTAAAAATGATGGTGGATGGAGATAGATAACCTTCTATAGCAATGAGTGTATATAAAGCTGAGGTAGACAGGGATGAACTACTATTCTGGGGGAAGTTGGGGTTTTATAGAAAGAGCTAACAAAGAAACCCAAACGGAAGCATGAGAGACCAGAAACTCATAAAGCTATCTATGGAGTCCAACAACCCGCGAAACCGTGGTCACTGTACAACTACCCTCTACATTACCTTTCTATTATATATCAACCCCGCTTCTCCCTCTATATAGTGTCGATTCATCTGGAATACAACAGCAAGTTCTAAAATTAATAGTGATATAGTTGCTGCAAATGTAGCTGTCGAGAGGAAGGCTTGTCAAGGAAGACGTCAATTTACATATTGACTACAAGAGTCGGTGAATGAAGAAACCAAGAGCTCTAGGCTATCCCACAGCTCACTCACCAAAGCCAAGCCCTGGTCCTTGCTTCACAGACGATTTATATCTATTTGACAACCTTATCTCCTATGTACCAAGGTCCATTGTTGGATTGATCTTGAATTAGGCTACAATCTAGAGTTGAAGTACGGTCCCCACTTGTTCATATAGTGATCTTTTTTCGTCGATTGGGTTGAATATAGCTCGCACTACGGAGTATGGAGAAAATGAGTAAACATATTATGCATAGCTTTTTATTAATTATTTTTCTTGCGCTTTTGATTTGTCAAATATAAATAAATCGTATTTCTCATGGATAGCTTCCCACTCTATATATATATACCTCAGGTGTTCAAGAGAGTGAAACGGGAAATCAAACCTATAAAAAGAGACAAATATATACATTTTTCAATTATCAAATATCGAACAATTATATGAAGAGTGCATTTAATAAGTTTATGACTTCAATGTTGCTGACACAGTCTGGACTGAGGGTCCAACCTGAAGACCTCCCGAGATCGGGAGTATCACGATAACGAATTTAAATCATCCTTTGGTCAAGCCAATGCTTAATTGAGACTGTATGATTAACCTAGGTAATATAATAATATAATATTTAACAGAATTTAAAGTGAACGGGAGATAGTGGATCTCAAAATATTCTAATAAGAATGAGTAACCTTCCGTGCCAACCTTGGAAGTATATCTTGATCAGCCCTAGAGCTTCTTTGGAGCCGGGACACTCCGATATTGTCTACCTCCATCGGCAAATCCACAAGCATCGGCAGTTTCATTGGTAAAATCCAAACGTTTAGTGTCAGCAGCGCGAGTTTGCCGACTGGTAATGCCTTATCTTACACCTGCTCCAGCCAATCACAGCCACCCATCCCCAGTACCTTAAAAGGTTACTGATAACAGCCAGCAACAGCCAATGACCGACAACGCGTATACCCTCGATGAAAATCTTGGAACCTTTCATCTGCTTCACCCGTGGTCATCACTTGAAATCTCCGCACAACTCTCTATTGGGATGTTGGTTCTTATTCCCGGTGGCGTACCTAGACGGTCCACATCCCTACCATGTGTGCCATGGTATTACGAGAGCATGCTGCTCTTATCTAGCAATCAAAATGCAGCATCCCTATCTAAGCTCAAATCAGAGATCGTCGCGCTGTTTCCTACCTATGGAGTAATTGGTGCGAATTCGGAGCTGGGGTCTGTACTATGCTTCTGATGCTGTGCGTCCGGGTCCTATATGAGGTTGCTATCTTCCGCGTCTGGGGAGCTTGATATTTCTATATCCCAAATCAGTATTGGAGAGTTATATAAAAAGGCGTACTTTCCATATCAATTGGAGCACTAGTCGCTGATTTCTAATTTGAGGCACATTGCCAACGTCTTTTTACATTTATCCCTTGGTTGCTGGCTATAAATCCTTTCGAGTCCCTGGTTATACACATCTACGATATGTCATCCGACGGGGTTATTTTCACGGCGCCTTTGTCCCAGAGCTTTGGATATGGAATTATCCTGGGACTGGGCTTTGCCTTTGCCCTGCTCATGATCTTTATTACCTGGGCTTTGAAACGGTGCGTCTCTATGCTTCATTTAATCCAGTCGCATAAGCTGACAGAATAATTCCATGCAGCTATCAGAATGAAGTCCAGACATCCGAGATGTTCTCAACTGCAGGCCGGTCCGTCAAATCAGGACTGGTTGCCGCCGCCGTTGTTAGTAGTTGGACATGGGCTGCAACTCTTCTCCAGTCATCTGCAGTCGCATACAGATACGGTGTCTCTGGTCCATTTTTCTATGCATCAGGTTAGTTCCCGCTGTATGAGTATGACCTGAAAAGTTCTATATCTGACATGTCGTGAATCAATAGGTGCCACTGTCCAGATTCTCCTGTTCGCAACACTAGCTATCGAGCTGAAACGCCGTGCGCCGAACGCACACACCTTCTTGGAAGTTATCCGTGCTCGCTATGGCACAGTTGTGCACATCGTGTTCATCCTTTTCTGCTTGATGACCAACATCCTGGTTACTGCCATGCTGCTCACTGGTGGATCAGCCGTGATGACATCCTTGACTGGAGTGCCCACCGCGGCAGCCTGCTTCCTGCTCCCGATCGGTGTGGTACTATACACTCTCTTCGGTGGTATTAAGGCTACTTTTATCACGGATTACCTGCACACTGTGGTCATCCTGGTCGTCATCTTCCTCTTCGCCTTCTCCGCTTATGCCACAAACGCCGAGCTAGGATCTCCATCAAAGGTGTATGACGCGCTAGTTGCAGCCTCCCAGCGTCACCCCGTTGAGGGCAACGCGGAAGGCAGCTACCTAACTATGCGCTCTAAGGAGGGAGGCATCTTCTGGATCATCAACCTAGTTGGTAACTTTGGTACTGTCTTCTTGGACAACGGCTACTACAATAAGGCTATCGCCGCCAGCCCCGTCCATGCGTTCCCAGGATACGTGATTGGCGGTATCTGCTGGTTCGCAATTCCCTGGCTATGCGCAAGCACAATGGGTCTTTCCGCACTGGCACTTGAGGGCACGAATCGCATGAGCTCCAACGATGTCACTGCCGGACTTGTGCTTCCCTTCGCAGCTGTCAAGCTGCTCGGCTATAGCGGTGCCGTCGCGACAACCCTGATGATCTTCATGGCTGTAACATCCGCGTTCTCAGCGCAGCTGATCGCCGTCTCTTCGATCTTCACCTACGATATCTACGCGGCCTACATCAACCCAAGCGCCAAGGGCAAGAAACTGGTCTGGATTTCGCACATGTCCTGCATCGTCTACTCGATCATCATGGCCGGCTTTGCGACCGGTCTCTACTACGCCGGCATTGGAATGGGATATCTTTACCTGCTGATGGGTGTGATCATCTCTTCCGCCGTCTTCCCTGGTGCTATGACTCTCCTCTGGAAGGGTCAGAACCGCATCGCAGCAGCCCTCTCACCTCCCCTCGGTCTGGCAGTCTCCCTCATTGCTTGGCTGGTGACCGCAAAGACGCAATACGGAGTCCTAACCGTCGACACCACAGGCTCCAAGTAAGCATTCCCTCCCAACATCATAATGCAAACAAAAATCTAACAAAGCACTCTAGTTACCCCATGCTTGCTGGCAATGTCGCCGCCCTTCTCAGCCCAGTAATCTTCGTTCCACTCTTCACCTACATCTTCGGCCCACAAAACTATGACTACGAATCCATGCGCGCAATCCGCAAAGTTGACGACACAGAAGTTGCCGCCGACGCCCACATCGACCTCGAACAGGTCCCAGGCGAGACGGGTCCCTCGCAAGATGAAAGCGAAGAAGAAGAACGCCTGCTCAACCGCTCGGCACTGTACGCGCGCACGCTGACCGTCTTCATGGCATTTGCCTTCCTGATCCTCTGGCCGATCCCGATGTACGGATCGTCGTATGTGTTCAGCAAGAAGTTCTTCACGGGTTGGGTGGTTGTTGGAATTATTTGGTTGTTCGTCACCCTGTTTGGTGTTGTGGTGTTCCCGTTGTATGAGGGACGGGCGAGTATTACTCGTGTTGTGCGGATGATGTCGCTTGATCTTGTGGGGAAGAAGCCCAAGGTTTACCGGGGCACCAAGGCTGGGGCTGATGATGTGGCTACACCTTCTGGGGTTGCAACGCCCACGGAGAACCTTGGAGAAAAGGATAAGAAGGCCTCGGAGAGGGAGATTTGAGGATCTTGTTGGTGCTACCTTGACTGGTGCTCTTAATTGCGCCTTGGTCTTGGTTTAATATCTTGTTTACGGCTATTTATACCCCTGTTTGCTAGTTTATGCGAATTTGAAATCCATCCACTTTTATTACATATTATGTGTTCCAATTATGGTAGGGGTAGACAGTCTGCGATAGTAAAACAGCATCCTATAATAACCATGTATATTTATTGCAAGGAAGAAAACATGCTAGGCTGACCAAATGGAAAGTTGATAATTCGATAGCAAAGAACAATGAAAGAAAAAAAACAAATTAAAAAGTTACCCAACGCCAAAGGGTAGCCCCGCGATATTAAGCTGGAATATGCGTCTCCTGCTGAACCCTCTTTCTGCCTCACATCCCCGTAACAACTGCTCCGTCTTCATGCTAGTGGAATTTTAACATCTCTAGAGGCTCACTTGTAACCAAGTCCACCCTGTGCTTGAGGCGGAGCCTGCAGAGGAGGCTGTTGCTGCCAGCCCCCTTGGGCCTGAGGGGGCGGCTGGATGCCATATTGCATGCCTGCCGGAGGCCGTGTGTCAGGCGTAATATCAGGCCGGTCACTGATGTAGTCACTGTTAGTATATCCCACCAAGCCGACAGGCTTTGATTATTTCTAGGTGGAGCATACCGTAGGTCTTGGGTGTAACGGCAAGTGTAGCATTGCACCTCCTATACAGTACGTTAACAGCAGACTCAAGACCAAATTGATACAAGCGTATTTACCTTGTACTTGTGCATAGCAAGGGGAATCAATGGCTGAAGCGAGGTAAAGGTTAGATATGTTGAGCTGTTTCTCAAGACGATGTTCAGGCGAGCATCAACTTACAATGAAGCAGACAGTGAAAAACGGCCTTAAGAAGTATTAGTCAATCAAACAACTGGGGTCAGGTATTCTGGGGAAGAAACATACCATCGGGTGATGCAGTGACCATTCCAATGTTGGCCTAAAAGCGGAGAATCAATAAACCATCCGTCAATAGACCACTGACGTCAGAACTTACAGTTGTAACAGTATGCGCGAACATTCTCATAACCCTCGAGTTGAGAGGAGAACTCTGTATTTAGGGTCAGTCTCTCCTTTAATATATATGACTGGGTATATCCGCAGCGTCGACAGCAGGATACCCGTCACTTGATACAACTCCAGGGACAGGGTCCACTCTAGTTTCTGGGTCGTGGGTCGAAACAAGCGACTTACCATGCGTTCCGAACGTGATGCAGAAAGCCATAATGATTGCAAGATTGGGAGATTTCGCGTACAGCTGCTTGAGAGAATCAAGAAAGAGCCCAGAGCTATTTGAGGAATTGAAGGTCGATCAAAGACGAAGGCAGCGGAATTGGGAGTGTGGCGCTGTGGCTTGGCGGGACTTGGCAAGCAACACGTGATGTCATATATAGCGGCTCCTGATTGGCCAAGCGTCCCTGTATAAAAAAGCACATGTGATTATCGATTTCAGCAGGGGCCCGTAGACTATCGGCGAGTATAGATGTATCTTTACTGTAGTGTATGAAGTTTTTACCGAGGGCCTAAATACGGGTAATGGCTTTTTTTGTTATTTTACGTGTTTTGGGCAGATGGGCTTAATTCACTAATGGCTGCTCACCATAGGATAACAGCCCCATAGATCGAATATTAAAAGACAAAAAAAGTCGCTTGAAAAACGTATTTTTCCGGATATCACATCCCCGTCAATGCAGTACGTCGAGCCTGGACATATCAATCGCATTTACTGGGTCTTGAAGAGCAAAATTGCGCAGTGTCCGAGGTAGAAGTAGATGAAGTGCTTCGTCTCTGTTCAACACAAGATTAGTATGTACGTGGTTATCAACATGAGGGATCTGATATAAACAAACCATGGGTAACAAAGCTTCCAAAGTTACGACCAACCACGCAGTGCCAGGTAGCGCCCTTGCGTGAGTCAAACTGATGTATGGGGTTAGATATGCGATCGGGGGCGGGGTAGAATTGGCGAACCTCTTTCTTGATGTATTGCGCAATATCCTATGAATTGTTAGTATCATATTCATATCCAGCAGTTGAGGAATGCGCATACCTTTTCAACTCTGAACTTCTCGGTGGCCTCAATGGCTGAGGGGTAGGTTAGCATTATTTATCCAGGGCGCTCTCGATGTTTCATACCAAGGGCAATAGCCTCCTGCTGCATATCCTCGGTCTAGAAAATGTGTCAGAATTAATTAACCATTGCTTTTTCTCATAAGGGTCCTTACCATGTCAACAGACTTAATCTGCGCTGCACGGAACATTTAGCACTTAGTCACTGGATGCACGAAGGACAAACTTACCCTCCATAGGCTCCTTCTTCTCAGTGGGGGGAAGTGCCATTGTTAGTAATTGCTGTATCAAGAAAACTTCGAAGGGGGGTTTGGTGATGCGATAGAAAAGAGACTTGGGAGTGCAACTCGCGATAACGTGGAGCAGCCCGCAACTTTATTGCCGGTAGACGAATCACACCGCCCGCCAACCAGACCGCCCGCGGCACTATGAAAGAAGAAAAAAAAGTTTTTCTCATAGAAACTTCGAGTCTTCACACTCACCACAAATTTCCAAAATGGAGAGCACAAGAGTGTTCGTGGGTGGTCTCCCACCAACATGCTCCAATGATCAGCTTAAGAAACATTTTGCAACTCGCTTCCAAGTCACCGATGCTCATGTCCTACCTAAACGTAGGATGGGGTTCGTTGGCTTTAAGAGCCATGAAGCAGCCCAGCAAGCTGTGAAGCACTTCAACAAGACATACATGAAGATGTCAAAGATCGCTGTAGACATCGCTCGTCCGGTATGTCAATTCTCAGCTTTTTTTGCTTCAGCCACCATCCTTTCGCCTGTGCACGCTGACCAATTAAGGTGGTCTTGAGACTGACCCGTATTATTGCAGATTGATTCAAATGACGCTGAAGATGCTCACCCCACACGAAGACGTGATACCACGAATGATAATGATGCATCGTTGGATAACAATCTCAAACGCAAGAGGGATGGCGAGAACAAATCACAAGACCCTAAGCTACAAGAGTACCTTTCGCTTATGGGATCGTCAGCAAAAACTCGGACATGGGCCAATGATGATGAAATGATCAAGCCGTCTGTGGACACTGTTCCCGTTATTAACCAGCCCGCACAGGAAGAAGAAATTCAGGAGTTGCCTTCACACCGGAAAAAGGCGAAGACAGAAAACCCCCCCATGGTGCCAGAGGCTGAGCAGCCTGAGCCTATGGCTATTGACAATAATGAGGAAGAGGAGGCTCAAGAAGCACCAGAACAGGACAACTCTGCGGAGCCTGAAGTGGAGGCTGCACCTTTGTCTGATGCAGATTGGCTCCGGTCGAAGACAAGTCGTCTGTTGGGCCTTCTCGATGAGGAAGAGCAAGATGAGTTTGATCAACACAAGGCTACCGCGCAGACTACTGCGCCGACCAAAGCTGCCTCACCACCTGCCTTGACTCGTGATGAGTCGCCGCAGCGTGACGAGGAATCGCGCACTGCGGCCATTGAGAAAATTGCGCCCAACACGACTGACGTTGACAGCATCACCGAGGCAACACCGGAAGATCCGAATATTGATCTTATTCGGAACTCCGCCCGTTTGTTCCTCAGAAATCTTGCATACGACACAACGGAATCGGATCTCCAACCGATTTTTGAACGCTTCGGAAAAATTGAAGAGGTTAGTAATTTTTTTTTTGCTTGTCAACATTGCCCCACATTTCCCAACCACCGGCTAGCTGGCTTTCCGCCTGCTAGCTACGAGTGCTCGTATGATGACTTTCCCGATAGGGACATCTGATGCAAATTGCATATGATGTTACCAGGACAAGATATTTTAGTAGATGCTTCTTGACTATCTGAAAGAGCCAACTCAACCCCTTTTTTGCACATTCACACATTCGCACATTATATTCAATGACATTGAGTACTAATTGGATATAGATTCATATTGCCTTTGACACCCGCTCCACAACAAGCAAGGGCTTTGCTTATGTGCAATACTCCCATGCTGATGCGGCCATTGATGCTTACCAGACCCTTGATGGAAAGCATTTCCAGGGTCGTTTGCTCCATATCTTGCCTGCTTCTGCGAAGAAGACATACAAGATTGACGAGTACGAATTGTCAAAACTTCCTCTCAAAAAGCAAAGGGAGATCAAGCGGAAACAAAACGCCGCTGGGTCTTCATTTAGCTGGAACTCCCTGTACATGAACGTGAGTTTTCTTTTTTTATCATGAATCAAAACATTGAGACTAATTTCCATATAGGCCGATGCTGTGATGTCATCAGTGGCTGGAAGGCTTGGAGTCTCAAAATCCGAATTACTTGATCCTACGTCTTCAGAAGCCGCCGTTAAGCAAGCACATGCTGAAACGCATGTGATTCAAGAAACGAAAGCATACTTTGCCTCGAATGGGGTAAACATTGATGCTTTCAAGCAGCGAGAACGTGGGAATACGGCTATTTTGGTCAAGAACTTCTCATATGGTGTCACGTCGGCGGAACTCAGGGGTCTGTTCGACCCGTATGGCAAGATCATCCGACTCTTGATGCCACCGAGTGGCACCATTGCTATCGTGGAGTTTGCGCAACCCGATGAGGCCCAAAAGGCTTTCAAGGGCATGGCGTACCGCAAGATGGGTGATTCCATCTTGTTCCTGGAGAAGGCGCCGAAGAATTTGTTCGATGGTTCAGCAGTTCCACGCGCACTTGCTCCAGAGACCCGGGGCAAGGATCAAGGATTCTCAACTGCAGACACATTTGCCGCAGACGAGCCTGATGACAGCGTAGCAACCACAACACTCTTCGTAAAGAACCTCAACTTCTCAACCACCAACGAGAAGTTCTTGGAAGTGTTCCGATCTCTGGATGGCTTTATCACCGGTCGCATCAAGACCAAACCCGATCCCAAGCGACCAGGGCAGACTCTCAGCATGGGATTCGCGTTTGCGGATTTCAAAACCAAGGCTCAAGCCCAGGCTGCTCTTTCAGCTATGAACGGTTACAAGTTGGATCAGCACGAACTTCTCATTCGCGCATCCCACAAGGGCAAGGACGCCGCCGAGGAGCGGAGACGCGAAGATACCGCGAAGAAGGTTGCAGCGCGCAGAACCAAAATCATTATCAAGAACTTGCCTTTCCAGGCCACAAAGAAGGACATCAGATCCCTATTCGGAGCTTACGGACAACTTCGGTCTGTGCGTGTTCCTCAGAAGTTCGATCACACTGCTCGTGGTTTCGGTTTTGCAGACTTTGTAAGCGCTCGCGAAGCGGAAAATGCCATGGACGCGTTGAAAAACACGCATCTCCTGGGGAGACGATTGGTTTTGGAGTTCGTGAACGAGGAGGCCGTCGATCCCGAGGAGGAGCTCGCGCGCCTAGAGAAGAAGGTAGGAGAGCAGTTGGACAGGGTCAAACTTCAACAGCTTACTTCTGGCGCCGGGCGCAAGAAATTCACTGTAGGAGGGCAGGAGGAAGAGTGAAGCCCTCGTCCCTTCTCCCTGTGACAAGGACACGGCCATGGATTGGCTTGTTAACACCCCTTGCAGGGAAAAGGTGGATTAATGTACCATGTACGATTACTTGCATACTACCATAGATACAATATGGCAATTAAAAGATACCCCGAATACTTTTGAACACGTTCTTTGCGGCTGTCAATTAGCCTGCAGTAGATCCGTCCCTCGTGCGTCTCGTGCCCTCTTGATCCAGGCGTAACTGTAACCCTACTTTACCTTACAGTGCATACTACACCTTTTTTTCCTTCCCCACAACTTCAGTTAAACTGCCTTGGATTGCAGGGTCATTTTACCTAATGTAGCTTACTCTTTTGATGGTACGCAGGACTATCATCAACAGAGATCAGCCAAGCCTGCATTCCGGTGGTGATCTCTGTTGATGGTCGAGCATTCCACGTCCCGTGCGAGAAGACGATGCCGTTGGACCACCAACATTCCTGCGACGCGATGATTGCCACTGATTATTGTGGCTTTTTGTTGATGCTGGTCCGAGCGATGGATTTTGAAGGTCACTTCGTGGTGTACAAAATCTCCGACCCACTGATCACTGGTTCGTGCTGCTGAGCATCCCTTGCATCCAGGACAACTTCCTTCATATCGAGCCCTGTCTTGACTCCTGATTTGCTGCGGCAAGGTCGGCTTACCGTCGTCCTTTGGTCCTCTGCTCCCCACACGGCCTGGATGTACGCAGGCCAGGACCGGGACCTGCCCAGGAGTATGGACAAGGCGTTCGAGGGACGTCGGCCAGGCAAAGCAGACCTGGCGGAACAATGTTGCTACTGGGGCTACAGAACCCCTCCAAAGGGGAGTTATGGTTTCCTATAAACTCCATCTTGCTCGCTCTCACATTCTCTTTCCCAGGTTCTTACATTCTCTTGACATCTTGCGTTCTTTGGGTCGTTGTTTGTGACTGAGCTGCGTTCTTTGCCTGGCAGTAAGCATTCGACGGTGCCTCTCAGTCCCCCTCCTCATCGGAATCTGTCATTCTTTTTGAGAAGCCCGTCCTTTGTTCCTTCCCCATGGCTCTTCAAAATACCACTGGGAATGTCCAGTCTTATTCAGACCAGTTGGCCCATGCCGATATCGCTGCTCGTGAGGATCAGCTCCATCAACTTGGCTTCAAGTATCCTCATGCCCCTCATCCTGCCCAACCCTTGTCGGCGTCCGGCTTGCATCAGCAGCATGTAGCGGCTCGACTTCATCAACGGAAGCTTCGCAGGCTGCACTCGGTTGGGCCCAACTCTCAATCTCGCCGGGCACGCAGCAGCTACCTCAAGTCCCAGAAGTACTTGGAATACCGTGCTCGCCCTCGCCGTGATACTGGGAAAGATGGGGAGCCGGTGTGGTCTGATGAGCTGGAGGACGCTTTCCAGCAGGGTAGGTTTATACCACCATAGTGATGTATTGACCAGAAGCTAACACCCGATTCCAGCCCTTGAAGCAAACCCTCCCATGGGTCGGAGAAAGTGGTCTGAACGGGGCAAGTCGTATGGTCGCAACGAGCTGATTGCCGAATACATCTTCAAATTGACCGGCAAGCGGAGGACTCGCAAGCAGGTCTCGAGCCATCTGCAGGTCCTTGACTCTTTCCTTAAGGGCGATCCCGATTGTGAGTTGTCAAATATGAAGGATGACTACATCTTCCTTTTACTAATGCGGTATGTCAGGGGAGCGACTTGTCCGTGAACCATCACCAGAGCGATCATCGAGTGTGCATGGCTCAGCACCCGCTCCCAAATGGAGAACAGCAGTGGAGCATCCTTCGTCTAGCCACTACGGTAGCCAAACGCACCCCTCATACCATGACCACATGAGGTCTATGCAACCATACGCTGGAGACCTCCCGCCACCACACTATACCCTTGGCTCCAACAATATGCAGGAGGCCACTGCTAGCACCATTCATGGCTTTAGCTTTGATATGTGGGTCAGCGCTCCTCACCAGGCTAACCGCATCGACAAGGCATTGCATGCGTACACTCGTCTACAGGGTGATTTGCACCACCCCGGTGCACCTCCCATGCCCCTTGAGCATTTGAACGGGTGGAGGTCCTCTTTCCCTCAACTGGCTTCCATGGTAGATGACATCAACAATCCCCTGGACTGTGATATCATCTTGTTAGAAGTCAACCTTGAGCTCATGACTGACTTCCCTCCTACTGGATCACGGCTGGGAATCCAGCTCGACCTTGACTACGGCCACCCAAGTGCTGGTGATGTGCTGGGGGTCAGCCAAATGGACAACTGGACTTGCAGCACACATATCTACGAAGATAGCCAGAAGATCGTGGAGAGTTACCACGACCTGCAAAAACCCCAGTCGACCAAGGTCAAGCCTCTCTTCGAATCATCTTGGTGGGCGAATACCTTCACACAGTTGACCCAAGAAAAGCGTATAGCTGAGGACTCGGGGAACCCCCAGGCTGCTCGCGACGCTGACGACCACACCCGTCACTTCTTCCACTCATTGTCTGCAGTACAAGAGCTCCGTGCCACATCGCCTAGCTCTCACCGGCTGTCGAACCAATACCAAGGTCACAGCGGTGATGAGAGCAAGCGCATGGCCGTCCTGGCCTGGAAGTTCCGACAAACCCGGCCCGGCGAAGTTGGCACCACTACTTGGCGACGACTGATTCCGGCGCCGGACCGGACTACAACCAACAGCCCCCGCCCAGTCTCCGGGGTTGATCTTCCTCCCCTCTCCCTGGATTCAATCCTTCTCAGTAAACCATCCCACCAGGGTGTCTACCAAGCCCCTCAGCCCCATGACCTCATCCACCACCCGAGCCAATCCCACTCGCAATGGCCTATGTACCAATCACCCCACGACAACGTGGCTAATCTATTTAATTCCTCCGGTCACCTCGACTTCATGACATCCATCAGCAAAGCTGAAGACGGACTCAACGACAGAATCGCTGTCACCTCCGTGCTGGACTCGTTCTCCACCAGCCTCGCACCCGAGAGCATCACATCCACAAGCCTGCACGGATCCAGCGGAGCACCAGTCATGCTCAACGTGCACGACCTACCGCTCTCCCACCAAGGCATGGGCTACACAATGGGCCACGAAGCATCCCACTACGTGCCATCTCAACAGCACAGCGTGAACATGCACGACAGCAACAGCGTGTCACACGGCTTCTTTGGCTCTAATACACAGCTGCTTGATGATCTCAGTCACGGCCAGGCCTCCTGGGGTGCGCACTCCACTTCCATCCCCGGAGACGTCGGCGCTGGCAGCTACCACCTTCCTTACCAGCCGGAGCACCATGGACACGGACCCGTGTCGCGTGAGTCGCAGCAACCACATCATTTCGACGGCCTCTTGCCGTCGGAGGACCTAATGGACAAGATCGTCGGGCGTATGTCCAATGGTCCCAGCATGCATGGGGCGGGCCCCGATGCGGGCTACGATCACGCCACAGGGGATGCGGTATAACGACATATTTTACAAAAAACTAAAAACTAAAGTAATGATAATCATTCTGGGAGTGGTCTTTTGTATTTTTCTGTGATTTTCTTATTTTCTCTTTATCTCTTTTCATTTTCAATTTTTTTTTTTCATTCATTTTTTGTCTTTCTTTTTGTGATACAATTGGGATGGGATATCAGGGAATGTCTTAGGTGGCGTTGAGAAAAAAATACTTTGGAATACTCTTTGGAATACACTTACACTTGGAATAATGGGAATATCATACCAATCACCAATCACTCTCTTCTATTTGGCTATTATAATCTCCGAATATTAATGATATTTCCCTCTGTCGGCTAAACTGTCCCAATCGAGTAGAATCAACCACTTTAGCCGCAAAACAGTGGGGCCATTCTGGGGATTCACCAGCAACCGCAGCCAAAGGGAGACCAATTGAGCTATATTCGGTTGATTTAGCCTGGACCTTAGCATTTTGTCCCTGGATCTTTTAAATGATACTAGGCGGGGTCATTTATATACCCCTCCTTGCCCCGATTTCTTGTCTATTTCCTCGTTAGATTTCTCTAAACTACATTCACAATGGTTGCCCCTACTGTCAAGCTTAGCAACGGCTATGAGATGCCCATTGTGGGCTTCGGCCTCTGGAAGGTGAACAACGACACTTGTGCCGACCAGATCTACAATGCTATTAAGGCTGGCTACCGTCTCTTCGATGGTGCCTGCGGTACATTCTCTCTTCCCCAAATCATGCCCTAATTGACACTAACACCATTAATCCCAGACTACGGAAACGAAGTCGAAGCCGGCCAGGGTGTAGCCCGCGCCATTAAGGACGGACTCGTCAAGCGCGAGGATCTCTTCATCGTCTCCAAGCTCTGGAACAGCTTCCACGAAGCCGATAAGGTCGAGCCCATCGCCCGCAAGCAGCTCGCTGACTGGGGCGTCGATTACTTCGATCTGTACATCGTGCACTTCCCCATTGCCCTGAAGTACCTCGACCCCTCCGTACGCTACCCTCCTAGCTGGACCACCGCCGAGGGCAAGATCGAGTTCGCCAACGCACCCATCCACGAGACCTGGGGCGCAATGGAGAGCCTCGTTGACAAGAAGCTGGCTCGCAGCATCGGTGTCAGCAACTTCAGCGCCCAGCTGCTGATGGATCTGCTCCGCTACGCCCGCGTCCGCCCCGCCACCCTCCAGATCGAGCACCACCCCTACCTCACCCAGACCCGTCTTGTCGACTACGCCCAGAAGGAGGGCATCGCTGTTACTGCTTACTCTTCTTTCGGTCCCCTGAGCTTCATCGAGCTTGACCTTAAGCACGCTAAGGATACTCCCTTGCTCTTCGAGCATGCTACTATTACCGCCATTGCTGAGAAGCACGGCCGTACCCCTGCCCAGGTCCTGCTGCGCTGGTCTACTCAGCGCAACATCGCTGTTATTCCTAAGAGCAATGACCCTACTCGTCTCGCTCAGAACTTGACCGTCACTGATTTCGACCTCGAGACCAGTGAGCTTGAGGCTATCAGTGCTCTGGACAAGGGACTTCGTTTCAACGACCCCGTTGCTGTAAGTTTGGTTTCTGCGGAGTATTGACTATTAATACTGACTATTTTTTTTTTCTTTAGTACGGCCTTGGAATCCCCATTTTCTAAGCGTGTCCAGACTCAAAAGCCCGGGAGACGGAAGAAATTCCGTGTCCGCCGTGTCCGGAGAGGCAAATCCTCCGCGATATTATGACGATTTTTATGCCTTGGATAAATTAAATAAAACTATCAATTCAATTTTTTTTAAAAACTTCAGGTCTCCCATACTAGTTAGAGTGGCAGCATCCAAGTACTAGAACGTGTGTTAATAGCCAATTCCGCCAAGAAGTGCCGATCTCGACGATCCGCGATTTTTCTCCAACTCCGATGTCTCCGTCAACTTCAACTTCCCAGCAACACAAATCTCATAATGGTGTCCCCTAGTCTAGCGCGCATGACCGGGCAGGTTCACATAACCGGATATCCCATGCCAAAGAATCTATCCGAAAGCAAGCTCCTACTGGCCGCGCTCCAGAAATTCGGAGAAGTATTAACATACCGCAACCTCAAGGTACAGCGCCCTCTCCTAATTCCCATTTGGACAAGCCCTGATCTAACAATACTCTTAGTATGACACAACAAACACCTCACTAAACCCCAACCGCCCCATCGTCGCGATCTTCGAGACAGCCGACGCAGCAGACCGCGCGATAGCAGCTTCGCCCATAACCATTCCCCTACCGACATCCCCCTCCACCTCCACCTCGACCTCTAAATCTCGCCCTTCAATCTCTACTCCCTTCACATCAGTCAATTCACCCTCAAATACCCCGCGCTCACTGACCCTCGAAATCCAACACTCGCGCCATAACCACGCCTCCGCTCTCAAGCGCAGCCCCTTCTACTCCACCTACAACCTCTTCAAGAACAACCCCATCTACGAAGACCTGATCAGCGACGAGACTGGTATCCCGCTCAAAGAACTGGCGGATACACTTTCGAGCAAGAAGTATCCTATCGGCGCTGGCGTCAAGCTTAATATTCAGGAGGAGAATCGGCGCATGGGCGCGACGAGTTTGGTGAACATGTGGAAGGAGGGGATGGGGATGGAGATTGAGGGCGAGAATGAGGGGCAGGATTCTGGTGAGAATCCATTTGGGATTGAACCTGTCGGTGCTGGTATTAGGGAGCCTGGGGAGGGATTGGAGGATGAGAAAAAGCAGAATACGGTGATCTGAGTTGGAGACTGGGTTTGGCCTTTTCTTGTTGTCTACATGGTGACTAGAGAGGGAAGAACCTTTTTTTTAATTCTGGACTGCAGCGGCTGAAGCCGGATCAGCAGATCCAGTCGAGGACGTGCTCCCTTTTGAGGACAGCTACATTGGCTGTGGGCTGAAGGCGCAGATCGAATTCCCCTCTTGGAATCAACCTCCACAGCCGCGGGTTACTTTGAACGACTTGCAGGCAGAACCGGTCTTCTTGGGGAAAATCGTTCCCCGATCTGGTTTGTTGGCCATGACCATCCCAAGCTTCCTCGGTTCACGGCGTCTACATGGCCAACATGGATCATCTGCTGGGTAGACTATATCACCAAAATGTCCCTAGTGAGTGACTCAATTGGCCTGCCAGATCACCAGGCCGGTCCCGGTGACCGCGAAAGGCATCGAACGTCTACGAATGGGAGGACCATGCGATCGTGACAGCCAACTACATGTATACACAGTTCGGTTCTGTACAAAATGAGAATGACACTTCTCATCTCTCCTAGGTCTATCCTTCGCCTTTCACCAGGTCTTTTAGTGGCAGGTAGTTTCTTACTTTCTAGAATGTCATTTAGATACTTGCTACATAGAGTTGAAATTGTCTAATGAGAACGTTGGAAATTGATCAAGCTACCTAGGTAGAAACTCGGGTCGATCCCGTCAACATTGGTTTCCTCCTCCTTCATTCGTTCTTCAATATTCCGTGATCCTTGTTCCCGCTCATTTCGCACTGCATTGACGCCTTCACCTGCAATATCACCTTCACAAGTTCACAATTGCGTCAGTCTTTGGGTTCCCAAGCAAGCTCATATCCCGCATTTGGTACCAATTTCCGCAGACAATGCTATCCCTTGTGAGACTGCTATCCCGGGCGCAAGCGTTCGGTTTTGTTGCCCAGTCTTCATCCTTTTCGCAACCTTGCGGTGTCGAAACCGCCTCATCAGGAAGCAGATCAACTGGCTAGAGAGACTGATTTGACAGGATCCCCTAGACCCGGGCATACATCACGGGCGACGGCGACGTAATAGAGTGGGATCGTCGTACGTCACCCGCAGTAAATGATATAGGTAGATTTCGTCGACACTGAAATGAATCGATCGTGTTTTGAACTCGTGCGTCACAATTGTGATTCTGTGGGTAAACGCCCGTGTATGCTCGGAACCGTGCCGCAGCCGATATATGGAAACAGCTTGAAAATCCAATGGAGCATTTGCTGTTGTTGAAAACTGTGTTGAACATGTATCTCCCATTGCAGGGTGCGCATCGGGATTTGAGCCTAATGTGGTCTCTCAAACGACTTTTGCAGAAAGCCCCTGTCTCGAACGAGATTACTGCCTGCCTTATGTGGGCACATCTGAGAGCGTTTAGGAGCGCTGAATGAACAGGATACGGAGACATTCAAGCAGCGACAGGTCATCTCCATCGCCCGCAGCAGATCACGTCACCAACAGCTGTGCGGCTTGACAGCACAATCTCAAGATCAGACGCGTCTGGTGCATTGCTGACCACAGAGGCAATACTACCAATGTCCCTATGCCGCAGACTAGACATCTTCCTCGCTCATCTCGCTCGGTACTTGTGCTTTGCGGAGACATGCTTCAAGTACATGATGATATCTTGGGCATCGATGGAGGGGAACTTGAATTGGCACAAGTATGGAGTTGCAGGACTTTCAGGATCCCTTCACGACGGAGGGATCTTGAACTGGCACGTATTCATGCAAGCTATGTGGAGTCGAAGTACTCCACAGGGGCTCTATACATACGGCTTCAGGGACGACAGAGGGTAACTAATGATCGGCGCTTGCCTTAAGCTTCTGGCGGAAAAGGTCTCCCAGATCTCAAATAAGACATCCTTTCCGTCACTCAACATCGGGGAGTCAACCATCACTTTTCAATGTCGGCCTTGTATCATATAAGCGGTGTTTCATGGTTGTTCACAAACCCCGTCCGCAGTCACAAGTTGAAATGCAACTCGCCTTTCCCACAGGCCTTAGATCTTGAACTGTTGTCGTTGATCAATCGTAGCGAAGTCGACACAGAATGTAAGTAGTCGTGTCGCTGATTGCTTATAACTGGCTCGCGATATCTCCGACGTGTAGATATGGTAGCGTCGCATTGATTCGCTTGAACGTCATATAAAATGTAAATACCCGGACTGGTACTTCCTTAGGCAAGTATGAGATACTATGCCACAGTGTTGGAGGCGCATCTCTGTTGCGAAGTGAGATGTCATATGTATAGGATTGGCCGGCGGCGGCGGTGGTGACCTATAATATGACAAACAGTATTAGTGCTGAACAGTGCCTGGCATGAGATAGCCAACTCACGATGAACCACGTTCTCTAGGGAGTTCTGAGGTTGGTTATTGCCTGTGTCCCTCGGTTTTCCTCTTCCATTTCCTTTGGCTTGTTCGTATCCTGATTTTTGTCCCCTGTCACCTAGCAATCCGCGGCTTGAATGACCTGGTCTTTGCAATGGAACCAAGTCTTTGATGCACGGAGATATCTACATGTCTATAAAAGACAAAGTAGGAAGGGGAAGCAAGATGGATGTAGATTATGAGTCTACCTTCCACTATGAAGCTTTATATATGCTCCATGATGACAAAGAGAGAGGTCTGTCATCTGTTTGTCATCTACAGGCCACCAAGCAAACAAAGCTTCATGGCCTTACTGCATGAATGCCTGAATGCATCAATCTTTGCTGCATTGACTAGAATGCCGTGGACCTTAGGGTGTTGATAGGCTTGATTTTATCAACTTGGATGGTGGCGCCCAAGGCTTATTGAATGCATGTGGTAGTGATTTCAGCATGCTCAAGGGTCTTGCTGCTAGGACAAGATGATATTAGATTATGCGACATGGAAGTTGACAATGGAACGTCTACCGTGACCACTGAGTGTAGATGTGAGACAACTTACCTACTGTAGTCTCAGCGATGGCTGACGGCCTGCATTTTTGGAAGGTGGCTTTGTATGCCTAACTACTTTCTTGTTATGGAATCTGGGCCTCTGCGATAGAGAAGTGATCGATGGTCTTTTCCAGGTGGAGGGATTCGTTGATTCAGAAGTCTGGACACCGTGAAGCCTCGAGACACCGGCGAATGTATACCAAAACTGGGACCATCATCGGCAAGCATAATCGAATTCTCTGGCCTCTCATAGTCTTTGTCCTCGAACTGTGTTGCTGAACCCCCAAATATAGGTGGAGTGGCTTCATATGGCTCGAAGAAAAACGTGTGTCGATTGGTGGTGGCATTGCCAAATTGCCTTTGGCAAATATAATCACTCCCCCTTGCTCCACAACGAGAACCAGCCCCGTCCCGACCGGAATGGGCGGTCCGTTTCCCTTCCCAAGAGTCTCCAGAGACAGATCTGAGTAGCACACCATCGCCAGCTCAATCACCAGGCTCGACGGTGCAGATTCTTGTTGATTAGTAGGGAATGTGATGTATTTGTGGAGCACAACGAGGGAGATGGATGAGGTGGCCGACTCGCAGATCGAAAGATATTCAGCAATTTGACGTTTGACTCTGGTTCTGCAGTTTGCACATCTTATCATACGGCACACATGTCCCTCTTCTCGTGAGCCATTCGGGTCACCACATTTATAATCGGCTGCTGGGTAACTGAGAAGGTATGAGCATCCTCGACTTTGACCTTGGCTTCTTAAAGGGAGACAATAAGGAGATAGCTGCCACGGACAGGGAAGGCACGGGGAAGGCACGCCTAATGAGCTTGCCTTGAAAGAGTTCCGACCGAATTGCGCCACAATATGCGGATTGTCCTGGATGTCTGAGTAATCTGACGTCGAACAATCGTACCCTGAAGTCACTCACCATAGTGCGGTAGGTGGCTTATTATATATTCCTAGTACAAGTATGCCGTGAATATCGTCCGAAATAGGTCTGATGAGCCAAGGTACTCCACGTAAGATTTGGGATCCTGAAGATGAGCCGCCTAGAATGGACAGGTGCTTGGAGAGTTTTCGACAAATGCGTTATCAAGCTGAGTAGACTCAAAACCGAGGGGCCCCGGCTCTCAAAGGCTGACTTGAGGTCGTCCGTGGATATGAGTTGGTATGGTTCTTCAAAGAAGGAAGGGAGATGGAGGAGAGGTAGGAAGACGAGGGAAACCTTGGGGAAGTTCTAACGTTGCCTATCAAGGTAGACAAACATGACGTTATGTTGAGACCGCATTTCTGTCTCAGATGGATAGGACCTTGTACCATACTTGTTTGATCTTCCTTCTTCTCTGTCTCTCTCTTAGGAGCTACCTCAATACAACTAATGGGTTTCTTTTCCTAACATAATCTTCCTCTCGTTTACACGGGAATTTGAATAAAAGAAAACAGGTTAAGAACTCTATCTACATAGATAGCTAAAGACTGTAATTTAGTAAATATAGAACAGCCGATGGAAATGGTTGACCGATATGTTAGAGATCAAAGAAAGGAAGAATTATATACAGCTGAATTCAAAGACTGGGGTTTTAGGCATGCGCCAAACAAAGAACGCCGCCCTATTTCAGGGTTTGTCTTCAAAATCCGAGTGCTGGGATACGGCGTTTCCCGGGTATTCGATAGCTACAGAGCACGTTGTACTGCTAACGGAAATAAACTACTTCGTATCCGTATAGGCTTTCGCGTTAACTTTGAAGCCTCGTCTAGGATCTGAAACTGTGGAGGGGATCATGAAAGCTTCATAGACTAGCCCAGAAGCAGATGATTTCCGCAAAAGGGGGGAGTGGCAGTGTCGTGTCTTGGGGGACCTCTTGGCGCACCTAAAAATATGGTAGCGCCAAGACCCAATTTGGCGCTCGTGACACTCCGCGCCAGCGGAAACCACTTGGCGTGTTACCCCTTACCTAGGAGAACTGGCATTCATAGTACTTCTTCAGCCTAAACATGTCGGCAATCTTTCATGTTTTCTGCGACTGTAAAGATTGTTTTAGAAGATGTACAAGTGCAGAACTTATGCCTCCTCTAGCCGCCTACCCCGGGTACACCGGGTAAGGGGGGTCTTGGCATTACCGCACTCTCATTTACCAAAGGAAAATTGAACGCCAAGCGCCTGAAAACTGGGCAGTGCTGAGAATAGCTGCACCCAGAACGAAGTCAGGCAGCAGGATTGGTTGTGCCAATGTCTTGGAATATCACTCTGTACATAATCCCGCCGATACGGCGCCTGTCTGCCAAGTGGCTGGTTTCATCGTGATGATTCGATATAACCTGACAGGTTCCATTGTTTCATTGCCCTTTTGTTCCAGGAGATGTACTCTTATATTCTCCTCCTAATCTCAATGCACTTAACTTCTGCTCTCCATCTCTCAGTCCCATGCATTTCTTCCGATGTCGGTCACCGCTCGGCTCGCGTCAAATGAGGCCTGTGATTATGTCTAGGTGGTTAACCACCTTTTTGGCCTGCCTTCTAATACAAAATGTCCTCGCAATTGAGGTAAATCCTGAGGATGAGAGTGGGTTTATATTCTGCGCTGGCCAAAAAGCACCTCAAATGACTGACATGTACCTCTCCCAATAGCCTCCCTCAAAAATGCCGCCAAGACCGTCGCCACCACCATGATGGATTTCTACAATGCCCGCGACTCGAAAGATATTCCGGGAAAGATGGACGATACCTGGTGGGAGGGTGGTTCGATGTTTATGACCCTCATCCAGTACTGGTATTTAACAGGCGACAGCCAGTTCAACGACGCCATCCAGGAAGGCATGTATTGGCAAAAGGGCAAGAACGACTTCTTCCCAAGCAACTACTCCCAATACCTGGGTAACGACGATCAAGTGTTCTGGGGGTTAGCGGCGATAACCGCCGGAGAACTGAACTTCCCAGAAAGAGATGGTGAAGCCTCATGGGTTTCTCTGGCCGAAGGTGTTTTCAATGGACAGGTTCCTCGCTGGGATATGAAAAATTGCGGTGGAGGGTTGCGATGGCAGATCTGGCCTTACCAGGATGGGTATAATTTGAAAAACGCCATCTCCAACGGCGGATTGTTCCAGTTGTCAGCGCGTCTGGCACTATACACTAAGAACGCGACCTATGCCGAATGGGCCGAGAAGATTTGGGACTGGAGTGCGACTACACCGCTGTTGAGGAAAAACTGGGTTATTGCCGATACCACTACTAACGCTGCGAGTTGTAAGGATCATGGTGATCATCAATGGACTTACAACTACGCTACGTATATCAACGGTGCAGGCTATATGCACAACTACGCACGTCTTTCCCTGTCTAATAACTTGACTATCTAAGCTAACTGATTTATAGACCAATGGCACCGAAAGCAAATGGGTCGAAGGTATAACAGGACTGCTCAAGACATCTAATCAGTTCTTCCCTGACTCTGGCGGGAACCAAATCATATCCGACATAACATGCGAGCCTATCAATAAGTGTGATCGCAACCAGAAAACCTTCAAAGCCTATTTTACCGGCTGGGTCGGTTTCATGTCTCTCATCGTACCGGCCAATGTCACAGCGGAGGTAATGGCGAAATTCAAGGTCTCCGCTGTCGCTGCTGGTCAGCAATGCTCCGGCGGAAGCGATGGGAATCATTGCGGAATCCGTTGGACGAAGAAGGCGGAATGGGATGGGACTATGGGCTTGGAGCAGCAGATGTCTGTCTTGGGTGTTCTTAATGCTGTCATGGTCCCATTCAAGGCAGATGGCCCTTACAATACTGATAATGGTGGCACATCCAAAAGTGACCCAGATGGGGACACCAGCAAGCAGGATAGCTTGGAGCCTGCACCTATCACTACAGGTGATAGGACTGGCGCGGGAATCTTGACTGCGATCTTCGTTATAGTCTGGGCCGGAGCTACATGTTGGATGCTTATTGGAGGCGAGTAGATACACTCAAATGTGAAGGCGTTAAATACATGTATATATTGGAATATTGATACCCTGAAAAATTCAGGCTTTTTTTGTAATATTTTGAGGCGCTAATAGCCTGTTCGCAATTATACCCTTATTGCTTTTTTCTTTCGGTGTCGTGTGCATGGAATAGGTGGGTAGAACACAACATACGAACTCACCATGTAGTAATAATCTACCCAGATGCAATGATTAAGAAGGAAATAAAAGTGCAGGTCTTGAGGACAAAGATAAATAGAAAATTAGTTGCTACATTCTCGGGGATAGTATTATCTAGAGTCGCGTTCGCAAAATTTAAGCGTTGAAGAAATCTTGAGATCTTGATGCCGACTTAATTTCTTCCCTACAATTCTGTGGGGGGCAAAGCCCGGAAAAGATGATAAATATCATGCATCAACAAACCATGGAAGGAGAAAAGGATCTATCTAGTGAGAAGAGATAGATATCCTGGACAAGCAGGAGGGCAGGTATGTCCCAGACAACCACACCTCCAACATCACGTTACGTCACGTCACGATAAAGGTATTTATTCCGTCATGCCCAGTGCAGATCCTCGCTTTTTTTTGTTTGTCCTTTCAGACCTCTTCATCCTCTGTGGTCCCAGAGTCGTTATCTCCCTTCTGGGCCTCATCAGCCTTCTGTGCTGCCTCTCTAACCCTAACAAGTTTAGAGACATGGTCCTTGCAACGTAGAAAACGCAGACACGCGGCGTTATTGGAGATACCATAGTGTCGACCGACAGCGACGTAGTCTATCTAGGATATGGTAGTGATATTAGTACTGAAAAGTAACTGATGAGGAAGAGATAAGTCACCTTGATTCCTGTCTCCTTGATACAGGTAAGTACGAACTCGAGTCTCTCTTCCAGTACCTCACGGCTCGTTTCCGGGGCGAGCTTGGAACTCTTGGTGACAGGCTTAGCAACAGCCTTCTTGGTAGCCTTAGACTTGGCAACTCGGCTGGGAGCCATGGTGAAGATGGATGGCTAGTTGCGGCTATGAGCTTTTGATGGGAATGTAAACGTGAAATTAAAGTACTCTCTAGAGATATTTTCTCAGATCAAGGCACTCGAGGAGGGGAGGAAGAAGGAAAATAAGGAGAGATCGAGAATTAAATTTATATCCTGATCTGATAGCAAACAATTTTGGCGTCTCCTTCCTCGTCTTGTCCACATTTCGGACAATACTTTGCGAGACACGACCTTAGAGCTCAACTTACAGAAATGACCACGGCAAAAGGTACTAAGTAGCCAAGACGAGATTCGGAATTTGGTGATTCATATGACAGAAAAATTCAAAATTCATGGACAATCACCTCAAGTTGGATTTCGGAGATGTGAGTAATATGAAGTACCTCTATTGCCCATAGATACTTCAACCGATTTTCTAACCTCGCTTGCGACATACTTAGCTGTTGGTACAAGAAGGGCGACTGACAACTATTTGCCGCAATTTTCACTTCACGAGAAGCTACCAAAAACGTCGAGTTGTCACAGAATCAAAGCTCGGGACATTAACAGGTGTCGGATTTGTTTGTTCAGCATACTAATCCAAGTGTCCAAAGTTTTCTTCTCTGGATAATCTCTCTTTTATTGAAGAAACAAATAGAAAGCAGCGATTCCCGCATACAATATAGAAGCCCCAGCAACAGGACTAAACAGAGGACTTATGACGCTGAACTTGCAGAACGATAAGCACAACTCGTAAGAGATGATATCCTCAAATTCTCATTGAATAGCTACCGCTAACGCGGTTAGGCCCTTATCTATTCCTAGTCGCGAACTCGGTAGATTGGGCTCTGTCAAGAACCGAAAGCCACACCTAACAAATCAATATTCAGACCCACGGCAAGTGTTTTATCCATAACCTTTTACATAAAACTACCCTAATGAGTCGCATAACCCGGTTGTGTAAGAATGACGTGAGTTTCATCCCCGGATTTGAATTTCACCCCCGGATTTCTCCTTGTTCCGGATTTGATACCCCAAACCCTAATTGCCGCCATCTCTTCAATACCCTGTTCAAACGCCGACCCGAGCCATATTTTGGCGATGCCTCACAGCTACCAAGCAAGATATAGTCTGGTCATGTAGCTCAAATATCTCAAATATCTACCAATGAGCTGGCTTGTCGGACTCAATTGTCTCTGACCGTGGTGACTGTTCATAGAGCAGTTCTGGGGAGAGTTCTGTTACAATGTGCGTTGAACCGAATGGATAATAAGGGGGATTGCTTGACTCTTCTCTGGTAAGACACGAATCTCTAGATTGGGTAATCCAGTGGGGCCAATGCTGACGCTAAGAGAACAGCGCCTAAAAGGCAGAGGTGAGACCTGTGTGCGGAGATTTGCAGGGAAATCTACGGAACCAAAAGGCATCTCAAGTAAGACGGAATAACTAGATCCGTGTAGATACCGTCGGAAGTATATATTCCTTCGTTAACCCCATAAATCCCTTGTCTCTCTATTTGTCCTTCTCCCGCGATTCCCAATCCCACCATGGTTCACTGTCTTCCTTTCTTCATATCCCTGGCGGCTGCCACGAACCTCTATGCCACCCACTATAATGGATACGTCTACTCGCTCTCTCTTGATGGCGAAAACTCGCTTTCTGTCACTTCATCCTCAAAAACATGTGGCGATGCCCCTAGTTGGCTTACATTTGACTCGTCAACGCGTACAATTTATTGTTCCGACCACGCGGGCAATGCGAGTATGAATGGCTTGTTGAGCTCATACTCCGTGAATCAGGATGGGGGACTGACGGAGCTCGCGAGCACCGTGGATGTGGGCGCCGCGGTCCACAGTATTATTTATGGCGGCAAGCACGGACGCGAAAAGTATTTGGCCATTGCCCACTAGTGAGTGATTCTGATATCTACTTAAGCCAGCTGTGTACAAGCAAACTAACATTGATCAGCGGCGGTTCCGCCCTTTCGACCTTTTCCTTACCCCTTAAGTCCGATAAGAAGCCCTTGGAGGTATTCCACTACAAAATGTCCCAGCCCGGCATCAAACCTCAGCAGGATTCGCCGCACCCGCATCAGGTGATCCTCGATCCAACCGGTGATTTTATCCTTGTCCCCGATCTAGGCGCCGACCAGGTCCGCGTGTACGCCATCAACCAGAACTCGGGACACCTAAATGTGTGCCCTAGTCTTAATTACACCGCTGGCAGTGGACCGCGACACGGGCTGTTCTGGAAATCCGACCCCTTGCACTCAGACCACGCTCCGGTGACTATGCTATACACTGTCAGTGAACTGGGCGGCCACTTCAATGCATTCGCTGTCTCTTACTTGTCCTCCGGTTGTCTCGGGTTCAAGGAGACTCAATCCTTTGTGCCATACCCAGGCGGACAGTTACCAGCTGCGGGTACGCCAGCAGAGCTCCGTATGAGTGGGAATTATCTTTATGCTTCGATTCGCTTTGATCAAGGTTTCGCCCCAAATGATTCCATGTCCACCATGGTTCGTTCTCCCAATGGCACGGTGTCTTTCAGCCAGATCACGTCTGCCTATGGCACAGTTCCCCGTACTTTTGCCATCAACAAGAAGGGTACTCTGGTGGCTATTGGGGACCAAGTTTCATCTAATGTTGCCATCGTCGAAAGAAATCCGCGGAGTGGAGCTCTCGGAAACCTAATCGCCAACTTGGAGGTTACACAGCCTGGTCAGGCTAGTATATCATCGTCGGGCTTGAGCAGCATCATTTGGGAAGAGTAAGCTCTTCCACCCAACTCAACTCTTCAATGAAACATCAGCGTTGTTCAGGTAGCTGTTAAGGTTGCATATTCTGAGGTAGGAATCTGTTTAGATTTGGCACGATGATTTAGAGTAAGAAAATATGTACATAGAATGCGCCGAAAACGCAAGACATTGCTATTCAAGCACCGGTATATATTCAATTCATATAATCAGATCATTCCCCCCAAACAAGAAAGCATGATATTGTAGGTCACCCAGCATAACCCTCATAACCCCATATGTTCATTAAGAGTCGATCTTTAGATAGCTGACCTGCTCCTTAAAGTTGGTTGCTATAATATGATGGGCTATTATTGGCGTTCTTAGTATAACCAGTTAATCAATAACCGTCGTGGGGAAAGAGGATTGCCGATATATAGGTTTGAATACACGCATAGGCGCCGATCTCGGGAATTCTTCCGACCTCCGCAAAAGATTTGGTGAGTGCGAATATGATCGACCGTAGTGATGAAATATGTAGTCTGCTTTTATGAGCTCCAGTCTCCCAACTTTTATCATATATGACCTGCACTGTTACTTCTATTCCTTGCACTATTCCTCGACTGGGGGAATGGGGATATCGAAATGACGTCATTCCCCAATGTGAATCATTCGGCTCGTCGGGTTTGCTTTTTTGTTCCGTTGACTTTGTATAATCGAATTTTGAAGTTGACAAGTGATATGTGCTTTAATAAATTTGGTCGAGTACATCTGCTAATTTTCACTGGCCTCCACCCGGATTTAAAGCGGATTTAAAGCGGCTTTACAGCGGCTTTAATATTGGAATTATGGTGGCTGATAGGCTATCTCTTCCAATTTACACAAATTTACGGACCAATAATCCAAGAAATGTCATCAATTGCAGAATATACTTCAGTCCCAATACTAGGTAAGGGTAGGGCTAAGTGGGTTCTGAGGATGGCAAATCACCCGCCCCACCTGGGCCTGATTATGCTTATCACAGCCGACCAATCAGATACGACTTGTCATCAAGTCGCAGGAGGTCCACGGGTGACCTTGGGATACTGTCGACTGCATCATGACTACAATGTAGTACCAGTCCGCCGCAATATAAATAATCGTGAGGTCCGTCATTTGATGGGCCTTCATTTCTTATCTTCACATTCCCAGATTCAAACGGCAGCCAAGCTCACAAAAATCCATCAACATGATCAAGACACTCTCGCTTGGCGGACAGCGGGTCCCCGTTCCCGGCTTTGGCGCCATGGGCCTCAACTCTGCGATGGGGTCGGACCTAAGTCTTGAGCAGTCCGAGCCTGTTCTTTTGAAAGCCATTGAGCTAGGCTGCACATTCTGGGATACCGCGGTAAGCCGTCCTATTACACATTATGCGTGCCATAGTTTCTAATCTCCTTCCCGCTCATAGGTTGCCTACAAAAACGGCGAAAATGAGAAGCTGCTTGGAGACTTCATCAAGAAGCACAATGTTCGCGACAAGGTTTTTGGTGAGCAAGTTATCCCTTACCCCTTTCTACATTGTGTCATTAGCTCACATCACGTCGCTGCGCAGTGGCTTCCAAGTGTGGATTTGATGTTTTCGGGCCTGAACGGAAGGTAACCAACTCGGCCGCCCACATTAAGGAATACATTGAGGGCACAATTGATCGACTTGGTTTCACCCCCGATCTCTACTATCTCCACAGAATTGATCCCAGTACGTGACATCCGTAGAAAGAAATTTGATCCAAATTGGTATGCTAACTCTACAACTCTAGACACCCCCTTAGAGGAGTCTATCGGTGCCTTGGATGAACTCCGCCGTGCCGGAAAAACAAAATACATTGGCCTATCTGAATGCTCTGCTGAGACTTTGCGTAAGGCAAACGCGAGTAAGTCTATGTATGACAACAGAACACAAGAATACGCGCTGATATCTCCTAGTCGCCAAGATCGATGCCGTTCAAGCCGAGTACTCTGCTTTTGAGACAATCCACGAGACCAGTGGCCTTATTCAGACGGCAAAGGAACTGGATGTGGCCTTTGTGGCATTCAGCCCTCTGGGACACGGCTGGCTTGTGGATGACTTCCCGTTCAAGTCTCCCGATGACTTCGCCCCCAATGACTTCCGACGCACTGGTATGTTGCCCCTTTTGACAAAAAATGTTCTGCTAGATTCCGGTAAACTAACCTTTAAAAATATTAGTTCCTAAATTCCAAGGCGAAAACTTCTATAAGAACAAGGCTATTGTTGATGAGATCAAGAAGTTAGCAAACCGAAAGGGTTGCACAATTGCACAGATCGCCCTGGCTTGGGTTGCTGCGCAAGGCTTGGTTACCATACCGGGAACTACCAAAGCCTCGCGCTTGGAAGAAAACTGGGCATCTCGTGACGTTGAATTGACAGCAGAAGAGTTGAAGGAGATGCGAGCCATTGTGGAGGCTGCTAAGCCGGTTGGAGAGAGATTCTCTGCCATCTTCCAATCGATGGTCGGTCACTAGAGCGTGTAGAAACTTAATTTATTCGTTTTTAAGAAAAGGAAAAGGCAAAATCACACGAAAACTTTGAGATGGGGGTTCGGGATTTTCTTCACTCACACAGGTCTTCAGTACACCATATACATGTACTGGCTCAAAAGAACGCCCCTTGATAAGAGAATAACATCGGACCCTATAATTCAAACCATACTCAATCTAGCAACAAAATGACCAATGATCCAATTGTAGTTAAGCGGTATATGGCTGTCAAGTCTAGGTAAAGTGCGAAACCTAGCAATCATGCTATTGAGTATAAGTTCTAGACTACTATCAATACTTTATAATTTATCATACTCTGCTATAGCATTTGCACCAGATAAGGGCTGTTCAGATGTAAATAAGCTAACCAAGCTTTTCCCTAAATAATAGCGCTAGTCGGCTGACTAGCTTTTTGTGCAGAAATAGCGAATTTCCAACGTACCCCTATCCCTTCGCCTACCTAAGGCCGCTAGCCCCGAAGGGTATGGCGATCTCCTCTGGTGAAACCCCTTCCACCTGGGCAGCACCCCTGCACTTTTGAGCATGTAATATAAAGTTGTTAGTTGGTCAATGGATGCATTGTCGCTGATAAGTATTTCTAGTTTCCATCAGTCATCCGGCATTCACCAGTCAGTCATCCACTGAAAATGTTACGAAGCCAAGCACTGCATCCTTTGTTGTGGCTCTGCACTCTCTTCCAACTTTCTCTCGCCCTCCCATTGCACGCCACTGCAACCTATGCCCTTACTGTGATCAAAAATGTTACCCACCCAGCAACCTTTGAAAATATTGGGACCAGACACAACGGCCAACTTCTTTTAACATCAACTCTCTCCTCGAAAGTCTACCAGGTTGACCCATTTCGCGAACATGCAATGAACACCATTGTTGATATCCCTCATACAACTGGATTGCTTGGTATTGCAGAATTGGAAGAGGATGTTTTCTATGTGATAAGCGCAAATCTGAGCTCCGTTGAAGGAGTCTCAGACTCTAATTTTATCTGGAAATTCGATATGCGCGACCGTCATGTTGGTTTCAGGTCAAACCAGGAAAAAATACCAACAATTGTTCCTTCACTCGTGGCCAACATGTCCAACGCCCAATTGCTGAATGGAATGTCTCACCTGGCGGATAATGATACAAAATCACTCTTGGTCGGAGACTCACAAGCTGGAAGAATATACAAACTGGACGTGAATACTGGCTCACACCAAATAATAAGTGATGACGACGATCTAAAGTCCGCCCCCACAGGCTTACAAATCGGCGTGAACGGAATTCATGTGCGAGGATCGCACTTGTTCTTCACGAACTTCAACAAGCGCATTTTCGGTCGGATGCCTATATCTTTGTCCACTGGATTTCCCACTGGCCCTGTTGAAGTTCTTGTCAATGGTGTACGAGGAGATGATTTTGCCGTTTCCTCAGATGGAAAAACTGCATGGATTGCTTTGAATGGCCAGAGTACTCTACTTGAGGTAGATATTCCAGGAAAAAGTGCGCGGGTTGTTGTCAAGTCACCGTATTTGGAATCAGCATCTTCTGTGTCGGTAGGTCGAACTTTGTTCGATCGGGATAGTCTTTACGTTTCCTCTGCGGGGGTATTCAATTCGGCTCCTGGCATTAATGCTACAGTCACTCGTGGCATTGTCGCTAGGGTAGACCTTCCAAAGGCTTAACGAGTCGCTCCTCTTGGATCAGTTTATATGTTTCAGTTGAATGAATATGAAGTCAAATATCCAATTTCAATGGAATCTCCAAATCAAATTTACCACAGCAAATAAGATCGAAGTGAGCTTAAAATAAGCCTAGGAGACTGCCCAAAAGAACACAAACGAATGACATCAAAAAGGAAAGACAGTTTGCCAGTCATTTTGGGATAAGGTACATAATATAATACACACATACACATCTCACAGTCAGTATCACGCGCAAATAATCCCAAAGAGCCCATTACAGGGGGGCTGGATCACTGACACCATCATAAGTCCATCGACAAATATGATCATACATGTTACCGGGCGCCAAGCTGATTGTCTCGTTGTTGAAACCAGTGCGAGCCAAGGTCTTCTCGGTCCCGTTGTACTGAGGCCAAAATGCATCAAGACCGTGCTGGGGGTTCTTGGCAAAGCTGGACCAGACATCGCGGAGGAAGTTTCCAATAGTGACTTCAGCTGAAGTACTAGCGAGCATGGTCTGATTAACGGTGTTAAACAATGGAGGGAGATCGGCAGTGTGATAGGCGCCGCTTGGTGGGGTAGTAGTAAGGGCCAAGTTGGGGAAGTCGCCGAAGTAGCGGTATCTCCAGGTTGGGTTACCATCAGCGATACTTTGCTCAATTCTCACGACATCCGCACATGTGTATAGACGGTCGTTGAAGTCAGTCCAGTAGCTCTGGTTATGCGTTTGTCCGAGTCTGAAGATACCTGCCTCGTTGTGGGTGTTACCGATCAAGTAGCCACCCTTGGCGGCAGTGCGGTTGAGGTAGCTCGAGAAGACCAATTCATTGTCAATGACTGGCCCATATGGAGAAGGGTTGAATGGAACATTGGCAGGGTCGTAACCAGCCAGTATTTCGTCGACAGTTTTGTTCACCATGCAGTCGCTGACAGCAACTGGGTCAGAAGTGGCGTTTCCGCAGCCAACCAAGTCAGTGACGTGGAACCAGCGGCTGTGAGTCTCCTCTGCAGTAAGGGCTGGGAAACCGTAAATAGTTGCGCTCATCTCAATGAAACCGGAAGCAATTGGGTCATCGGCATAAGCGAACGAGTAGAAGTCCACCATACCAGCGCCGGCAGACTGTCCAAATATAGAAATTCGATCCGGGTCACCACCAAATTGCTCAATATTGTCACGAACCCATTCCAAGGACATTCGAATGTCACGGAGACCAATATTGGCTGGGGTGGCTGGGTTACCAGGGAACCCGAAAGTGTTAACACGGTAGCTATTCTCCGATTAATACAAGATGTGTCTGTGCCAAATTGTGGTGGGTTCTCACTTCATCGAGACAACGACAACATCACTTTCGTCAGCAATGAATTGCCCACGGTATGTCGCCTGTCTAGAGCTGCCTAGCACACGTCTAAGTTAGAGAGATGTAACCACACGGGGTTCACTAAATAACACCTACCTGATACATAACCTCCTCCATAGACCCAGACAAGCACGGCTTTCTTCGCCTCTCCAATCTGCGGCTTGGTCCAGACGTTCAAGGTCAAACAATCCTCACTGGACGGGTATATTTCACTTGCCAAGGCTGCAGCGGAAGTAGGCGGAATACCAAGGTTCTGGGGTGGTGCGCTGCTGGTGTTGTTACTTGGGGGTGCTGATGGTGGTTGGATACATGTCGGACCCTATGTAAACATGGCGTTTTAACAATCGTTCGGTTGAGGTAGACATCAAACTCCAGCTGAATGCGGAGATTAAGAATATGAAATAACTGAACTTACGAATTCGGTTGCGTTTATGGTACCGTTATCAGTATAAGGAACTGGAGGTTGGAAACGAAGGCGTCCAAGTGGAGGGACGGCGTATGGAATTCCAACATACTCGGATACCTCGGAGACGTTTGCCGCAGCGTGGCCCACAACAAGGCCGCTGGTAGTCTGCACAGACTGACCAACAGTCCAGGCGGGACTGTCACATGGAGGCTCGATGTGGTTGACCGGTGTGGCAGTTGCAAGGAGAGAAAAAGTGGCAACGTTCTGCAACACTTGGATAAGAGCGGCTTGTAGCTTCATGATGGCCAACAATGAAAATGTAATGCGTGATTTATGTCAGGAGGCCTGAGCATTTTATATATCACATCTGAATGCCCATGAGAATAATGTAGCCTAAGTTTCCGTTAGGGTTTGGGCTTAGAGATGCGCTAATGCTGGCTGCTGACATGCCCCACACTGATTCCTGGGTATGAGATGGAGAACATGGTGGACCAATATCGGTTAGTGGATACCTAGATACAGGCCGTGAGTGAAGACTTTTGACCTGATCAGTCCATTTGAGACATCTAAGTGGCTTGGGTAAGGGTCATATCCAACCGGAGAAGTGGCAATATGTCATTCAAAGCAAAGAAGTAAAAATAGATTACTCAGCGAGTATCCTGGGCAAATACCTGGTGTTAGCCAGTACTGATGCAAATTGTGTGTCATATGGTCGCTCAGCCTGTGGAGTATAGTGATCCGTGCCAAATGGCGATGCTTACCCGTGGCCCAGGCAACAATTGGACAATGAAAAATGAATTGGTTATATAACACCCAGATAAGTCGATATTAAAGAAGGGGCTTGTTTACATCCCAAACAAGAACTATATCCGGTGCCCCATCGGACACGGGGTTAGTAATCAACGTCACGATCGACATGGTCTAGCAGGAAGCGGAGAAAAGTGTGGCTTTCTTCCTTCCTGACTCTGGTAACGTTGCATGTCCCTATCAGTTAGTCTTCTGCACGATCTAGTAGAACTTAGACATAACTTAGACTGGGTTGGGGTTTGGGTTTGGGTCGAAGGATTCAACCCAGTAATGGGCGTGGGTCGGACTGGGTAACCCAGCACTAGGTCTGGGGCCCCAAATTGGGTTACAAACTAGGCAAACACGCTAATCATGTGTATAATTCTGCTGATTTAGCTGGTTTATGACTGCCAAGACCCCCTTTTATGTAGAAACTGGGTCGAACTGGGTCTATACTGGGTTTTCTGGGGCCCCAGTCACTGGGTCTGGGTTGGGCTCTGGGTCGAGACCTTCGGCCCAAATTGGGTTATGCGGAAGACTACTATCAGTACTCCGTACACAGAAACGCAAAACATCATTGTTCTCGCTATGCTTAGAGACACCATTGATAACAAGCGCCTTTTCGCCAGTTGAGCCTTGTTCTCGGTACTCTGAATTTAACAGCATCTAGAAATACAAATTATTCTCTAGCTTGTTAACGTGCCAAGATCATTGAGCTTGTAGATTATTCCAAATATTATACTTTTCAAAGTTTCCCGTTTAACATTGTGTCAACGCTATAGCAAATAGGCACATATTGTCTACATCTCCGAGTCTCGCGTCAACCTTTCAAGTCCACATACTGCTCTTCAAAAACTTTGTAGGAATCTGAAAATCCAGTAATAGGTCACTGCGGTCGCTACTAGGCATGTAGTCGACTTGAATTCCACGGGCATCGCGAATATTGAGGTGAGCATATCATTGAAGGGCATAGTCTTCAACGGCAATGTAACTGATTTTGCTTCATCGTAACTACCACCTGAGTAGATGATAGAGCTGCCCACAGAGAGGGTTGCATTGACAAGGCCACTAATTTCTAAATAAACTTTGTAATTTATAAATTATCCAAATAACGCGTTTTCTCGCGTCTTTGGGTGTGATATGGAGAGATAATTAGTAATTGATTCTAAATAATTTGCGCCAATAAAATATTACCTTTAGGATAAGGCTTAGAAACGGGAGTAAAACGAAGGGTAATTTCAAACCCCCTTTTAGGGGGTTTAATCTCTAGATTCTCGGTATGTTTGTACTGTTTGGGGCCTATTTGGGGGCCAATTAACCCACAGTAGGCTTCTGCCTTAGACCCATAGCCCATCGGTGGGCCCGAAGGTAGGCGCTAAAGCCCCGCCATTTGCGGGTTGGGCTAGGCTGGGCTATGTATGGGCTCTGCGGAGCTCTAACCTGCAGATACATTAACGAAAAGCACATTTCAGCGGTCGCTGGGTATATTCGACTAATATGGTGCTCTCTTAACACATATATCTGCTATATGCATATTGAACGTGTTCAACTACTGAGAATAGTATTGTGAACAGTAGATGTTGTACAGTCAACCCAATATGCATGGGCACTCCGCCACTACCGCAACCTGCAGGATTTGCCCGCATATCCTTCCATATGGAGATTCCCGGGCATATAATGTATGTTATACAGCCTGGTGAACTTTGCTTTCAGGATTCAACGTGCGTGGTTTTGGGTCATCTTCCTTATCTTCACTTCTGTGGTGATGACAAAACAAAATGAAATACTAGTCGAAACAACGCCTCCATTTAGCTCCCCTGCCGTGTCACATTATTAACTTTCAACGTCAGGACATAAGTTTGGGAGGTACAGAAGGTCCTGTAAGCATATAGTTCCTGGCCACCATTGTAACACATCATGTCATTGTGATTACAAACATCTTGTATTGATAACTTAGGGTGTAGTGGGGATGTATATCATTTGCAGGAAACAAAATTTTCCGCATGTGAGCGTGCATGTGAAAGATTACTCCCAAACACAGGGAGTCCGAGGATATCATGCTTGACTCCAAGACCACAATTGATTATAACTCCCATACACCCTAATATGCATACCTTCAGGTCGATGTTCATGCTAGGGCATCCAAACTTTTACCTTGGACTCGCTGGATAAGCATAGCCGTGGCACCCCCACCTCCATTGCAAATAACGGCAATGCCATATTGATCATGAGACAGCTGGTGCAAGAGAGTGACCAGAATTCGACAGCCTGAGCTGCCCAAGGGGTGCCCAAGTGCGATCGCTCCCCCGTTGACATTAATTCTATCAGGATCCAAGCCGAGCAGCTAGTCAATGAAGTAAGTAAAAGGAAATGATCCAAAAGCTTGTCATGGATCCACACACCAGTTGTGAAGCTATCACCACGATAGCAAAAGCTTCGTTAATTTCCCATAATGAGATCTGTTCAGCACACATTTGGGCACTCTCAAGGACAAGCTGAATTGCTTTGGTTGGAGCCAGAGCGAACTCGTGTGGGGCAACGGATGCATCGGCATAAGCCACTATTTTCGCCAACACTCGATTCTCCTGACAGAACTGCTTAGCAACTTGGCCATTCACCAGCACCACTGCTGAGCCACCGTCACTTAGCGAGCAGGCATTTCCAGCGGTGACTGTGCCACCAGGGGAGAAAACTGGTTTCAATGACCGGAGTCGGCTAAAAAGGCTCTCGTGGGGGAGACTGTCTGTGTCAAATATTTCCGCCGTAGCTCCATCTACTAACACGGGCACAATCTCTTCTTGGAATGTATTGCTCTGCTGTGCTCGACACGCCCGGGTATAGGTAGCAAGGGCATATTGATCTTGGTCCTCGCGGGAGATACCCATCTGCCGAGCCACACCATCAGCACAGGCCCCCATAGACCGGCCATCTGAGGCATTAATCAACCCATCAAGCAGGAGACCATCAATCACCGGCTTCTCCTTGTGGCTGCAGTCATCACCTTTCTTTGAGTACATTGGGACATTCGACATGCTCTCCATTCCCCCAGCCACCTGAGCGACGGCGTACCCCAGTTGGATATCCTGGGCGGCAAGTGTAATGGCCTTGAGCCCAGAAGCACACACTTTGTTTATTGTGGTAGCCTCAATGTCTGGCGCTAATCCGGCCTGCATCGCAGCTTGTTTTGCAGGGGCCTGACCGGCGCCAGCCTGAAGCACTTGGCCCATGTAAACACCCGAGAATAGATCAAGCGGAACTTTTGAGCGATGAAGGGCTTCACGAATTGTGATAGATCCAAGTTTGGTGCTTGGAACAGAGCCTAGCTGGGTATTGATCTGCACCAATCGGTCAATATTTGAGATCTCAGGGAGCTTGACTGCATGGACTAACGCGTGCGGTGGGGGTCCTCGCCGCCCCAACAATGTATACTGGTTTTATCATGTTTTAAATGTCTAGATGGGGTGATAACAATTCATGTGTGCTCAATCTCCTTTTATATCTCATCCTAGCTTGGTGGTTTGTTTCAGATAAAGGTTTCTAAGAAGTAAATACTGTGCACGGTCCTGCTGATCTCATGTGCGAAAACATCAACAAAGTAGTAGTCTCAGTAGACCACCTATGAGCCGTGCTAAACCAATTCCATGCAAGCAAATATTGATTGAGTAGGAGTATCCGCAGATCATTTTGTGAAGTTATTCAGAGATTAAATCCTTGAGCATGGGCCTCGAGAAAAGCATAATTCAACAGGTGTTTCCAGGACACAGTTCGTACGTTGCACGAAAGTGCATGTCGAATTATACTAGGCTAAATCTCCGTAATTTTCTGATTTGAGTGGCTGGATTGGGCCTAAAAGCACTGCGAATATATAATCCCGATGCAAGAGGCTTAGAGGGGAAACAGAATACACCGAGATTCGTTATCCGTACGTGCCAACGTATGCAGTGTTCTTTATTAGTATGTTATGCCTCATCAGATCTCATATATACGTCTTCCCGTAGGTACACAGTGACGTCTTTAACCTGATATACAAATCTAGCCATTGCAGATCGTAGGTCCGCTTTTTGGCAGCCGTCGAATAGGATCTCCTTGTCTCTACGTGTGATTCGGCTGTTGCGGAAAGATGATATTAGCAGGTGAGAGTGAATTGAAGATTGCGAGTATATATGGTGATGTCCAGGTGGGCACCTAGAGGGTAAAATGTAATAGAGCTTTGGAGACTTCACTACATATCTACCAACAATGGAATCAACCAATCGCCTCAGCGTGGAGCCTATTGCCATTGTAGGAATGGCTTGCCGGCTTCCTCCAGAAATTTCTAGCCTGGGAGACTTTTGGAGCTTCTGTGCTCAGGGGAAGAGTGCCTGGGCTGAGAACCCCGAAGGTCGGTTTGAGAACGCCGCCTTTTGGAACCAGAACGCGGACCGAAAGGGAAAGGTAAATGTCCATATCTCAACTCAAGGTCATGGAATTGACCCCCCTGATGATTAGATTAATAACAAAGGAGGGCATTACTTGAGCCACAACCTTGCCCATTTCGATGCTCCGTTTTTCCGCATTACGGCCAACGAAGCCAAGGTGGGTGTGGCCTAGAGCTTAATTTTGCTAGTTTGACAAACTGATTGCCCCCTTATAGGCTATGGATCCACAACAACGATTTCTTCTCGAGATTACCTACGAAGCGTTAGAGAATGGTGCGTGATAAGAGCAAGCCTTTGCTATCAAGCCCCAATCTTCTAACCGATTCTGAGACAGGCGGCTTCCCAGTCGAGGAATTGGCCGGCAAGGACGTTGCGGTCTTTGCAGCAAACTCATTCTCGGACTACTTGCATGGTATCACACGGGATCCCGAGACTGCACCAACCTTTGCAATGACCGGCTGTGATCCCTGCATGATTGCAAATCGACTCTCCCACTTCTTCGATTTCCGCGGCCCTAGCATTACCGTTGATACCGCATGCTCCTCAGGGTTGACTGCCATCCACTTGGCCTGTCAAAGCCTTCGTTCTGGAGATGCGCCTTACGCTATCGTGGCCGCTGCACATCTCAATATCTATCCTCAAAGCACAATTATATACTCCCTGTCTCAGTCAGTTCCATTTCTGACTCATCTAATATTTGACTGATGCTAACTTTAACCGCCAGGCTTCTTTCTCCCGATGGAAAGTGTTACGCGTTCGACGACCGGGCTACGGGGGGATTCGGGCGAGGAGAGGGAGCCGCAAGTTTGGTGCTCAAGCCTCTCAGCGCGGCTCTGGAAGCAGGTGACCATATCTACACTGTCATTAAAAACACGGGTGTCAACCAAGATGGCCGGCCAAGTGCTGGAATCACTGTGCCAAGTGGTGAGGCCCAAGAGAACTTGATTCGATCTCTATACACCTCCTGTGGCATCGACCCATCCCAGACTCGGTATGTGGAGGCTCATGGAACCGGCACTGCCATTGGTGATCCAATAGAGGTGCAAGCCATAGCCAATATCTTCGGTAAGCAGGGGACCGGTTTGGAGCCAACGTTTATAGGGTCGGCGAAGTCAAACTTTGGGCATTTAGAAGGGGTCAGTGGCCTAGTATCGGTCATCAAGACCGCCATGATGCTAGAGAAGGGAGTGATTTTGCCCAACACCAACTTTGCTAATCCAAATCCTAAACTGCATCTGGAAGAGCACAATCTCCAAGTGCTCAGTGAGATAAAGCCCTGGCCCAAGTCTGGAATTCGCCGGGCATCCGTCAATAACTTTGGTATTGGTGGTTCCAACTCGCATGGGATCTTTGAGCAAGCACCTCTAAGACCTATCCAAAAGCCGTCAAACGGCTCGTATATTTTTGCTCTCTCAGCCAAGTGTGAATATTCCGGTCGAATGCAGCTGGGCCAGTTGTCGGCCTATCTGCGAAAGGATCCCCTATTCTTCAATAAGACCATTATGGAAGACCTCGCTTTCACCCTCTCCACACGAAGATCTCTGCTACCTTGGAAGAGTGTCCTCATAGCCAACAGTCAGACTCAGCTTATCGAGAAACTAAGTGCAGAGTCCATAGCTCCCACGCGTTCGACCAAGCGACCACTGGTGGGCCTAGTCTTCACCGGCCAAGGAGCCCACTGGCCACAGATGGGCCAAGAACTTATTTATTATCCCGTCTTTGCGAAATCCCTGCAAAAATCCCAAAATATACTCCTGGAGCTAGGGGCCACTTGGAAGCTGCAAGGTTAGAGCATTCCTTGGCATACATTATTATCAGTGATACGCTAACTAGTTGTAGATGAACTGTTCAATATTCCCGAAGTCTCTCAGCTGGGTTCCCCGCAAATTAGCCAAGTCTCCTGCTGTGCCATACAAATTGCACTGGTGGACTTGCTGTGTTCATGGGGACTAGATATCACCGCCGTCGTCGGCCATTCTAGCGGTGAAATTGCCGCTAGTTATGCGGCCGGAATTCTGACTGCTGCTTCCTGTATCAAAGTGGCATATCATCGTGGGATGGCGATGGTGGAGATGAAACAGCAGTTTCCAAATTTGAAGGGTTCAATGATTGCCGTTGGATGCAGCGAGGCTGTGTTACAGACTCTACTGGCTTCCCTGATTTCCGGCTTGGCTACCATCGCATGCAAGAATAGTCCCTCCAGCTTTACGGTATCAGGTGACTCCAGCGCAATCGAGGAGCTTCATATCCTATGCGATGCGCAGGATATTTTCAACCGGACTTTGAAAATTGACATCGCCTACCATTCAAGTCATATGAGTTTCGTTGCCGAAAGCTACCTCGAGGCCCTTGGCGACATTAATTGTGTTCAGAGTCCAGTGAGGTTTTTCTCCTCAGCCGAAGGTGGCCTACTTCGAGAGCCAAATCTTAATAGCCGCTACTGGATGAAAAATCTGGCTGGCAAAGTCCTCTTTTCGGACTCCCTCTCGGCTATGTGTCGCTATACTGAATTAATTGAGGGGAATAAATGGGAAATCGACACTCTTGTGGAAGTTGGTCCCCATGCAGCCCTCAAAGGCCCTGTTTTGCAGGTCCTAAAAAGCATAGCAAAGGACCAACATATTGAATACATCCCAACACTGATCAGAGGAAAGAACGGCATTCATACCATGCATGAACTGGCGGCCTCGCTATTTTTAAAAGGATTTCCTATCAATCTGAAGAAAACCAATTTCGAAAACAGTCCAAACCTATTTAAGCAGTTCGCCGTTTTGGGGGATCTCCCGTCTTACCCGTGGAAGCACGAGGAAGAATACTGGCACGAACCGCGAATCAACAAGTTTTACCGGAAAAACAAGATACCCTATAATGATCTACTGGGCTCCTGTGCTTCGGATTTTAACAACCTGGAGCCTCGATGGAGGAACATCATTCGCCTGGATGACCTACCGTGGCTTCGTGATCATTGTGTTCAGTCGGAGGTAGTCTTCCCCATGTCTGGCTACATTTCAATGGCCATTGAGGCCGCATCACAATACAACCTGCTGCAAGGGAAGAGCTATCCTGCATCATACATTCTCCGAGAGGTGTTAGTCAAGTCTCCGTTGACGCTCTCTGAGATGGTTGAGTATGATATTACCCTGTCACTTCGCCCGCATGTAATTGGACCTCGAACCCAGTCCGGAAAGTGGTATGAGTTCGCCATATTCTCATGCTGCGGAGATTTAGAGTTTGAAGAACGCTGCAGAGGCAATATTTGCGTTCTGAATAGGCCTCGGGTTGGGATCAAATATGGCCATGTTTCTCCAGACGGCTTTGCCGGACTACTACTGGATAACACCAATTTACATGCAATAATCGAGAACTTAGGTCTTGGGTATGGTTCTGCCTTTCAGGGCCTGCATGACATCAAAGCTACTGGCTGCGAAGCCATCGCAAAACTAAGGATTCCAGACACCACCAAGAGCATGCCCTCTATGCGCGAGAGTGCGTACGTGCTGCATCCAGCGACATTAAATGTCCTGATGCAGCTGGCTTTGCCCCTTATATGCTCTAATCTTGGTGGATTGAACAAACTCTATATGCCCCACTATATTGAGGAAATTGAGATCCAACCTCCAACAGCCGCGGAGGGAGGCAATGATCTCGACGTGGGCGGCATCATGTCGGACCCTTCTTCAGATGCTCCTGTGTTTTCGCTTTTCGCGCAAAATGATGGTAGACGCTTCATCTCTATCAAAGGCTTGGAATGTCGAGGGCGAAATTTGCCGGAAGTTTCCTCGACCATGGAAAATTTCTGTCACAAGATCGAATGGATGCCTTGGGTGGACATTCTCTCCGGCAATGAACTACGACGTGCTTTTCAAGTGTCTAGCGAAGGTGTTACTGATGAGCAGTCGCGCATCAGGCTACTTAAGAATGTTTCGTTGTACTACATGCATGAGGCATTGGAGCAGATCGGGAATTATGATGGGTCACGACAAGTGAACATGTACCGATGGATGAAAGAAAAGGTCCAAGAACAATGGCATGATAACATAGATGACCAGCACGCCCAGGAGCTTGTGCAAAACGCACGTGGTACTGGGTCCGTTGGAAGGTTCCTTTGCCGGATGGGCGAAAATATTGCCCGGATCATTCGCGAAGAAGTGGAGCCACTCAGCCTGATGTTGGAAGACGACTTACTCACGAGGTACTATGAGGATTCAGAGCCTCTAAAGAACCGTCTATATCCCGCAGCGGCATCGATCGTTGCTTCGTTGGCTCATCGGAATCCCAACCTGCGCATTTTGGAGATTGGGGCCGGAACAGGGGGAGTAACACTACCCATTCTGCAGACGCTCGGTGAACCAGGAGCAAATAGTCAAACCATCTTTGAATCCTATGTTTTTACAGATGTGACTGCCGGGTTCTTTGAAAAATCCAAGATCAAGCTCCAGGCATGGAAGCAGGTATTGGACTTCCGAGTTCTGGACATTGAAGCCTCACCAAAGAGTCAGGGCTTGGTAGAAGGGAACTACGATCTGATCATCGCAGCCAATGTCTTACACGCAACGGTCAATATGTCAAAAACAATGACAAACGTTCGCTCTCTTCTCAAACCTGGAGGTACATTACTTTTGCTAGAAATCACGAGCCCAAGCATCGCATTGTTCCCGTTTACGGCATTACCCGGCTGGTGGCTTGGGGAAGAGGAATTTCGTCAAAACGGACCAACCCTTTCTTCCAATACTTGGGACAGAGTTTTACGATCCACAGGTTTCTCTGGTATTCATGCAGAGCTTTACGATTACCCAGATACCTCCGAGCAAGAATGCAGCTTGATTGTGAGTTCGGCAACGGCGCCTGACCAGTGTGCCCCGAGCGAAGATCTCACCATTCTCGCCGGGACCTCCTCGGAGGGCCTTGCAGAAGCAGTCAAGAGTAGCCTAGCCAAATCCCTACAAATTACGGCACGTATCAGGTCACTCGAGGCCATTGCCACCGAGCCCAACATTTCCAAGAACTGTATTGTATTGGAGAACTTTGACGCCCCGCTTCTGCACGAGATCACCAAGCTTCAATTTTGGGGCCTCCAGCGTATCTGCGAGGCGGACAGAACTCTATGGGTGGTAGCAGGGGCCAACCAAGAATCCGTCAACCCGAAGGCGAGCATGACGTTGGGGCTCGCCCGGACTATTCGTGAGGAAAATCACCACCAGAAACTGGTGGTATTGGATCTAGATCCCAAAAATCGGCTCCCAGATGCCGAAGCAGCTGCCATGATTCTCCGCGTCTTTTTACAATCCTTTAATAAGCCGGATATACCTCTAGCGGAGCTCGAACTCTCTGAAAGAGACGGGATAATTCATATTCCGCGGTACAAGCCGGACACTGAAATGAACCGGTTAATCATTGACACCCGGGAGCAATTTGCACCGCGATATCAAACCGGCTGGGATAGTGGACATATACTTAAGATGCAAGTACAGGCACCCGGGGCCTCTAGCAGCCTCACCTTCCTTGATACTGGGCTATCACTACCAGCCATCAATGACTTGGATATCGAAATTGAGGTCAAGGCTAGTGGTGTCAGCTTTCAAGACATAGTGATTAGCAATGGCAAAGCTGCTGGGGACCTTGGCTTCGAATGCAGTGGTGTGATCACGGCCACCGGGCTTGGAGTCATGGACTTGACCGTTGGGGATCGTGTTTGCGCTTTGACACGAGGCACATATGCATCCATCGTGCGCTGCTCTTCGATTCGGGTGGTCAAGATTCCCGATGCAATGGCATACACAACCGCGGCCGCCATCCCTATGGCCTTTGTAACAGCCTACTACTCTGTAGTCACGGTCGGTCACCTCGAGCAGGGCCAAAAAATCCTCATTCACCAAGCTGCGGGAGCTGTCGGTCAAATGGCTGTCAGAATTGCGCAGTACATCGGTGCCGAGGTCTATGCGACGGTGGGTTTTGCCGAGAAGAAGGAAGCAATCGCAGACTATTTCCAGATTCCATTCGACCACATCCTCTGCGAGGATCAAATCTCATCGTACGAAAATTTGATGACAGGAAATGGATATGATGTTGTTATGAATACCCGGTCCAATGAAGCACTAGATATGTCGTGGAAGTGCCTGGGACCGCATGGGAGATTTGTCAATCTTGCCCTCACAGATATCTTGGATGACAACCGACTTTCTATGAGGCCGTTCAACAGAGGTGCTTCCTTCTGCTCGATAAACCTGGAGGCCTTAATGAAGGACGAACCCCAGCTGTTGCACGATATTTTGTTCCATGGAATTGATTGGTACGCTACTGGGGTGATCAAGTCGGTAATGTCGCCCAAGTGCTACCCCATTGGGGCGATAGAGGATGCCTTCAGCTATCTCAGTCACGGTAATTCGATTGGGAAGCTGGTCATTGACCTCTCATCGCCGGGCCCAGTATCGGTAAGACACTCTTTCCGTTCTTAAGTGTGAATAATCAAATACTGATTCACGAGAATAGGTGGTCGTAGATGAATCAATTCTGCCGTTGTTCACGTCCGATGAGGCCTACCTTGTTGTGGATGGCGGTGGTGGCATTGGAAAAAGCATCATTCAGTGGATGACCCGCAGAGGGGCCAAGAACATTATCTTCGTGAGTCGCAGCGGGCCACAATCAGAAAGAGTGCGCGAGCTGGAGTCGGAGATGCAACTGAAAGGTATACGACTGGCGGTGTTCCAAGGTGATGCTGCGGATGCCAGCAGCCTAGACCATGTTATCAACGAGAGTGCAAAGATTCTTCCGCCCATAAGAGGAGTTATTCACAGTGATATGGTACACAGTGTGAGTAAATTTGAATTGTGCGCGTCCAAATTCACCATCTGCTGAAACCCCTCTCTAGACTATGTTGTTCGAAAACATGCCATTTGAGGATTATTGCGCGGTGGTCAATCCTAAGATTCAGGGTGCATGGAACCTGCATCAACATTTCAGTGATCCCCGGGTCCTTAGGTTCTTCATAATTCTATCATCCATTACTGGTACCGTTGGGACCCCAATGCACAGTGCCGTAGGCGCTGCCGCAACCTATTTGGGATCATTGGCACGAATGCGGAAGAATCAAGGCCTCCCTGGTGTCTCCGTCAGCTTAGGCCCACAGGTCAAAGTCGGATGCATTGCCGAGCAAAGCAGTCGACAGAAAGTCATTGACAAAAACTGGGGTGATTCAGGTCTCACCGACATGGACATCAATGATATTCTGGATACAGTGATCAGTGGACGATATGATCCCAGCTGGGATACAGAATGCTATACCTGCCTGCTTCCGCCCTCCTCGCATCCTCCTTTCTGGTTTTCAGATAGTCGATTCGTTCATTGCCGGCATCCCCGTATGACGGGAGAACAGGATACCGACAATTTCGATAACAAACCCGTTGTCCCGCTAGGCCAGTTGTTGTCCAATAGTCAGTCTCTTGAAGACAACCAATCTATTATTTATGAGGCCGTCGTGGGGAAGTTTGTTTCGGTCCTGTCGTTACACCCGGATGATATTGTTCCCTCAAAGCCGCCTAGTGCGTACGGGGTGGATTCTTTGGTGGCCGGTGAGATCCGCAATTGGATTGTGCGTGAACTGAAGGCAAGTCTGAGCCTACCAGAGCTTATGAACAGTGCTTCCTTTGTGGACTTGTCCGATACCATCACTCAACGGTATCAGGTGGTGAAGGCGGCCTAATACCATTATATTTACGGCTTTCGTTGAACGCCCTATGATGTATTACTCGTACTCGTCGCACTTCCATGTCTTGAAATACCCAAGATGAAATAGAAATAGCATGACACTGATGATATCAATTTTATTGCGATTGATTGTGGTTAATTGAAGAAAGAAGAACTATGTTGAACAATTGCGGCTGTGATGCACTGATACCAGCCCTGGGGGTTCTGACAAAAGGTTTATGCAAAATAAGTGTAAATGTGTAACTGTTGAAATAAGCGGATGTACGACAATTTCCCTATCTACTCTAAATACACGTAGAATCCCGATAATAACAACAGAACTATGTTGGATTTTTGATATTGAGAGAATCAGCTCCGATGTAGCCAATTCATTGTTTCATAGGAAAGGGTGGAACGCTCAAGGCTGTATGCTCTCTAGCATACGCGCCAATTCAGAACTCGCAATCCAGCATAATATCAACCAGGGCATCCAAACAGAACCAGAAAGTCAGTCCAACAAGTGAACTCGGGGAGATGTAGGAGTGTGTATTCTCAATTTGTAACTATCTGGTACTTGTAACCTGTGTACATCAATGCGTACATAACAAAACTGCGAAATAAAGAGAGGACGGGCCAGGCCAATGCGTAGTGATGACTATGTACCTCACTATAATATGTAATTAATGTGCTGATTGTTAATATCCCAGAACTAAGTTTCCTGCCTTACTAAGTCGGGGAGATATTTGGCCGATTAAATATGATTTAAATGCTAAATTATATTGTTGTTTGAAGGAGTCCGATCCCTGCATGTGGGTCCCGATACGGCCTGCACATTGGTCGGGAAATGGAAGACCTCAGGCCTCAAGCTTCCCCAAGGAGACTTCTAAATAGTAGTATGGGTACAACTAAACGCCACGGCTACTATAGATTAAAAAACGTGTAGACATGAGCCTCTAAAAGGCTTACGTCATCGGATTTTTCGGAGTTAAGCTTGTTAGTTAACGGAAAGCGGGTCCACGAGTGCGGGTGGATATCCACCCGACTCCGTAGCGTACAATGTGTATAATTGTCCTATAAATCTGGAGGTCCCGATGTATAAAGGCGCACAGCATTTCTCAGAGCCTTCAAGCATACAAGCTCTCATCACATCAGTGCAGCGTCTATACCATCAAAATGAGTGGATTATACGGCCTACTCTTCACCAAATTGACCTTACCGTCCCCCTCAACCATCCAGGGCAAGACCATTCTGATCACCGGTGCTAATACCGGGCTCGGTAAGGAGGCCGCTAGGCATGCACTCTCCTTGGGAGCTGGCACAATCATTATGGGTGTTCGCACTCAGAGCAAAGGCAAAGAGGCCAAAGCGGATATCGAGGCGAGTACCAGTTCTACCAAGAATAAGGTTCTAGTATGGCCTCTCGACCTTGAATCATTTGCCAGCGTCCAAACATTTGCAGCCAGGGTTCACAAATATGTGGTGACGGACGGGGGACGGTTAGACATAGCCATTATGAACGCTGGGATTGCATCGGTCGAATACGCTGTTACCAGGGATGGATGGGAGAGGGGAATTCAGGTGAATGTGTTGTCGACTGCACTGCTTAGCCTACAACTGCTACCGCTATTGCTGCAAACAAAGGAGCGAGATCCCTCAGCGCAACCGCATTTAGCGATCCTCACGAGCGACATTCACAAGTCAATCAAATTCCCCGAAAGATACGCGGAGCATATTCTTTCTGTCTTGAACGAAGAGCAACAGTGGAAGAAATCACAAGCTACAGGCGGATCTACTGAGCGCTACGGGGTTACCAAGCTGATGGATATTTTTATCACTATGGAATTGGCTAAACTAGTGCCTCGTGACGCGTATGGAGAGCCGCTGGTGGTCGTGAATGGTGTGACACCCGGATTTTGCAAATCAGATCTCCTCACCAGGGAGAAGGCACCTTGGATCCTGAAACTGGTCCAGGCCTTGGTTGCCAGAACGGTGGAGGAAGGCAGCAAAACCTTGTTGCATGCAGTAGCGCAGGGGTCGGAGACTCACGGAAAGTGGTTGGAAAACCAGGTAATCACAGAGTAAGTCACCCTACCTATCAAGCTGTCTAAAGTCCTCGTTACTGATTTACACTGAAGCCCTGGTAATATTGTAACGGAGCTAGAAGCAGCGGTTGTGAGGGGAAAGATATGGGCGGAAATCATAGCAGTTCTGCGGAATATTGATCCCGAGGTCCGAACAGAGTATTGAGTTCTCTGAGGGTTCATGAGTCACCTACTGCAGGCCAGAGCTAATTTCCCGAGTTTAGGAACTCAGGCTTGTTATGTTAGATTTGCGAATTGTTTTTCGTATTCTTGTTGGCATATATATATCATGTTTAAATTCAATACAGTCTGCACTTGTATAAATTGAACAGCAGATCCTACAAATCGTTGGACACCTACTCTTGAAAATAGCAAGATAGAATAAGATTTAGGTCACGCTGTGAGAGTAAACTAGATCTATAAGATATATATTTAGGGTTTGTATAGGAGTGCTACTACTTTCTAAATGAACTCTGTAATTTATAAACTATTTAATCAACGCTTTTTCTCTCGTTTCCAAATATGATATATATATTGAACTAATAACGAGCGAGCTCTACATTGATTAAAATACTAAAACTTCACCCTAAGATAAAGGCTAGAAAAGGGGTGTAAATATAGGGTAATTTCAAAAACCCTAAAGGGGGGTTTAATTTCTGAATCCTCGGCATATTTGTACTATTTGGAGTCTATTTGGGGGCCTATTAATCCACAGTGGGCTTCTACCTTAGGCTCATAGCCCATCGGTGGGCCTGAAGGTAGGGTCCAAAGCCCAACCCATTTGCGGGTCGGGTTGGGCTGGGCTATGGGTTTTATGGGCTTTGCAGAGTTCTGCAGACGATGGTGTGACGGGGTTGCACTGAAAGAGCGGCCAGCCCTCTAGCGCCTGTAACTCCGCATGATCGGCAATTCCAACATCTAGAGAGGGAAACGAAGATGTTGTCGGAAGGTAGTCATCCATGGCAGCGTCTTGACTAGTCAATTTTGTCATGCTGCCGGATGAGATGGGAAATTCTAGGTCCCAGGAGTGAAGCCCCGCAAGATCCGTCATCTGAGTCGTCGGAGGTGGTACTGTAGTAGGTACAGCCAAGTCGAAATGTTCATTCATGGGAGGAATTCCCGGTTGTATGAATCTAGAAGAAAGGGGAATACTGCGAGCAAAGCTCCCGCCTGCGCTAGGTGCAGCTGCGATGAGTTGAGCCAAATAATTATCTTCTGGAGTAGCTTCCAACATGCTTGTTTGACGATTGCCGCCCCAATTATGGGTCACTGAATGGTTCCAGTCCATATATATTCCACTGCTTGTCGGATGATATGGTGCTTTTGTTGTGGGACCTCCATTGTTGGCGCTAGCGTTGTCTCGATTATACTCAACGGGGTTGGGATTTGAGGTGGACTTGGCATTTGTGGATATTGGCTCTTTCGACCTATTGTTGAGAGCTGATCGCCCTGGTCTTTGCTGCGGGACCCGGGTCTGGCAGGTGAGCTTCTTCCCCACGCATCGCGAGCATGGCACCTATCGCGCAATGCAGGTTAGTCACCTCGCATTCATTTCTTTGCATTGTCATTCGTACCTTTCTGTCACACCTGGCTTTGGACCTCGCGCAGTGCACACATGCCATAATTTGATCCGCGCGAATCAAGACTGGGGGGTTTGAATGTGGCATTGTTCAAGTGATCGTGTTGAGGGCTCTAAAACGTAGGGACCGGAAAGAGAGGTGGAAGTCAATCCCTATCAGGGACGATCTGTTCAGCTATCTTGCTATGGAGGGGTTTGATGCCTAAGGCACCTAACGTGTGGCCGAAGGCCACACACTATAACGGATCGCCTTCGTCGTGTTGATAGATACTACATCTATCTCATCATAATCAACGGGCTCTGTGGCTTTATTAATTACGATAGAGAGGGTAGAACCTGACAAGGCAACCGTCGCGTACAGGCGTTTGGCACGCCAGGTCACCTGCAAAAGATGATCTCGCCGAATTTTAGCCTCGGTCTTCCTCAAATGTGAGGGAAAATTGGCGCAGCTCAAGAAATCGTGCCCGAATTCGCTCTGCAAAATCAACAATGGACCGGTCTTCCTCAATAATTTGTAACTGTACACTGAATCGGTACATGGAGAGCAGTTGGTGGTCCTCGAAACTTGTTCAGTGTGTAAAGAGTTCCATTTAGTCGTGTTGGCGACCAATCAATATCTGCAAGTTGTTCTGGTACTGGTTTTCACGTTAGAGGAAGCGAAGACAATAATGTAGGGAATCACAAACGTATACACCATTCAGTATCAGACGGGCGTCGAAGTTGGCACGCGGTCAAAGCTTTCCAATGCAGGGACTTATGCACCCAGTGCCCAGTACCGAAGAGCAATATGCCTATCGCAACCTGCAAGGCGATGTAAACTGATCTTCTTGGACTAGGTGTAGCAGACGAGGGCTCTACATATTCATTCTCAGGTAGTAGGGGCCCATCAGGAGAATCTTCCTGGCTTTCAAGCTTGGAGGATTGCCACTCCATCTGTAATGGCTTTGAAGTAATGGTTTCTCTCGTTTGTTTTGGTGAGGGCTCAGAGTATTTCCGGGAAGAAAGCCATTTCCCGAGGTGGTCGTGTTCAGATTGCTTGGCTCTTGGTATCAGACATTAGCTGTATCAGATGAGAAGGCCAGTTATCGGGGTCATATGTCAGATGTCAGACGTCAGCAATGTCGGCGAGGTAAGAGATGTCAGATATGGTCAGATGTTTGCCGACCCCATGCAAATACTTTGGAGTAGGGAAAGTTTTTGCATTTGATGTACTCGGTATTCATAGTTACATCCTCACTCGTTATATCCAAGACATGATTGACGAATCCCAGTACCAACGATTACCGATCGACGAGGACAACACTGCTGTGCTTTCAGCACATGAACCATCACCTCGGTGGCGAAAAACATGGAGTCTATTCTTCGCCGCACTTCTGGCTGTATCTCTACTGCTCCTTTTATCATTCCTGCCAGCAAGAATTCCAGGGGCACACACCACAAATTCTCCCTCCCCTGAATACCAGCATTGCGGTAACAGCACCGATATTGCAAAGTCTCGCGGATGTCAATTCGATCTCTTGAATTATGTCTGGCTGCCAGAGCGCTGTAGTGAGAAGGAAACAGTGGAAGAATTCCGCATCTGGCTCAATAGCCCGGAGCGCCAATTTGGGAGCTGGCCTTTCTTTGCCGATCGCGAAGGACACGAACACATTGCCAACGAACAAGCCTTGTCAGAGCGGGTAAATGTAGATACCCGCGCGCCCCAAGAGGAACATCTGGCTCATTGTATTTTTCTGTGGCGTCGGTTGGTACGCGTTGCTGATATGAAAGTGGAGCTGGATATCGGGATGGGTCATATCCACCATTGCACCGAGGGCCTACTTTGCAGGGGCCAAATCCAGTGGATGCGGAGCGGCCTCATTCAGTGTTTCAAGTTGGATTCGGTGGATGCAGAGTAGGATAGCAAACATTGAATCATTTAATTGTTTCATGTGGCTCTTTAGATTCATATTTTTCAATGTTCCCTCAATCCCTTCGGATACTAGAGGAAGCTCTAGAGAGGAGAATGAAACATGATAAGAGCACTACGATAGAGTAATTGGGTAGCTTTTAGACGAACCGACACCAGACAAGAATCCACAATCCCCTTACAAATGAAATTTGACTTCCCCGAGACCTGATCAAGCCAGACAATTCACAAACGGCAGGCCGATTCTCTCCTGGATCTCTTTGAATGCTTGAAGTAACTTTTCTTCCTCCAACTTCTTGGAAACTAGCTGTAAAGAAACGGGCGCATCCTTCTGTTTTACGGAGTCATAATGCTCGTATGCCCAGCTGTCGAATTCGTTCTTCGGGGTGTAAGTGGTGTGCTTGGCATCCCTATCGGGATCCACCTTGGTAACCGGGAACACAAGAGCCGGGTAATCGAGAAGATTGAATAAAGAAGTATACCCCCAGTACCTCGAAGTAAAGTGAAGAGGGGCGGGTGTGGGGAATGCAGGGCAGAGTATAACATCCATTTCGGGCGCAACATTGTTCCACTCTGCATTGGACCGAATTCGGATTAGAATCAGGAACGATCATGGATTATTGCTGTACTAACGTTGTAAATAGGCGTAGCGGAACATCTCTCGTTTTCCGGTCCAGTCCCATAAGCCCTGCTGGCTAAGTTCTTCGATGCCAGGGGCATCCCGAAGGCTCCAAGCCGTGAGTGGCGTAAATGGCTCACCAGAGGCCTCGAGATGCCCGGCAAATGCCTTTCCGCCATCTGGTGCATAAAGCCTAGTCTATATACGTTCATTGGTTAGTTCAGCTCACATTGATTATTGAAGCGATATAGACCTCTTACAAGAATCTCGAGTGCCTCTTTCTGTTGGTATGCCTTCCATTCAATAACCTCAACACTATCCACCAATTTAAGACGCCCAACCACCTCCTTCAATGCCCTTGTCACTGCCGGTGCGGGAGTAACGACATCGTCGGTCCACATTACACCGACGGTTAGCTTCTTGTTATCCAGGTGAATGTGTTTCTCTTGGTCTCTCCACGGGATTGGAAGCATCATTGAATCTTTGACCCAAGGCTTTGATTCGATGATCGTCTTCAGGAAAAGTTCAATACCGCCAAATGTTGGCGAAATAGGCCCAAGTGTGCCCACAATTGTCTCACATCCGAGTACATAGGACGCGCATCCGATTAGCGGCAGTCGACCGGTTGATGGCTTTAGGCCGTAAAGGCCACAATTGGCGGCGGGAGAACGAATACTACCACCTGGATCTGTTATTAACAATTAGGAAATTAATGCAGAGAATCTGGCAATATACCGATGTCTGAACCAATTCCTAGAGGGCTGCCATGAAGGGCTTGTAAAGCTGACTCTCCGCCAGATGAACCGCCTGGTGTGAGAGCGGTGTTATGTGGGTTCGTGGTGATGCCAGTGATATTGCTGCAAGTTTCAAGAGCCATCTACCGCGAAATCAAGATATCAGCCACATATCAACACTGTAGGAAAGCTAGATCTGCTAACCAGTCCCTGCGGCTCGGTTGTCCTTGCATAAACAACCGCACCAGCATCCAACAGAATCTTGACAATATTTGCATCGTCTGGGCTCTCCCGGTCGAGCCAAGCGACGAATCCAGCAGACAAGTCTCGTCCCTTGAGGCCTATATGTCCTTTGATGCTAATTGGTAAACCGTGAAGCGGACCAGAGGGCTTTCCATGCTTCGCAAGATAATCATCAAGCTCCTTGGCACGGGCGATGGCACGGTCAGGAAGAAGCTCATAGATACAGTTGGTCTAATAAGACGATTGATTGTTAGAATTGAAAATTCAAGGCATTGTCCGGGCACAGCCTCCAGCTTTACTCACCAACTTCTGAGCGATCGCAGCCCGCCGAAGAAATGCGTTTGCTACCGCGGTCGCAGTTAGTTTACCCGTTGCAAGGGACGCCACCAAGGTCTCAGCGGAGCTCTCTGTAATAGCGATCTCGGTCTGCGAAAGGTGCTTTCTGGGGAAATCGATCACCCTGCCAGTATATGTAGCAGGAAGAGCAGCGATGGCTGAGTCAACGTCCTCTATCGAACGATCGCGCGCTGCCTGGACCTGACGGGCCGACTCTTGCCAAGAAAGCTTCTGTTGAGACGCCACAGCCATTTTTCCAGCTGAGGTTGGGTGCGTTTGAACGAGTTCCGCAGAATGCAGCCCCGTTTCTAATAAAGTCGGTAGCTGGGTATTGTTTGATCATTCTCCGCGTTACCGTTACATAGGGCACGCGGTCAGTGTGCGACCCCATGCAAAAGGATATTGGCCCCAGTGCCTGGCCCCAATGTCTCACCTCCCTTGATACAACATAGAATGCGATCCTGCGCGGGCCGTAGCTCCACTGTGCGGCAGAGACAACCCCATTTTGACTGTGGGCCCTGATTTGGTGTCTGCGTCAAATCAAAACAAAATGCCATGCGATTTTCGGACTAAATTAGCCCCGGTGATACCCACCATGTCGTCGGGGGCTTGAAATAGCGGGGGGATCTGCGATCGTCACGAGAGTTTCAAGCCCAGTCGAGCCGTGCTATCCTCGCAGAATTTCCATATGTGGATAGCGTCCTGTACCATCCTTGCAAAGTGTGATACGAGAGATGATTTCGCTTACTTGCCCCGAATGCGTGGTTTGGGAGCCGAGGGTTCCGATGCTCGAATTTTGAATTTGAGGATGATAGCTGTCTGAGATTTTCACGAAAATGAAGGCTTATCATTGTCAGCGGGTAACTCTTTTCATATATTTAAGGTCTTTACTTAGGTGAAGTAGTTGAAAATTGCTGTCGGCACACATGACCGACCTCCAGGAGGACTACGGACCAGCGCTATGGGTGGTGAATACGATCTTCATTGCATTGTCCACATTCGCTGTTGTTGCCCGTTTTGCAGCTCGACGACTGCAAAAGTTGTCTCTCGGTGCAGATGACTGGATTATCTGCGTAGCCCTTTTCTGGAACTGGCTATTATACGGGATATTCGTGGGATGTTAGTACTACAATTATTCCTCTGACCTTGCTAAAAGAATCACAGCACTAACACTGACGGGTTTTCAGGTCGCATTAATGGCCTCGGCAAGCATCGAGAAACCCTCTCACCAGAAAAAGTCGCTATATTCGCAGAACTCCTCTACTTCTTCCAGATCTTCTACGTGCTCGCCCCCCCGACTGTGAAGCTAGCACTCCTTTTTCTGTACCGACGCATTTTCCAGCATTCGAGCTTCTTGCGAGTTGTCAACGGCATGATCATTTTCATCTCTGTGTGGACAATTATCATGACTTTCCTCGCCATTTTCAACTGCAAGCCGATTAGCGCCTTCTGGACGACAGAGGGAACTTGTCTTAACTTCAAGCAATTTGCTATCGGCTACGCAATTGTAAATATTATCAGTGATTTTGCGGTTTGGCTGATGCCAATTCCAAGAGTGTGGGAAATCCAGCTTCCGAAACCACAGAAGATTGCTCTATCCCTGATTTTTGCATTAGGTCTTTTGTATGAATATTGTTTCTTTTTATCTCACTCGAAGGTACAGAAGTGCCAGTATTCATGCTTTGCTAATACATCATTATCTGTCAGTGATTGCGCTGCAGCAATTGGCCGCCTTCTGCTCTCGATGCTTGTCCTGGGCGAGTACGACTCCACATGGCTCTACGCAAAGGGATACATGTGGTCCATTATCGAAGTTTCAACGGGCATTATCTGCACATGTCTGCCAACGATGCGAATACTTTTGAAGACATTCTTCGGTGGCGCTTTTGCAGGAATCTTCGGCATGTCCAGCGTGAAGGCCAGCCGTCTGCCATCAAGCAATACACCGTGGTCTAGAACAAAGGAGTATCATGATGAGATTGGGGGAAGGTCGGTGGAGGTCTCTTCTAACGCTCAGCATACAAAAAATGATTGTGAATCGCATGATGCAGAATGGGACACGAGCTCCCGGCGGATTCTGGTGACCGAGGAGGTAAACATTGAACTTCAGCCAGCCAAACACAGGGCATCTATAAGCTTGACTTAATCGTTCGTTTGACTGGATTGGTTGTATCTTACAAGAATACCATCCCTAATGAGATATTTGTTCACACCACCTAATATTGCTAGTGTTTAATTTCTGCTTAGAAATTTCACGCACAGGTTTCCATGATGGTCCCCGCCTATACTGACCAGACATCTCGACAGGATCCAATTCTCTGAGCAGACAATTTGACTCAAATACATCAGGCTTCAAATTAAGCAGGCAACTCCATTCTTGCGTTGCCTAATTTTCCTTTGATCCCCATTCCGGTACTCTCGCGATAGCTTCATAAGGCTTAGCTCCCACAAGCTTCAGCAATTTATCATTCAATTCTGGAAGCTCCAGCGGTTGGTCGCGATCTCTTGGGTCTCTTGTCCCATCCTTCAGCATCACATGAGTATTGTGCACCACTACGTGATCATGCGGCCAATGAGTGGTTCCTCCCCAACGTTCGAAGACTTGCTTTTTGAGATCGAGTTGTTCAGGACTCGCCATGGAAGCCGGTTTGTATGCCGCATATATAGCTGTTCGAATCTGATTACTCTTTTCTGTGGGATAAGATCCATAGTGGATTGTGCAGCTATCCCATAGACTAAAATCCCCTAGACCTTATGTGGTCCAATACTGTATGACGCGCTCTAACCCCCTTGATCACGGCAAATCTGACTTTGACCAGGCCATCTTGAAAATCACGGTGCTTCGCTGATCTGCTTCAAACTTAGCTAGATTGGGCAAAATACATTCATATAGTATCGATATTACCTCAACAGATCTGCTTTTAGAGAAGGGATCGATTGAACCCCCGCCGTGGAAGAATGGGTCCCGTTTGATGCCGTTCTCGAAAAGTCAATTCTCAATGCAAAAAATGGACGACTTGAAATCTGTCGAAAGCTATGTTACAATATATGACTGGGAAACCGAGTATTCAATACCTCGGAAAATACATAGACCGCTATCATAGTGGGCCATCCATATATAAATTGTATAGTAAGCTTAGTCAACTATGCCCAAGTAGATTGTCAAATAGTGGATTTTTTGTCATTTTAGTTAGTTAGAGGCATATATATCTGTCATTTTGAACCCTACAGTGCAGTAACCGAGATTTCTGTCAAAATCTATCATTATCAATAAATATATTTCTAAAGCGGCAGGGACTCCGTCGATCACCAAGAGTCATACAAGTCCTAATGAAGGTTATATCCTGGTGAGATAAGGGAGGACCAATGAAGGTCTTGCGTTAAGGATTCCCCGGACCGCCCCTTCCTGCCCCGTACCTTGGTAGAGGTGCGGCCCGGGTCCATAGTTCACCCCACGCCCCCACCCACTCTTTGCCGGGTGCACCTTGATCAGTAGCCGTTATCGCAGAGGGCCTGAACTCATATTATCCAGACAGACGCCATAGTTCACAAAAATTCCTAGCTTTTCTCCTATCATATACTTTTCAACTACAAGGTAGAGAATGATATCTTCACTTACCAGACCAGGAAGTGTACCAACATCAGAGCCAATGAGAAGTAAGGCTTTTATCATTACAGGTATGGCTCATCAGGTTGAGTTTGCTAAGTGACTACATATCCCGAGATCATTTTGATGAAGATAAACTCGGAACCCTCGCGATAAGCACCAGCCTAGTAGCTACAATCTTCCACGACCATTCTTCGCCAATGATATAAAACAACCAAGACTCCCTTCCTTGGCTGCGTCAACAACGAAAGTATCGTTCGGAATCTTTAAAACATGGATCGACTTATTAGCATTCTACAATTTGACTCTATCGGCCCATTGCAGCCCAAATCAAGCAAATTAACAATTGCTTTGCTAGTGTCGACCTGTTGTGTCTTCGCCGTGGTATGTAAACTTATTTGTGGTCGTACTGGCTGTACCACGTCTAGCCAATTTGGCACACGACTAATCTTAATAGACAACTGGATACGATGCTGGCTTGATGTAAGCAACCTCTTAGACTTCAGCTTTCAACATGAACATCTACTGACAGTAAAACTAAGGAATGGCGTCAACATGATGCCTCAGTACGTGGATTGGTTCCAATTGACGACGGTGACAAAGTCCCTGAGCACTTGTTCATCTTACATCGGATGGTTTATTGCTGCACTTCTCATGGGCCCTGTTGTTGAACGCACTGGTCGCAAGGGCGGCATCTTCATTTCCATCATTCTCAAGCTCATTGGTATTGCATTGATGGCTTCTTCTCAAAGCGTCGGCATGTTCATTGGTGGCCGTATTATCTTAGGATGGGCTAAAGGGACTGCAGCTATTGCTTCTTCCACGTGAGTCTCCGTTTCAATACTCAACTCACCAAACGCAGCCATAGTGACGCATTATCTGATAAAAAGAGGGCACGCAGTTGGTTGGCAGAGACTTTGCCCTCGCACGTTCGTGGAAGAGGCCTGAGTATCACGTACTCGGTCTTTTTTGCCGGTGCACTCATCGCTTCTGGGATATGCTATGGCACGGCTAACATAGAAGACTCATGGTCTTGGCGTCTCCCGTGTTTACTTATGTCAACGTGGTCCCTTACTTGCCTTATTTTGCTTTTTGCGACGCCTGAATCGCCTAGGTGGCTGGTGAGCACATTTTGGACCTAAAGGTCGACTTTTGTAAAGCTTACGATTGCTAATAAATCACGTCACAGGCTTATCACAACCGAGAAGATGAAGCCTTAAAGGTTGTTGCATCTATTTATTCATCTGGAGACGATTCTTGTCATGTTGCTATTGCGCAGCATAGGGAAATTCTCAACGCAATGCGACAGGAGCAAGACAGTGGACAGACACTCTCGTATGTAGAGATTGTGCGAACGAGCAATTCTCGCAAACGCCTCATTCTTGTTGTGAGTGTGGCAGTAATCTCTATGTTATCGGGGAACAACATAGTATCATTCTATCTGGGGGATATGCTCACTACAGCTGGACTATACAACAGTCATGTACAGCTCCAAATTGTAAGCACTCATCTTATCATCTTTAGTAGCCAGAATATTCATTGGATAAATCTAACACACATTTAGACGATCATCCTCAATTCATGGTCATTAGTCTGCGCAATGTCTGGCACCTTTCTCACGGACAAAGTTGGGCGAAAGACGCTGTGCTTGATGGCATGCATTATGATGACCATTACCATGTTCTTGATTGGAGTTTTAACTAAGTGTTTGTCACCCACGATCACTCGATTCAAAGTTCAATATCTCATCCGCATACTAATACATAATGTCCAGTCTTTGGAGATGGAGCCGATATTCCCGGGGTATATGCCACAATTGCCATGATTTTTATTTTTCAAGGGTCCTATAGCTTCGGTATCGCCCCCATAACTCAACTTTATCCGCCCGAGGTGCTTAACTACTCGATTCGTGCAAACGGGATGGCTGCTTGGACTCTTGTTGTTAATTTTTCCGGGTAAGCTTTCCTCTCTGTTACTAGCATCTTATACGGCAAACTGACAAAATGGCATAGACTTCTCTCAACGCTGGCATTGCCAATTGCGCTGGCAGCTATTGGTTGGAAAATGTACATCATCAACGGTGTGTGGGATGCACTGCAAGCACTATTTGTGGCATTGGTTTGGATCGAGACCAAAGGTCTGTCACTTGAAGATATTGATCGGGTGATTGACGGCAATCCGCCACTTAATGGCCTGGATCCGGAAGGGGACTATGAAAAAAATGACAGGAAAGGCCCGGATCTGATCACAGAGCATGTAGCTCAAAAAAAGACCGATGTTAAACAGTCTTTCTGACTTACGTCTCAGTTTCTTTGCGCTCTTGCGTTTTTGGGTCGTTAGGGCTTGCACCGCGAATTGGTAGTGTGGTGGTTAGTTGAATCAATTGTTATCTCTTTACACATAGAATAGGAGGGCCTGTGGCATTTACGCTGAAAATGACCGCTTTTGAGGCCAGGACGAGCAAAAATAGTCAAACCCATTCTTCCTAAATCATTTCCGCACGAGAATGTAAGGCCCCCGAGAATGAGGCGTGCAGCACTGTCTCAGTCAGTCGAGCTTGGCTGGCCCTCATTAGTGAGGTTCCTCATTTAAACGGGCCTGGTTGTCTCGGGCTAGGACATCGCATTGGCGAACTCAGCACACTGAAATCATCATTTGCTCCACATGGCGAATCATTAAAAAAATGCTCTAGTATTAATAAATTGGCGGGGTAAGAGGGTAACGGGGTGGATGTAACGCTACCCGGTATGTCTTTAATGCGGAGGACAGGCAGTGGCGGTGATGCGCATGTCTCATCCGCCGATCGGGGTGCGTGGTTCCAAGGTTTGGTCACAAGACTTATAAATAGACTATGTCATTTTATACAATCGGCAAGGCTATTGAGAATTTTAATGGACCCCCGAGTGGTGGCCTGACAACCCAAGACATGGACACATGGACACATAGAATGGAAGCCATGTCATAGATTAAAGGCCCCCCGGATGTACTCTACCGGTAAATCGGTACTACCTGTGGTCCGAGCAGTAGCCCTATATGAAGACCGTCAATTCCTTCTCTTGTCAGGAGGGAAACAGATAATCCAAGCTTCGATTGCAAAACAAAAAGCAAAATATCAACCATGAAGACCTCCCTGATCACAATTAGTGCCCTCCTCGGTCTGGTCTCAGCCCAGAATGCCGTCGTGAACAATCACTGTGACACCACCGTTTATGTCCAGTCGTACCCTTACGATGGTAGCGACCCCGGCCCTCTCACCACCGTTCCAAGCGGGGGAACCTTCTCCGAGGATCTCAGAGCATCTGGCTCGGTATGTTACTCCATAATATTCGGTCTTCCCAATACTCCATACAGTATGTGAAACTGACTGGAGATGAAATGCGCAGAGCGTCAAGATCGATAAGACAAAGTCGCTAGATACGCCTCTTTTCTTTGGCTATTCATTCTCGTCCAACCCAGACATCGCGTACTGTGAGTGTATCCAATCTATCTGTCAGCTAGGAATCTTTCATTAACATCATCCTTATTCAAGATGAGCTTAGCACAGAATGGGGCAACCCATTCGCAGCAAATGCCAACTCGCTCGGTGCCGGGGAAGGCTGTGACTCCTTTGACTGTGCGGCCAATGATGCCGCCTGCTACAGTACCCCATCTGATAAGAAGGTCCTGCATTGCCCCGAGCCAGTCATTCTGACCGCAGACCTGTGCAATTAAATCTGTTGGCCGACATTCCGTAATGCGGTAGGGTTATGGGGGTATGCCTCTGTTTTCTTGTCCTTATTTCAACCTGTCGCGGCCTATCTCAAGGATAACTGTATGCGAGGATGAGACAGACATTTTTCGTGACACTAGTATTATGTGAGAGACTATGAATTAATATATTGAAAGAAATAGGACATAAAATCACAACACCAGTAGTATCCTGTACTCTAGTGGTAATTGGAATCAGTGCTCGAGCCATTTATGCGCCAACACTCATAATGGAGATGACGGAAACACCCTCTAAGCTATTTACATTAGAGGTATGTGATGAGATTGCATAGATGCCGCCAGACCGAGGAGCTGATATCGATGCCTAAATAACGGAGATACCCTCTAGGCCGCTTGACGTAAATGTCACGGCAAGATCACATAGAAGTTGCTTCATAATGCAACAAATGATGGCCGGATTCCATTAGATGCAGCTTCGGATTCGGGTCATCTGGAAGTCGTCAGATTTTGTACGAACATGGAGCAGATTCCGACATTAAAAAGGCAATCGAGGGGTCTAATTGTGGCTTCATATTCGTGCCATCTCAAAGTCGTGAACTTTCTGTGCGAGCATGGAGCTAGCGTTGAAGCTACGGATACATATGGACGCCAGTCACTTTTCTTTGCGTCCATAAGAGATCGCACGAAAGTCGTGCAACAACTTCTGTCCCACGGGGCTGTGGTCGGCACAAAGGGCCGGTATGGTTCAATCCCGTTTTTGGCGGCTGTACAACACGGGCATGAGACGGCTGTCTCATCTTTGTATGACCTTTAGGGTACCTGCATCGAGTTTGAGGACGGCTTCGGTCACACTTTACTCTGGTTTAGCGGGAAAATCGGAATACCGACGTCGCTGAGGCCGTCATTCAATTTACTCAAATAAGAGGCATCAAAGTCTGCGAGGGTGACTTAGCATCTATCTGCCTTTTCCCCTTTCTTCTTTTCATTCCTGAGCCCGATCTCTACCCACGAACAAGGAAATAATATATAAGTTAATTACAGAACCAACCTATCATGCCGATACTTCAATATCGCCTAAGCCAAGAAACATCAACGCTACCATGACATCATTGACCCGTACGCACTTCACGGACCCAGAAGAGCATGGTCCTGAGAAAGATATTTTTGGTCTTGTTTCCATAGAAGCTGGCCACACCGCACCCATGCTATCGCTCTTGATGATGCTGCTCGGAGAAACCCGTTTGAGTGTGGCATGTAACCATGACTTGACTGGTGATGTCCTAGTTAGATCGTCTGTGGTTTCTTCCGTGATATAACCAGATGATCAAGAGCTTTGGCCACCTTGTCAGCACCTGTCCCAGACGGGCACCTATCACTACTCTACTACCTGTAACAACGCGTCACTCAATCAACTCTCCCAAGGATAAAAACATGAACATGAACCCTGGCTGGAGAATCTCTCACTCATTCTGTCAGCTCACTATACTTTGTCGACAAAATCATAATATCCTCTCGCGTCAATTTTCATTGACTTCAAAGATCAGCCATCATCACAAAGCCTTTCCGTTACCACACCAATTTCGACGCCTTCATGCCATCGCCGACTCGTCCGATCTACTAATGGAAGATATCTACCATCCTGAGGTAGATAATGAATGTCTCAAGGACTATGTGCCCGGTGGATACCACCCGACTCTCATCGGAGATACCTTCTGTAGTGGCCGCTACACCGTCGTTCACAAGCTTGCTTTTGGTGGATATTCAACAATTTGGCTAGCCCGGGATCAGCAACGCCGTGGCTACGTATCGCTAAAGATACTAACTGCGCGAGCATCGTCAGATAGTCACGAGGGCGAAGTCCTTCATCGCCTGATGAAGGGTAGCCATGCTCATTCTGGAAAGCGATTCATTCCGCCGTTACTGGGCCAATTCTCGTTTCATGGTCTAAACGGATATCATCAGCGCTTGGTTGAAGAGCCTTCTGGTGGTAGTATTGCTTAGTTCAAGGAAAACAGCACGAATTTCAAGTTTCCACCGGACGCTGTTAGATCCATTGTCGCCCAGCTCCTCTTAGGGTTGTCTTGCTTGCATGTAAACGGCATATGCCACGGGCGTGGGGACAATCAGACTGTGCATACCCGTATACTAATCCTGCATAATAACCACAGGAAGATCTCCATTTGCGCAACTTTCTCCTACGCATACCAAACTTAACAGTTTAAGCACAACTGCGCTATACGAGCGCTTCGGTAAACCCTACGAGGTTCCTATCCGGCGAGTGAATGGAAAGCCCGGTGAGCCTCACGCTCCGCGCCATGCCATCTATCCCGTGGGTTTGAGCATGCCTGCCAACGAGGTGGATACCGTAAATCATCATCTCAGACTACGGAACGTCCTTTATTGTGACAGACACACCTACACCAACTCTTCATACTCCAGCTCTCTACTCTCCGCCTGAAGGCTTTTTCAACGAACTCATCATCCAGCCCACCGCAGCTGACACTTGAACCCTAGGTGTCAACTTGTACGAGGTCTTATTGAACTTACACTTTCGTTTTCGATCTCTTGTCAGAACCAAGCAGCATAAGAGTTGCATAAAACGGAGTGGAGGAGCCCATTGCACGTTCACTTTTATACCGTTCTTGCGAGAAATAGTTCCGTCATGCGTAAGTCACCATTTAATGCGGCATGGCTGAGATGCATTCATCTACCAGTGTTACAGATGTTTGGATCCAGTCAAGGAAGAGGCAGGGGCTCGGTATATCTATATTGTGCACCGTATAATGAAAAGCGGTTTTCCTCCTCCTTAGCCCACCACGTTAGCATCTACATGTCTTTTGTGAAAATCAATAGAACAATATAGGTGTTTAGTAACTACATGTACCCCCGCTGTATTTTCTCGGCGGTCAGTCTTGCTTGCTGAAAGTGTCCCTTTCCTGTGCGCCCCACCCCTTGCTCCCACCACGTCGAGACCATTCGAGGAATTCATCCATGTTTCATTCTCCGCTCCTCACATTCCACCGTTCATTACACATTCTCAGGGATGCTTTGAGTTGCCTTCGAGCAGCATCCCATCGATTACACTCCCCCCCAAGGTCATCGAGATACCGCAGGGCTGCCCTGATAATGAAGGCACGGCTAAGCGGTAGCACATCCATCTTTTCAAGGGACATATCGTTTTGAGTAACTGCTACATCGTGCACTATTTGGGTGATTGACTCCAGTGCGATAGAAGAGCTCTCGCGCCATTGGACTGGAAACTTTTCTTGTGAAGGAGTCATCCCCACTGTGAGCTCGATGATGTGTCTATGTATAATATAAAGAGCCCTGTTGAACTTCCTGTTCAGTGATCGGGTCTTGGAAATCTTAGCTGTGTGAATGATTACCTGATGATGATGGCGTTTGCTGTGCAGAATAGCCCCCATCGCCCTTGGGATTGCTCCATGGTGATGGCTAGAGATGTTTGAAGAGCATGGTCAAGTCTATCGAGCTGGAATAATCGGGCATCGATGTCTTGCTCCTCAAAGCTTTTGAAAACTTGATCCAGAAGCCACACAGCCTGGGTCACACTTGTGCGTCCACCACAGTCAACAAATGATGAGGCTGGGGGATTACCTTCTAGGGTAAGAGCTTCTGGGGAAGCTGGGTTCCATTTTTGCAACACAGTCTTAGGTATTTGAGCGCCTCTATCTGGACATATAGATATGAGAGGCTGGTGAATGATGTCCACTTCGCAAAAAATGTTTCTTCTCTAATGTGAGACAGTAAATCTTATCCAAGTGATGTGATTCGGTATCTTACCTTTCAACAATGACAATGCCCCACCAAATACCAAGTTCTTCTTCAGCTTGTGAATATTCCACCGTGTCCAACTCTCCTACAAGTCTGACAAGGTGCAATCGAGCAGCGTAGCCCATCCTTGCACAGACCCCAATGGAAGCAAACGCATCGTTGATTCTATTAGTCGCATACTCATAGCTGGCGATGATGATTCCTGCTTGTATGAGGTGTAATGAATGTGGGAAAGAGCTCTGGATTTGGGTGTAAAGAGATTTTGTGGTTAAATAAAGAGTCGCTTGGTCAATGGCGGAAGAATCTTTTGCTAGCCCGGGATGATATGTAATGAGGCACATAGACAACAGTAATAACGAGAAGGTTGCGGAGGGCAATGCGCTCGAGTGGAGCAGCTCTTCCCGGAAACGACAGGGCGAGACTATAGGGATGAAAGTATGAATTTCACGATAGTAGCGCGTGCTGACGTCGTCCACAGATTGATTTGTCAACCGAATGATCCGAATTATCTGCAGATACAACGTGGAATTGATATTTGTCGGTTCGTACTGCAGGACATCTGACAAAGTGTCCGACAAAAGCATTGATGACCGGATGACCGGACTAGGAAGCGCCAAAAGGGGCCTGACTGTCAGGTACTCGGTACCCACAGATGGGTATTGGCAGTTCAAGTTCTTCCTATAATCAGAGTTAGGGAGTTATCATCGCCACCAATCATAGAGAGCAATTACCGGGTGCAATACCCGCAGCGCGGCCGCTTTTTATCACACTTCCTCTTGCGATGCTTACATTTCACACAGACCAGGTTTGATACCTGAGTGGAGGCCATGGTGGAAATTCTGTAGAAATGCGTTAAAAGAAGCTCAAAAGACCCTATCAGATTCAAAATATGCAGTGCGGGGGCAAAGGTATAAGTGAGCACCTAGGCATCATGGGCCCCTACTATGTACATGTAGAGAACAAAAGATAAGTACCAAAGTCGTTATATCTTACCTGGGGACGTCACGGCCATTACATAATCGCGTTTTAGATCTAATCCCAAAATGGATTAGGTGCGGCCGCCTGTGGGTCCGAATCTGTGGGTCTGGGATCAGCCGCTCGTTCTTGGAGGTCCACTAGGCGGCCGACATGCTATCAGAGCAATATGAACAGTTTACGAGCTAAAATGCGATGGGTATAATAATATAAGATGGGAGAGATTCCAGCAGACACATCCAGCTTCTTGTCTTCTCCGCATTCACCTAATGATGTCGTCAAGCAGCTCAAGCAGCCCCGGCACCGAACCCGCCAAAGAGAGCTTACCGATACCCACCGAGCCAGATCTTCCCCCAGAGGGAGGTGTTCGAGGATGGATTTGCGTGGTTGGAGCTTTTATTTGCCTTTTCTGCACTTTCGGTTTTCTGAATGCGTGAGTGCTTCCAACATTATAATCAGAAAACCATTCCCAAATCTGACTATATACACACACAGGATTGGTGTCTTCCAAACACATTACGAACAGAATTCCCTTCGCAATTATAGCTCTTCCGATATCTCATGGATCTTTGCCGTTCAGCTATGCCTGATGTGGGCTCTAGGTCCGCTCTACGGACGTCTCCTCGATACCTTCGGGCCAGCCCCAGTGCTCTACCCATGCAGTGTGCTATGTGTGTTTGCTTTATGTATGACTAGCCTGGCAGACAAGTACTATCAGATCTTCCTCGCACAAGGCCTTGGTTTTGGAATCGGCGCCGGAGGAGTCTTTACAGCCGCTATGGTTTGTGTTGGCCAATGGTTTGTCAAGAGACGAGGACTGGCTCTCGGTATTGCGGTGTGTGGGTCAAGTACCGGTGGTGTTATTTTCCCCATTTTCTTGAACAAAATGGTTGGCGATGTGGGCTTTTACGGCACAGTTCGGTATACAGCTTTGTTCATTGGTATCTTGCTAGCTGGGTCTTGTTTCATGGTCCGATCGAGGTTGCCTCGAAAGCCATGGAATAAAGATGCGCCTTGGCTTGATTTGTCTCTGTTCAAAGAGAAGCAGTTCGCTCTATACTGCCTAGGGGCATTTTTTGTGATGTTTGTTTCGTTTCGCACCCATCAAAGTGTATTACTGACCGTTGATCAGGTGGGGACTCTGGGGTCCATTCGACTACCTCCCTAGCATGGCTCAAGAAGAGGCAAAGTTCTCTCCCAACCTAGCTTTGTATTTGATCTCAATCATCAAGTAAGTAACCTCATTCTTTCAGGAGTCCTGATGCTGACTAGTGGCGAAGTGCTGCCTCAATTCCCGGCCGCATTATCCCTCCGCATATTGCCGATCATATCGGCCATTTCAATGTAATCACCACCTGCGCATTTTTGACAGCAATCTCAATGTTCTTTCTGTGGTTGCCCTTCCACTATCACCCCTCGCATGCGGGGCTTATTGTTTTTGCGCTGGCTTATGGGTTCGTGACGGGTGCCGTTGTCTCGCTACTCATGCCCTGCCTCGCAAAGTCAGGAAAACTGGAAACATTGGGCGTCCGATTTGGAACTTTCCAAATGGTGGTTGCTCTCGGGTATGTTTCTGACTTATTTTCAGCTTGTCTATTGAATTTCTTTCGCTCATTCGCCTTCTAGATCTCTTACTGGTCTCCCTATCATGGGTGCCATCCTGAACCAACAGGGCGGGAAGAGCTTCGCTGGTCTGGAGATATTTGCTGCTGTATCTGCGCTACTCGGTACAAGCTTCTTCGCGCTGTCGACATATCAAATGGCTCGCTCCCGAGGAACCTGGCGAGTCTGATGGCCAGGGGTTTGGAGATTTTCTTGGGCGAGAATTGGTGAGCAGTCATATAAGTGATTGGCCAAGAAGGATGCGGTCATGAGATGGAAGATGGACTATTACATGGCATGTCAAGTGGTAAAGGTTACAGCTACTATAATGTGTGGACATTCTCACCTCTGATAATGATAAATATAAAACAGATATATATACGATCATTCCACTGCATAATAATTACAATTAACTGGTAGAAAATCTAAACAAATGAACATTCAAAAGAACAGCACACTCTAGCGCTACCCAATCACCCTTTTTTTCGTATTCGTTATATTTTACCACTTATTTTCCATTAAAAGAGAGCTTAAACCGGTGTCTAAGGTAGCCGTTTTCAGCAGCCAATTACCGGCAATTCGACGTGGTGTAGTAAAATAGTTCATATCATCCGATTCAGCGCAGATCCTCCCGTGTGGAGCGCAGATCATCTTGTGTGTAAGTGTACACTCGCTCGTGTTTCCTTGTCTCTTCGCATTCACTTCGTTCCGTGCAGTCGGCCTGCACTTCTTGACGCCTTCGAGAGTATAGTGCCGCACCACGAGCCGCAGCAAAAGTTGGATCGATTGCGAGTTTGATATCGACAGGGTGAGGCGAGAGTTCAGACATAGAATTCCTCAATATATCCAGGAAGCGAGGGTGTGTTACACTCTCACCGGCCAAAAGGAGATGCGTAATGGGATATTCGTACTCCCGAGGCAGGATCTGGAGTTGTGAACGAAGACGGTCCCATAATGCGGCTTCGTCTTTCTCGAGAAGACGATCTAGCCCAAGCCCGTAATCCACGAGTTGCGCCTCAACACTAGTAAGCCTGCTAAAAGCTTGACTATCGCAGCCTTCCAAAATGCTAGCATATAAGATATTGCGGTTATAGGAAACAAAAAGCACGCTAGTACCAGGTGACTCTTCAAATTCGTCCATGCAATCAAAGACATCTAGGTAATTGGTGCATAGTCCGTGACCGTTCGCCGCATAAACAGCATCTCCTTCCAGTAGCCGCCGTGGATAATGAATGCTATCACCTCCCCATGTGCGTAGATGTAATATTCGAAGTGCAGCGTTGATTTTCGCTGAGCTAAGTGACTGGAAGCCGGGATCTGCAACAGCAACCCTGTCGAGAGGTTGGGATATTTCCTTTTCGGTGAATACTTTCAGTTGTTGGAGTAAATCACTGATGATTTCGACGTCATCTGCTTTCACTGGTCGACCAAGTCTCGTGTTCAGCCAACGCCACCAGTCTCTCCACGGCGAGGACTCGTCCGGAAGGAGAGATTCCATTAAGCGTAATGTAAGTCCACTGATGAAATCGAAGGTTGTTTCCGGTAAAGGCTCAGATACTGTAGCCAGACGTGTCATGAGTTCGAGGTACTCAGGACTCCCCAGAACTTTGACAATCTCGACAACAGTTCCATTATAGTAGTGCACTGCAGCTGTCCTGGATTACAAGCATTAGATAGGTTTTTAGGCCATAGAAAAGGACTGTTGAAGTACTCACCCGTATGAGGGGGTCAGGTCGAAGCCAACCCCAGGTGCATCGTGAACCTTCACAGGAAGACACGTATCACACCACTGACAGATGCAGCAGCCTTCCCCGTGTCCAACATTGACAAAAGACAAAAGGTGGGCCAAAGAGCACATCCACCACAAAGTCATCATTCTTATGAGGATGGGTTGGTTCGTATGTCCTTTCCCGGGATGTTGTGGTTTAGGTGTTCCTAAAGTCGGAAAGCCAGATCATAGGATATGGGGTCCAAGATCCAACGAACAATAGGTAATAAAATGATCCAAGGCTGTCGTAGAAGAGTGATTATCATACAATCTGTACTAATATGTAGGATATGTAGGTACTATGTATGTAGGCACACGATAGTAATTGTGCACCTCCTTGGAAGTGAGAACTGCCCATCTAAGCAAATGCAGTGGGGAGGCTTACCCAAAGTAGTTTAGTACCCAGGCGAACCCTTGTAGATATTTATCACTTCCCTCAAACCGCAGAATCAAATGGTTGCATTGTTTATCAAATATCTTAAACAGAGGCTAAACAGATCTCCATTTTTCAGGGCAACCCCTTTTCCTGCCCGTGGAACCTTGAACCCCCAAAGAGCGAACGAAGACAACATGGAGTCAGTGCCACCAGAACTGAGATCTTCTGACTTACACCCAAAGAACGAAACGCAAATTGGGTTAAGGATAAATTAAATGTCAATCAGTAGGAGTACATAAGATTTTTCAAACCCGAAAGATCTGTCCTGCGCTTGTTGTTCCGTTCTCGATCCGGTGAAGGCCATCAATCACCCAAATATCTAAGCCATCGCTTTATCGGAGGCTAGACGCGTACCTGAGAGAACCTTCACTTTCAGATGGCCTTTTGTCATTGGTGCAAAATAGTCTCCCCATTTCATATCATCTGGTGTCGTTTCATATAGCTGTAGGTCAAGATAGTGAAACATGCATGAAAAGGCCAAGTATAACTCGGAATAAGCAAGGCTAGAGAATAATTGTTCTTGTAAGTTCAAGTATACGCCACGACGATCGAGGGATATGATGCGCATAGATGTAGTATGTTCTAACTTACTTGATCCCGATACAGCCCCGCGATCCCCTGGAAAATGATAGCAAGTGGCGTTCTAGGTATTTAGCGTCATCACCAAGCCAACGCTCGGGCTTAAATGACTCTGGATCTTGGAATACCGAGCTATCAATATGATAAACATAGTGGCTAAGAGAAAGGGTGGTCTGTAGCCATATAGTTAGTAGGTTAAGGTGGCATGCGAACTAGCGAGACCAAGAAGCATACTCCAGGGGGTATAAATTGTCCGCATAGTGTGGCACCAGATGGTGGTACAGTACGCGGGACTCGTCCAGGGGCCCCATGAGAGAAGCGAAGTGATTCTTTCACAATGGCTCTCTAGAAACGTTATTATTAGTCGCTTGCAAGTCCTTTATATAATCTGAGCAAAAATTCAGTTACGCACCAGGTAAGGTAGTTTCTCAAGTGTGTCTGCAGTTGGCATTGGGAAGCCATCAAGCATTACACTGGACAGCTCCTGTTGGAGTTTGTGTTTGATTTTCGAATTGCTCAAGACATGGAAAGTACCATTAATCAAAGTGCTTGCTGTCGACTCCTCCCCGGCAGCTAGGAAAACTAGAGTTTCGGCTGTGAGATCTTTAATGGATGGTTTTGGTAGTTCTATCTTCGCGTCTGGATGTAAAGCCAAGTCGAACAGGCTCGGATGCTGTTGCCTTGTCAATTTAGGCCGATTGATGACATTTAGAACTAAGTCTTGGGCTTCCTATATACGCAAATATCAGCCAAAAAAGGAAAGAAGGACATGCGTAAATAATTGCGCCAACTCACAGTGCGCATGTGAAAAACTGCAGCAAACATTGTATTCCACTTTGCAAGAGCAGGGAATTGCAAGACAAGACCAATGATGAACCTGGAAAATCCATGGAATGTGCGAATAAAGACTGTAGAGACAAGAAAATGATTCATATACACCACAGATGGATAAGAAAAGTCTGAGTAATCGAGCGCCCCAGTTGCCCTCTGCCATCCATAGTTTATGATCAGGTCTGTGGTAAGCGAGTGATAGCCTCTTGTAAGATCAACAACCCTGTTCTCTTTGCCATACTCTCTCAATATATTTATGAACTTCATGATGGTGGCATTAATCAAAGGCTCGCCTCTTGCGACGGCTGCTTTAGAGAGAAATGGCGCAAAAAGTTCTCGTCGCGATTTGGCAGACTTGAGGTCTGGCATGTTGAAGTGAGATCCTTCCAAAAGAGGATGATCGTAGAATCGGCGCGTCTTATCAAATTTTGTGCCGACGCTAAAAACTTCGTTATAAGCATCTACATCGTGGATATGTAGTTCATTGGGATAGGTTCGGACAATTGGCCCTATAACCACGGGAGGTGTCAGATGTGAGCGGAAACAACATTAAAAAAAACCATACCATATTTTCGATGAAGTTCTGGAAGGTTCAAAGTGTATTGGCCCCCTTTAATCAACGTCCAATACGCGCCGTAAAGGTTCGTAGCAGCAGCCAGCTTCGGTCCCGGAAACCGTGCAAGGGGATGGAGAAACAGCCTATAAATCATACGAAGGCACTGGAGCCCCAGCAAGACGACTATCAGCCACGGCCAAATCATACTGACAATGGTGGGCTTGTTTGAGGATTGGAAAAAACCTTAGAAAGTGCTTTGTGTGGCATACTTATAGTACACTGCTGGCTTGACTACCCATTTCGTCTTGAACGCCCTACCATTACTATGTCATTAAAATTCATGAATCATATTTATCGGATATGTTTACACCCTTTCCTTGAATTCTCCTCGCCCTCGTCACATTTTATATCTAGTGTTGCAGGGATCCCATGTATGCGGCAGGCGAGGCTGAAATGAGCCACAAGCAATAATGCTTCACCAGCCTATTACCGCCAATGCGCGAGTTCTATTTCTGTTTTCGATATTGAATAATTGCGGGCCGTGTAACCAGTCACATATCTCATCGACAATCCTTGGCTCATTATATCTGAATGAAGTCCCTACATAGTTATATCACATGCACTTCTTTAATTAGGAAACAGCTCCACCCCATAGAGATCTTTGGATATGCAATCTCTCGCCGTTTATTATTCCCGTTATTCCTACTCCGTAAAACATAAGAGATCCACCATATTAGCATAAAACTGTGAGGCACATGGGCCCTTCGTCACTGGTCCTACAGATTAGCTTCATCTTCATCATACTAAGCAACCCTAACCCGTGATTATATTCGCCAGTAGACTTCAGCCAAATGGATTGGAACACGCGGATGACAGAACATGGCAATGGATTTACGAACCATGAATCGTATTATACGGACCGACCTAGACAGGGGTTTTCTCATAGAGACGCCACACACCCGATTTTTTGACCAAAAAATGCAACGCCGAGATTTTCTTTAAAGGGCGGGCCATGCAATAGAACAAAATAGGGGTTGGTTATGCATTAGTGGCATGCAAATGCGTGGACAACACAACGACTATCATTATGCACAAGGCCGCAAGTGGACTCATTCTCAAACCCGATATATTTCCGAGTCTAGCGTGGGCGAAAGTCGTAAAGTTAAGAGGCTTTCATTCGAGCCATGAAATTCAGAAGGGACTTTATGAGAATGATGTGGTAAGATCTTCCCAGTGAATAGTTGGATAGCAGCCAAGATTTGTTCACGTACAGCCATTCGCCTGATGTTGATATTCTAACAATAAGATTTGATCTATGTAAATCAGACGTGAATCCCCCAACCAACAAGCTAACGTAGAGGAAATTTTAAAGACGAGTTGTTACCCAATAGGCAAGTTACGAATGGAGAGCCGGCTAAGGCCTGCCTCAGAAGGAGTCTTTTCAACATCAGTTTCATAGGTCCTAATATTCTATGTGTAAATAAACCAATCCACTTACACTTGAATATAGAATGGAAGACGCCAGAGCCATTAGTCAAGTAGACAAAGTATAAAAAAGACATTAAGGCATTACCCTCATTCCCCTAAACTCGGACAAAAGCTGTAGAGTAGGGTATCACATTAGCACTACGCCCAAAATCATGTGTATACTGCAAGAGAGCCACATAGAGGGAGGGGAGACACTTACTAGCATCAATCTGCTGAATATTGGGCAACGCCAAGCGCACCTTATTCCGATAAACAGCCGGCCCATTCAATTGCAACGGGTTGCCCTCAAAGTAAACAGTCTGCAGCTTCTCCTTATCCTTGAGCTCGCGCTCAACCTCTTCAAAGCTAGCAAGCTGATTATTTGACCCCCACAGCTCCTCGAGGTTCTTTAGTGAAGAAAGATGTTCAAGATGGGAGACCTGGTTGTTGGAAAAGTCAAGCACGCGCAGTGTCTCGTTGGATTCCAGCCCTGAAAGATCGGTTACTGCATTGTGAGAGAGGTAGAGCTCTTCGAGCTTTGGGAGCGCGGAGAGACCCGTGATTTTGGTGAGGCGGTTGGATTGGATGGAGATGATGCGGAGGTTTGAGAGGCTGTCCAGGTTCTGGGAGGGTGTCAGTTTATTTACTTGTTAGGGTATGATGGGTGACAATTGCAGACCTTCATTTCGACAATCTTGTTTTTTCCAAGCCAGAGCTCTTCCAACGCGGTAAGTGTTTCCAAGTTTTCGATTTCCTGAACGGACCCCGTGTCAGCTTCTCCATTGCTCGCCTCGTATGTGGGTATCATGTAGTACGAACCCGAATTTTATTCGCGCCCAACTCCAAGTTCTTGATTCCAGTCAATTCCTCCAAGCCCTCGATACGGGAGATTTTGTTCTGCACAAAGAAAATCTCGGTCAACTTCTTCAGATGCGAGACATTCTTGATATGCTTGATCTTGTTGAAGCTCAGATCCAAGCTCGTCAAATTATGGAACTCCTCCAGGCCCTTGATGTGAGAGATGAGGTTATCGTAGAGGTCGAGTTCGGTCAGACTGGCAGCGACATTTGGAGGGAAGTTGATGCGTGATATTTGATTCTGGCGCATGCATAGTCTCTGTATATCCCCGCATGTTAGCCATCTGGGTGGATCAAAGGAATGCCGTGCCGTTGCGCTTTTGTGCTTTGAGGAAAAAGTGGTACCATATTCCTCTCTGCTACCAGACACATGCGGATTCCAGGGTCGTTGAGGGTATGTACCTGAAGCTTAGGGAAGCGTTCCAATTTAAGAGCAGAAATCGATGATATCCGGCAATGCACGAGGTCAATATCCTACAGCAGAAGAATGATTAGCAATCACGTCGCGCGCGTCGCGATCAGCGGAAGCCCAGGGCTATATGCCTACCTCTGCATTAACATCTTCCTCTGCCAATAGATCTGAGCATCTGTTAGTCTATCAACTCGCCAGTGAGCGCTCAGCACTGAGCAATCAATCATCCAGCGACCGTACCTTCATCAGCCTCAATCTCTTCGACCGGGGGTGCATCCGGATCCGAGTAATCTGAATCCTCCAGCGCCTCCGGGTTTGTAATAACGGCCTTTGGCTCCATTCTCATTTTTCCGTCCCAGCCCTCCTTGTTCTTCATGATTTCAGCCAGCGTGAGAGTTGTGGGATGTTTGGGGATGTTTGGAGGTGGGCGGTGGGAATCGCGATTGCGGGGAGCTTTTAGCGTTTTTATCGGGAGACGATCGATCGCCAATCGGGGATTTTAGGGGAAATGGAAATTGGAGGTTGGCTCAAAAGAACAAAGGGGTAATAAGAAGGAAATAAAGAGGTTGCACTGAGAGTCAGGAACTGAAACCTTGGTTTCGGGAAGGTTGAGGTCAACTGGTGACTACATCATCGTCTTAATGCAAGTCTCAATGCGGAACGGCCCCGAAGCACTTCAACTTATTTACTTACACAGATGTTTACTTCTCATATCCAAGGTTATAGATGGATAAAAATTAATGGGTTAAATTCATTTCTACTCTAATACAACTTGCTCCATTTTGTTTTATGGATACGTCATCTCGGGGGCTATATACAGCATCGAGAGCCGTGACTGATCATGTACATTGCATGAAAGAATCACTCCGACTTTGGCAGCGTAAAGGGAGTTATTAGACACTGCTCACTATGAAGGAGATGCATACCACTGCCAGGCAGAGGTCCCAGCAAAGGAGAGGACACGATGAAATGCATGCTCGTGTATTGGTGAGCTGAGATCAAGGCAGTAAGGCCGTGTAGCAAGGCAGAAATGGGAAAAGAAAAACATAGGGGGGATACAGCGGGGGCATGATAACCAAGAGACGCCTGCAGAATGCATGAAAAGCGGACTTGTTAGGTGTTAGGATGGGGAGAAAATACACAAAAAAAGGGAAGATCAGGACATGAGGGGGTGTTGATAAAGCACAAAGAAAAATAAAAGGAAAAAAGGGGGAATGGGCTCGCTCGGAGCGTAGTGAGATACAAAGTCAAATTGCAATGCAAAAGGTCGAAGATGGTCAGGTCAATGTGCTATCCAAGAACGACAACAAATGCAGAAGACGGGGCCTCGGCCCAGTAGGATACCAGTTCCATCTGGGTCCATGTTCGGTCGTCGAGAAGGGGAATAGAATCTGTAGTAGGAAATAGGGCGACTACCCATCAATGGCAGCAATGCTGTAGGAACGCAAAAGGAAAGGGCTTTTCTCGCGTAGAAAAGAAAACAATTCGCTCAAAATGGATATCTCAGGCGTAAGAAGATCCCATCGAGGCATCTACAGGGTGCAATCCAGGACCATGCTGACATCTTGGACTTGGGCCCCTGCGAGATCCTCGAGAACAGGGATAAGATCAAGCAACTCATTGTCATGAGCGTCAGAGAACCAGCTACTGATGGGAATCGCGTGCTCAGGGTGGAAGATGTAGGATGTGGGGGAATTATCAATGATGATGGTTTCCTTCAAGTCTCGACCGACTTGTGAAAGATCCTAGATGATGGTTAGCTTGTTCCCAATCACTAAAGAGGGCAAAGGAGCTCACCTTGACGTAGTTTCCCTGGTGATTATAACAACTCTCTCGGAATAGACGGTGATGAACCACGTTGTGAATATCAAGTTGATCGAGCAAAGGGTCACCATACTATAAGTCGAGTCAGTGTGTCACTTGCCAAAGCCATCAACTATCAACTGACCTTTGAAACTGAGGCAGTGAATACCACTACTTCATAAAGCTCACCAACGCGCTTCATGAATGCATCCACGCCAGGACGTTTGATCACATAGATGTTGTGGTATTGACCTTCGATCTCAACTGGAATGGTGAAGTCGGCACGCTCCAAGACCTGTGAAATTCATGAGTGAGATGAGACAATGATACAAGTATACGCCTTAGGTGTATACCGAAAACGAAGGAGACTTACCTTGAAGCTGCTGTGAACCAGTGTTTCATCGAGATCAAGAACCAAGCACTTTCGGCCACTTAAGTGCGGCAAAGGTGCGGGGAGCAAAGGTTGCGCGGTGTCCTCATATTGGACTCGAGCAGGAGGGGCCGGGGGTGCAGGTGGCAGCGGTGGTGGTGGCGGGGGGATCACCACGGGGAGTTTCATTTCTTGATGAGATGTGACTTCTTCTTGGCCGTCGGTGCCAAAATCTTTAGGAATGGTTGACGTTGATGCAGAAGTGAGGTCCTCGGTGGTTGAGGTTGATTGGCCCTCCCAATCGTGTGCGTTTGCGTCAGCTTTCACTTCAGGTACTGATCCCATCACAGTTCCCGTTTGGGCTTGCGGGTTAACATCATTGGTCTGATCTTTCTGGCCAGAGACTTCTGGCTGTTTGGCATCCACAGAAGGACCGTCAGCTTGCACGCTAGCCGTGGCAGGCCGGACCTTGCGGTCTTCTTCGCCAGGCTGGTCAGCGCTGACTGTGGAGTTTGCCTTTTCGTCTAAGTATGGCTCCCTTGATTCTAGGGTGCTTGAGTCACCAGTAGGAGCATCTGTCTTGTCTGGAGTAGACAACCTGTTGGAGGTAGGTGGCCGCATGGTTGTTTTCTTTGCAGGCAGAGTAGTGTCATCTGCATCAACTTCCGAAGAGGAGCAACAGCCCAAGAAAGCCAGGAACTTTGATGGACTTTTCTTCTGTTGAGGCTTTGAGGAGCTGTCATCGGGCATAGTCGCCGCCTCTTTACTTTCCTCCACATTTACTCCGTTCTGAGTCTGGCGCGACCGGCGGCTACTTGCCCGGCTGTGATCCCGTTTTGACCGTAGGATACTCACTTTGGAGCTCCGTCGAGAAGGCTCATCTTGCGCTGCCTCCTCAGTCTTTTCCGACCCCTGTTGCTTCGTTTTCGAGGATCGTCGCGACGGGATCGGAATCAACAAATGGCGTTTCTTCGGTGCGTTGGTGCCTTCGGCAGCAGTCGATGTGCTCTCCGCTAGTGCAGCGGAAGACGAGGCTGGATCGGAAGGTGCGACAGAGGTTGCATCATGGGTCTCGGTCGCATCGGTGGCTCTTCCCTGCTCGGACTCAGGAACTACGGAAGGAACGACGTCAACAATCATATCCCCCTTTGGGTGCAACACGTGAGAAGGAACAAGCGCATTCACTTACTGGCTGAGCCCGGAAGGCCGGAGGTATTCATGGTTGCTTTGTTTGCGGATTCCAGAGCAGAATCTCGCGCAGTGCTCTCTCCACTCATCGTAGGGTGGCTGCGGTGTTAGGTGTCCCGACACAGATAAATATAAAAAAAAGGAATGGAAGCGAAACAGATCCAGGTCTGAAAGGCCGAGTCAATGCCAGAACTCTCTAAGGTCGAGAGCGCGGCTAATAGGGGACGTCAACACGCCTCCTAGATAATAAGCAAGCGCTCTGGGAAGTTCACACGTACCGCCTATGGCCCCGGGGAGTGATCCAACACCCACTATTTCACTTTCGAAACCGACAAGCTAAACGAACAAAAAAGGGATGTGATATCTTCTACCGGTTAAAGGAGGATTTTCGGGGGAAGAGGAGTCGAGAGGAGTCGGGGGGATGTCACGTGAATCTACGGTGTGGGAAAACGGGGGGAGGGAAATGGGATTTATTTCCTTTTCCCTTTTTTTTTTGACGCTAAACAGGGCTAAGAAGGCTAGCAAGGCACAGGGGGCCCTTTTTCACACGCTACTACAAGCCCTCAGCGGCTACGGTAAATGCCGACTTGCTATCACGCTGTTCAGAGTTGCACCCTGTACTCGGCCGATGCTATTTTCATCTTCAATGTGGGATTCTTATTTCTTCACTCTATACATCATACATACAATCTCACAACGCAGGGCCTGAGTAGAAACAAGCAGAATCTTTTTAAGATGATCCCGATCAGAGCCTGTGGGGTGATCTAATTGTGGATATCCAGTGTGATTGTTATGTACGGCCCCTTTTTTATGGCCACTTTTATCCTTTAATGGCCACTCATATGCCCAGTAGGAGGAGCTATGGCCTTCCAAACGTGATGGATTTCATTTGGTGCGACTCAAATTACATCCAGTTCAAAACCCAAGCCCGTAAGCTGCAAAATTCAACTTAGGCTATATTTGTCAATGTTAGTTCGAGTTCTCGAGGTTCACTCCGCTGGGTTGGAATGTTTCATATAGGGGAAGTTGAACATGACCATAACAAAGGATAGATATCAAAGAAAATAATATGGATTACTGGAGACTAGGGGTGGGATCCATAGACCTATCTCCAGGGTCAAAGTTCAAGATCGGAATTTCTCCATTTCTATTATTATCCAATCTGCCCATTTTCCAACACCCCAGTTCATCGGAAGGTGGAAGAGAAGGCTGGGCTGCAGAAAGAGTACAGTCAGCTTCCCCACGTGAGATGCTTCTCCGCATATCCGAGGTTCACATGCAATGATGCAAACCCCCCAAATATCCCCAAATATCCGTGTCAACTTCATTTTCTTGCCTTGACATGCATTCTCTATGGTTTGGAATACACTCAGAATTAATCTCATGGCCTTCGGTCGAGTCTAGGGACCACCCCTCAGTTACCTCGTGAATCGGAGGTCTTAGGCCATTTTAAGATGGCCGCTCAGTCAACCCTTCGGCGTCCGGAGGATCCCCTCCTGGCATTATATCGTCATTACTCCGACCTCATACGCTCCAAGTACCACCGAACATCCAAAACCACCCGCTTGATTGCAACGGTAGCCCTTCTATTCTCTATCATCACCTCGGGTTATGGCGGCTACAAGTGGTTCCGAGGGAGAGCCAAGGAGCGAGCCCAGGGTCGCCGTCTATTACGCCGGAACTCTGGTATCCGGGGTAAAGATGGATCCCGTACTATCTACGTTCCATACAAGGACTCCCTAACCTCCAAGGTCTTGATCCATCCCACCAAACCGACTACCTTTGACGCTCATCGACGATTATTCCTCAACCCCCCGGCATCGGCTCGCAGCAAAGATGATGGCTCAGCAAGCCAGATTCCTCCGCCTACAACGAAACCAGGTCTGAATTTGGCATTCCTGCATCAATTCTTAAGCTTGGGTAGTATCATGGTCCCAAGATGGGGGAGCAAAGAGACTGGACTGCTGATGAGCCACGGCTTTTTTCTCTTGATGAGAACATATCTTTCGCTGTTGATTGCACGGCTTGATGGTGAGATTGTGAGGGATCTAGTTGCTGGGAAAGGAAAGGCTTTCCTTTGGGGTATCCTCAAGTGGTGTGGGATTGGAACCCTTGCTTCGTATACCAATGCGATGATCAAATTCCTCCAATCAAAGGTGTCCATCGCTTTCCGCACTCGGTTGACCCGGTATATACACGACTTATACCTAACCGACAATAACAATTACTACAAGTTAATGAACTTGGATGGTGGAATCGGTCAAGGGCCCGACCAATTTATCACGCAGGATCTTACCCTGTTCTGCACGGCTGCCGCATCACTATACTCCTCAATGGGAAAGCCGATGGTAGATCTTTTCGTATTCAACTATCAACTGTACCGCTCACTCGGTCCCCTTGCCCTGAGCGGCATTTTGGCTGGGTACTTTAGCACAGCCGTGGTGCTCCGGAAACTGTCCCCGCCATTTGGAAAGCTCAAGGCAGTAGAGGGCAAAAAGGAAGGAGATTTCCGTGGCCTGCACTCCCGACTACTAGCTAATGCTGAAGAGATCTCATTCTATGGCGGAGCTGATACCGAGCGGGTGTTCCTAGTCAGAAGCTTCAAGGAACTGCAGCGATGGATGGAGGGCATTTACAGTCTCAAGATTCGCTACAACATGCTCGAAGATATGATCCTGAAGTACTCTTGGTCGGCATTTGGTTACTTGATAACCTCCCTGCCCATCTTCCTTCCCGCCTGGGGTGGCTCGGGTGGTGCAATGGAGTTGGCCGATGCACCCGCGGGAATGGGTCGCGAGCGTGGTCGCATGAAGGAGTTCATCACTAACAAGCGCCTCATGCTTTCGCTCGCCGATGCTGGAGGCCGCATGATGTACAGCATTAAGGATATCTCCGAACTCGCTGGTTACACCTCTCGCGTCTACGGCCTCATTGCCACTTTGCACCGTGTCCACGCCGATGCGTATTACACCCCACAAGGCTCACATCCCGAACTATACTCTCTTGCCGATTCCCAAGGCACCACCCACAACGGCTTCGATGGTGTCCGCTTAGAGCAGGTCCCGATCGTCGCACCATCCCTCCACCCAATGGGCGGCGACGAACTCATCGAGTCGCTCTCGTTCATCGTCCATTCGGGCGAGCATCTCCTTATTTCAGGTCCAAACGGCGTAGGCAAGTCTGCAATCCCCCGCATTGTGGCCGGGCTCTGGCCCGTATACCGCGGGCTAGTTAGTCGCCCTCGAGGCTTCGGTCTCGACGGAATCATGTTCCTCCCTCAGCGGCCGTATCTCAGCGTTGGCACTCTGCGCGACCAAGTTCTCTACCCTCACACAGAAGTCGACATGCGCGAAGCTGGCGAGACAGACGCAGCTCTGCAGAAGATCCTCGACGACGCCCATCTTGGTTATCTGCCACAGCGTGAAGGCGGATGGGACGCTCGCAAGGAGTGGAAAGACGTTTTGAGCGGTGGTGAGAAGCAGCGCATGGGCATGGCACGGCTCTTCTACCATGAGCCGCGGTATGCATTCATGGACGAAGGCACTTCGGCTGTTTCCTCAGACGTCGAGGGTTTACTGTACGATAATGCCAAGGAACGAGGTATCACACTCATCACAATTTCGACGCGGGCGTCATTGAAAAAGTACCACACCTATAACCTGACTCTTGGCCTGGGTTCCGAAGGCGAAGTCTGGGAGTTCGAGAGAATCGGTACTGAGAAGGAGAAACTTGGTGTTGAGAAAGAACTGCAAGAGCTGCGAGCGCGTCTGGATAAGGTGGATGAGTGGAAGCAACGCCGCGAGGAAATTGATCAGGAGCTTCAGAAAGTTTGGGCTAATAATGGTGAAGTTGCACCGCCGCCTTATCAGGAAGAAGAGCACTCTAGCTCTGAGGCTCTTGTTGAAATAACTGCGAATTGAATGTACACAGTCAGCATGGATAACTTTGAAGATCTCCAACCTTGAAATGTTAGAATGAAGTTTAACAAACCCATCTGCCTATGCACACTAGGTATATTTCTGAATCTAGACATGTTGTTGACTCAAACTAAAGCGGCATGAGATATTTCCCCTTTTCTCACCGCCCTGTTAAAGCGGCGGCATCTCTTATCGATAAGCTTCAACAAAGAAAGCCATCCATGGATGGGTCTCCATAGTAGCTCATCCTATCAACAACTCTCCCTCACTTGCATTCTCGTCCAAACTCTCAAATCGCTGTCTCTAGACAGCTTCTCGGGCTGCGTGCTTTTTTTAACTGTTTCCCTTAGTATTGCTGAGTCATAGCCCATTTACAATCCCATCTGCACTCCCTGGGCTTCCCGGGTGGGGAAGACAAATATGTCTTCTAGCGAGGATGATGACCCTAATGTGAATGTTATCCCTATGGAGAACTTTTCTAGCGATGGAGATATGAGTACCTGGCCTGGGGGTAACTACATTGAACGCCCTGATATTCGCTGGCGGCAGTTACTTGCTGAGAACTGGCTCAAAAGTATGGGCACTTACGAAGAAGGTGAGTTGACTACAGTTTCAGTTTCATGTTTTGTTTAGCATGCTGGCTTTTTTGCACTGCCTTATTTTACACGTTACATTCGTTGGGTGACTGCATCTGTCGCTTCATCCAACTGTCGTTTGCTGATCTGCTCCTTTTACTTCATGCTTGCTTTCTTCCGTGTTTCTACGCTTCATAACTCTACTCTCAGACTGACAGCATATATCAGGTGTCAGTCATATCATTGAAAAGCTACCAGAGGGATACTGTCTATTTCAGCGACCTCGTGGGACCGATCCCAGCTTAGTGAGACTTCCCAGTGTCCTATTTTGATTTATAACTAACAACATGTGAAGTTTGATCCCTTTCTCTTTGGCCATCCGAGCGGTCAATATTTCCAATCACAGAGAACTTTCTTCCCACATTTCCTGTCTCTTGTCAAGAACGAGCTAGACAAGTGTAAATGCAAGCCCTGTGAGAAGATGAAGAAAGGCCAGGGTACCGCAGTTCAGGGAACTAGGCGTTCCGTGCAGCCAGGTGAGTACTACCATGCCTCTATATTAGATCGTTTGTTAACACACATTGAGTCACCAACGAGCGTCGCCCCACCGATGCTGAGGGACCAGATTACTGGCGAATCCTGGTTATGAAGCTGAAGGATAAGGGGGAGTTGAATGAAGATATTGAGCAGCGGTTCAATCTCGACTGGGCATTGACCCACGAATGGCTTTCTGATTACTTCACGAAACTCGTTCTAGATCCGGGTTACGTCCCTCGTCGTGGTGAACTAGTTCTCTGGATATGGAAGGGTCTTGAGGACGGTTGCTTGATGCGAAACCCCAAGTCTGGCCTCGTCGAAATATTCGGCAACGACAACAAGTGGCATGGTGTGCCCAATTGGCGTGCCGGCGTGGTGACTCAAACCCCAGAGGATGAAGGTCATATGGTGAATATCATTGAAACCCCGGACAGCCCACGCGGGCTAAGTTACTCGGGATTCCGTGTGGAGACTCTCCCAGATCCCCTGGGGACCGACAAGTCTTACTCCGTCCAATACGCATATGTTCCATTGCGGAATATCAAACCTTTTAACACATGGCAAATCTACCTCGATGGCCAAGAGCGAGATGATATCCATCCATCGGTTGAGAACGCCATGACTGTTATGTCTTCCTGGAGCGTGGTTCACAAATTCCACATCATCGGCAAATGGCCCAATGCCAGGATCCACTGCAAAGGGATCTTTATTGGAGCCGAGCTCCTTGCGGTACACGACACCGTCCGTCTGAGACCACATGGATTCCATAACGACCAGCTCAAAGACGGAACAGTCGGCGAAGTGACAGACGTGATGGTCATTGAGAAAATATCACTCTGCCTTTCGGAGTGTGTCGATGACGACGAGGAGCAGCTAGCAAACCACTTCACAGCCCTGATCTCCGGTAAGATGTTCACCACCAATCCCAATCGCATTACCGAAGAAGGCCCATTTAAGAGTACAATCCCCGCACCAACCACCACCGAGACAGCAACCGATCCTATCCCACTCACCAGGGAAGAAGCAACCGCTACCTTCCGCCAGGTCGGAATGAGCGACTACGGTCCCTGGTACCGTATGGCCGACGGTAAACCCTGCAACGTCTCCCCCCACTGGATCGTTGGTCGTTGCTACGAACCGCTCGCAGCAGAGCTCATGTTCGGCACCCACACCCTGGGTTACGATGTATCCGGCGTGATGGAAGGTCGTCAGTACTCATCACAAGTCGATGTGCGCATGCCCGAAGGCCACACGTGGTTCTGGGGCGACTGCCGCGTGGAAACACTCGGACTGACAGAGATCAACGGTGTCGAATGTGGTCTTACGGCAGCACAGCGCCAAGACCCGCGCAAGTGGCAGGCGATTATCAAAATGTCGCACGGCGAAGTCAGTCACGCTCTCCGAAAACAGGCTCAGATCCCTTCTTCTGGTGGTCGACCCTTCAAACCTTCTTCTTCGTCTGCTCCAAAGGGTACCGGCTCACGACCGAAGACTGGTCTTGCGCACGTTGCGCAGACTAGTAAGCTGGTTAGCTCTGCTATTGGCAGTGCGCCGGAGACTGAAGATGACTCCTTTGAGGATCAATTTGAGGATACCAATGAATTGGCTGATGATCCAGTGTCTGGTGGCATTTCTAGGCTGGGCCTTCAGGGTGATCGTTCTTCTGGGGAGGATAGTGATTATCCTTTTGTGTAGATTGATTCGATCCGATGTGCCCATTTGTTTTCGCTCCTTTTAGCGGCATGTTCAAGATACCCATGGGCGTTATGGAGGGATGGTTCTATCTTAGCCAAATGAAATTATGTACGAATTGTTTGACGTTCGAATAGTCACAGTGTAGTAATTCGGTGTATGATTATGGATTATTTTCACACCTAAGTAATCTTGTAGAGCAGACTCGACGTCAAGGTCTAGAAGTATGTCTCCAACACTGTATACTAAAAGAGAAAGAGAGAATGGGTGGTATCGGTTCCATAGCTATTATTATTCCATATAGATGCCTCAAACCTCACTCTGTCCAGCTGAATTCCGTCTAGCGGACCTCTTCTTTTCAGACCAAGGGAAATGAACAACAGGAGGCACAAAGAAGCTGTTACTATCATCAGCAATACCAGCAAAGGCATTATACCAAGCCAAGAAAGCACCAAGCAGAGCAAATAGTCCACCAGCCTTTATCAATTTTTCATTTGGCACCCCATCCGCATTGAAAAGGTATCCAAGGGAGAGCAAGAGAAGAGCGAGATCGACGAAGAAAAAGAGGGAGAAGAATGCGACGGTGGATTTCAGCGTAAGCATCGTGATCAGCGTAGTGAAGATGAACCATCCCTAAAGGAAACAAGTTAGATTTCTTTTCCCTTCTTTTTTCCCAGAATAACAAATAACATACGAAGAGATACAATGCAAGCGAATTGTAAAACATAGCATGAGACCCATGATCCGCCTCTTCAAGTGCCCCTATGATATTAAACCCACCGGGGATGAAAGTTATAGCCAGTGAGATCCAGAAACCACCGTAGGATGAGAGCACAGTCGCACCGAAGGTATTGCCGATAGCCATTTCCCTGACCTGGTTAGTAAAAGCCTTGTATACTCCACTTCCACAACATGTAACAAGTCTAGGCAACATACCACATGCCAGCCAATAGCTGCACAAACCCACCATAAGCCAACGCAGGCCCAACGATGATATTAGGCGCAGCAATACCCCTGACATTCATATTGAGACATCCCAATACAAAGGTGGTGAGGGCGAATGCACAGAGGCCTAGTGGTGCTGGGTTGGCGAGCTTGCGGTCCTTGGGAACGCGGTATAGACCTGGTTGGAGATCACCGCCGAAGGCAGGGTAGCGGCTTGAGGCTGTGTTGACGTGGGCTAGGGGGCCGAAGTGGCCTGTTTTGTAGTCGTCGTTTGAGGAGGAAGAGTTATTTGTGTCTTTGACACTGATTCCTTCTTCGTGGGACATTGTGGGTAGATGTATAGAAGAGGGAAAGGGTGGTACATGTAGTTCGAGAGAAGGGAGAAGTATGGCTAGGAAGATATTGCAATAATTTTGGACAAGTCTGACAGGAAGTAGTTGGATCGAATTGCGAATTCGTGCTGCTTTATATACTGCGTAGACAGTCGTGGGTACCATGTCACCACTTAGGCACGATGGCCATGATGACCGCCATGATCACCATAGAACCAAAGTTCTGGGGAAGATCAGCAATAGTGCGGGGGAGGCCAGCCAAAAAACGAGTCTGAGGAAAGTGAGAATAATGTTAGCATTGCTGGCATCTGGGCATCACAGTACTCCGTAGTGGGGACGATATACAGTTCCGTCCGTCCGTAGATGGATAGATGATCACATTGCGAGTACACAGTAGTGATAGATCGAGTGAAGATCAACATGCAGATCTCATTCCACGCTTAAAATTATGGGGAAATGCGGAGATCTCCAGGTGATAGATTTTGGATCTGCCTATAACAGGTTTAACCAGGGGGGACAGTGTGGGATGTCGGTTCACCTCTCGGCATCTTAGGGACAGGGTATAGTGCAACTACTTGACTGCAGGACTTGGAAACTCTGTCAGTGCCGAGATTCATGTGCCGAGATGGGCATTGGGTTTGGAAGTGCGTCACTCACTTCCCTGGATTCATCAGGGTTGAATTCGCCCCCCGGGGAAATCTCTAGGGTTCTGGTTGGCCATTCCACTCTAGTCACTACCACAGCCTTAAAGATGGACAGTGTGAATTAACCTCATTCCAATAAAAGCTCATACTAAAACTCAATATATTTAATAATTCTTCTGCACAACACCCCTTGCAAACTCCGCAAAACTCAATCCGGGCTGAACTTCCTCTGCAAGATTCGGCTGCGTAAACACAGCAAGAGTATTCCTCGCAATCTTCTGTCCAGGACTAGCCTTAGCGCCCTTTACAAAATGTGGCACGGCCATAAACTTGCCGCGTGTGATTAGCTGCAAGGCCTCGCCAGTCTGGAAAGCGAGACAATCCTTAGGAATATTCACTTTCACGATTTCATCAGTGCGCGAGCGGATGTACAATCCAGCCGAAGGGTCAGGGGAACGGGGAAGTTCAGGGAGAGTGGCAGATGCAGACCCCGAAGACGGATAGAGGGTTGGAGGGGAAGCTGCTTCGTCGAGGAACATGGCCGATGTCAAACCGGTCAGACAGCCGTGGTCGAGGTGCGTGGCGCACCAGTCGTCGTCACTGGCATCAGCCTCTTCTTCCTGATTACCAGGGAAATAATGTAGCAGTCGGGCCTTGGTCGTCAAGCTGGTTGTCACGACATGGTGCAGATATCCAGGCTTGTAGCCTTCGATGTTGGCTTCTGCATACCGATCACATGCCTTGGCGACGAGAGCCGCGGTATCGATGATCAACCCACATAATGACTCCACGCTGCCCCTGAATTCGGGTAATTTGGTTGGTGAAGGCCAGATGTTTGGCGCGGTATACTGGGGTAGATCGGGGAAGTCATCTGCGGGGGCACTGTCTAGAGATGCATCCTGATAGAAGGCGCAGTTCACGTAGTACGAGCCCTTGAGCGTATCGAAATGGCCTGATTTCAGGGTTTCTTTACCGCAGGACCAGCCGACCAAGTATTTGGATTCTGGGCTGGTGAGGGAGTCTATACGGAGGTTAGTTTGATTTTGCTGCCGGTTGGAGTCGGGGTAGTGTTGGGGGCTCTGTGGGGTTTGGAAACTTACCCAGTTCAGGTTCAGGGAGAGCCGCCAGATACGAGGCATTGGAGAGAACCTTTGTGCGCAGGTCGGTAAAGGTCGAGGGTAGGTCTTTGACGACGATGATGCCCAGAGAGGACGGTCCAAAGGCTTTGGTTAGAGTGTCGAAAGATACAGTTCCTGCATGGGTTAGCATCTACTCTTTTTATTTCGTTCTTCTAAACACCCAACTTACCATCTACAAGTTCCTGCAGACTGACAGTAACAGCCTCGGCCACCGTGTTGGTCTCCATGATGTTGTAAAAATTCAAAATCAACTTCCCCGCTTCCAAGAATTTACTTGCCCGCTATCTCTCCAATATATAAAAGGGTTACTCTTCGCCTATCTGCACTAACTTTGACACGATGTTACTTGACGCAGGGATATAAATATCATATCCAATAAGAGTCGAGAATTTCATATCGTCCCATTCTTGGTATATCGTACATTCACATATATTATTACAAAAATCTTCACTCGCTACTCGACTGTCCATGCCGTCTAGTCACAGCCCTTAGATTACCAAATGGCAACACATCAGTAATCCGCTTAGCCCCCGTGAACAGCATACAGAGACGATCAACGCCACAACCCCATCCACCAGTAGAAGGCAAACCCCACTCCAGGGCTTCGAGGTAGCTCTCGTCTACCTCACCGGGTTCACCAGCAGCCTTGCCAAACCGCAGCTGGTCCTCGAATTTACGGCGCTGCTCAAACGGCGAGTTCTCCTCCTCGTATGTATTCACCACTTCTTTACCTTCGATGAACAGTTCGCCGCGCGCGGCGACGCGCTGCTTGGTAATTGGATGGACGAAGGATTTAGAGAGTGGGGAGAGGCATTCCGGTGGGTTTATGATGAAGGTTGGGTCTATGCATCTTGATTCGACGTAGATGCTGCATAGTTCGTCGAGAAGGCGGGGGAGGTTTGGGTTCGTTGGGAGAGGGAGGGAGAGTTCGGTGAAGATGGCGTGGACTTTATCTAGGGCGTCGGGGGATTCGAGGTCGGGTAGTTTGTGGCCGGTGGCCTCTTCGATGCCGATAATGAAGTCTATGCGGCGGAATGGTGCCGTGAAGTTGGCTGTGGTGGGATTGAGAGTGCCTGTTGTGTTTAAGGCGCGGATGTGGGCTGCCATGCCGGAGAGGAGGTCTTCGGTCATGGTCATTAGGTTCTCGAGGTTGGCATATGCCTGGTAGAATTCACAGGTGGTGAATTCTGCGTTGTGGGTTTTGTCCAGTCCTATAGTTCATCAGCTTTGCTAGACAGGTATTTCTTATCTAAATCAACATACCCTCATTGCGGAACGAAGGTCCAATTTCAAAAATCTTCTCGAAGCCGCCAACCACCAACCGCTTGAGCCACAGCTCCGGTGCGATTCTCAGCGACAGCTGGCGGTCTGGGAACTCAGTCGCGGAGGTATAGAAAGGACGAGCAATTGCTCCGCCTGCCACAGCCCCGATGATCGGGGTGCTGACCTCCATGAAGGAGCGGTCGATAAAGAACTGGCGTAGATATTGTACGAGCGCCGCGCGGGCTCGAATGATATCGGCCGTCGCGGGGTTGGCTAGGAACTGGACATGGCGAGGGTAAGGGGAGGTCTCATGTTCGACATCATGAACGGGGACATCATGCAGACAGGGCGAGAGCAGCTGCGGCAACTCGCTCACGTCGATAGTGAGCTCGCCTCGTCCAGTGCGGTGCGGTCTACCAGTTACAGCTAGAACAGCATTTAGCGGGCGACACTCGAGTCAAGCCGGATGGACACGAGACATACAGAATGCGTCACCGCGACGCAGAAGACGATAGAACTTCTTGAAGTCCTCGGGAGAGACACTGTCCAGACGACGCTTGTTGCACATCACCTGGACTTTATGGCCGTCTTGCACGATATCGAAGAAGATCAATTTGCTTCCGGCGAGTCTATAGGTACGGATTCTTCCTACTATTCTAAGTACATGGGCATTGTAAAGGCCAGAAAGCAGAACCTACCAGAGACGATGACTGTGTCTTCTACTGAATCATTGTCGGCGAGCTCGGCGTAGCGAGAGCGAAACTCAGCGCAGCTCACTGTGCGTGAGTCCACCGCCAGGCGAGGGTATGGGTCTGCGCAGGCATCTCTGATCTGCTGTACGCGATCCTGCAAAGCCTTCCCTGGTGATGCTGCAGAGCTATTCTCTCGAATTGGCTGTATGGTTAGTCGTGATGTAAAAGGAGTCTGAATGCGTGATGGTCTAGCGAGTCGCAGTCCTGCACTGAAAATTTTGGGTTAGCAATGTTCGAGAAAATTGACACAATTGATCCAAAATTAAGCAATAAGCTTTGTCAGATAAAATCCAGTACGTTCAGTGCCCAAAAGGACATCACTGTAGCGGTTCTAATGCGGGGATAAATCATCATATAAGGGGAGATGGGAGATGGTGGGAAATGAGAGTAAAACAGTAAACAGTAAATGCAAATCTTACCTTTTTTGCAGGCCAAAGCCAGATAAAGCCCATCTAGGGCGAATTGAAAGCATAGCAAATGCCAATGGCTCTCACATTGTTGAGAGAAGAAGAGAAGAAGAAGAAGAAAAGAAAAAGAAACGGCAGAACCGAGTTTTTCCACGCGGGTGGCCCAAGCTTCTCCGACCTCCCGTGCTCCGAATACGTTGGACTCTCTGGTGCTCTACTCCACATATCTAGCCTCTCATTACCATCTACATTCCATCTATTCATACATCATGTCTTTCCTCTTCGGCGGTGCCCCCAAGATGTCCTCGGCAGAGAAGATCGCTGCCGCCGAGACAGAAGTTGAGATGATCTCAGACATGTTCAACCGGTAAGTTGAAGCTCTACGGAACACCCAAGCGCTGTATCTGGATTCAGAAGCCAGAAGACTGCAGATACCTATTGCAATCCATCTTCGAACTATCTATATCCCGAAATCTTTCTAACTTGTTCCGCGATCATAGCTTGACCGAGTCCTGCACCAAGAAGTGTATCCCCGCCGATTACCGCGAAGGCGACCTCAACAAGGGCGAGTCCGTCTGCCTCGACCGATGCGTGTCCAAGTTCTTCGATGTCAACATCAAGGTCAGCGAGAAGATGCAGGGCGAGGCCAATGCCAACAAGGGCGGCATGGGCTTCTAAATGTGTTGACAACGAAATTTCTTGGGAAGGAGCTCTGGTAGCCTTGAAGCTAGAGAGCTTGGTGGTCTTTGTTTCTGTGTAAGGCTATTTGACTGGTTCGGCCTACTGAAACTGGGGCTTGTTTTGAATGATGGTTCACGTTTATACCATCACGGATGGGAGGCACGATCGCCAGTCTATCTCTGACTATGTACAATATGGTGGATAAGGGAAAAACAGAGAATGAAAAAAGAAAATATGATACAAGTGTCGTCTTTAGGTCGAGAAGCCCATGGATCGCGCTATCCATGCGGTCCAGGAAGTGTCGTGCTCTTCCTCGCCTTGGATCAGTGCTTTGATTCTCGTCTCGACATTCACAATGTGACGATCAAAGTCGCTCAGGCCGGCTTCCATATCCTCGACTTTTGATTCGAGGACGTGTAGTTCGTAGTCCAGTTTGGCGCCCAGCAACTCAACGCGTTTCACGCCATCGGCGAGGTGGTGGCTCTCATCTATGAGGATGTCACTGGATCGTTCGCGCAGTCTCTGGTAGTCGCCAAAGCGTTCCAGGTACACTGAGTTAAGTTCTTCGTGTCGCTCATATAGGAGTTGGTTGAGACCGTCCACAGATTCCACTTGTCGCTCAACCCAAGGCACGGTATGCTTGCTTAGGTCTTGAATCCGCGAGCTAAAGGTACGCCCTTCTGAGGCAAGCATGTCTTCTTGAACGATAGCCTCATCCAGATTATCGGTTTCTTTGACGGTTGGTTTCCCGCCCAACGGCTCCCATTTGAATACCACTTCTTCAACTATGCTGAACGACAGGTGTCGTGTGCAGAAGTTGTCTCGTCGTTCAATCTCACTTTCAAGGCTTTTGAATTCTTCGTAACTTTGCGGCCGCCGTAGGGCCATGACAGCTGTCCCACTGATCGATCCGTCCCGGTCACGTTCGCGATCCGTTGATGCTGCCGTCGACCGAGACATAACGCGTTCCATGTCGGAATCTTCTTCCATGATTGGAGACTGCTGTGTCATGGGCCAGTCTTGAGCTTGTATTTCTGGCTCATCTTCTGGTACAGGTTCGATATGGATTTCGGGGGCTTTTCTCTCAGGGTCGGGAATTGGCGACAGCTGAGGCATCTCCTCCTTCTCCTCAATAAGCTTTTCAATATCATTTGATACATTTCTTTCTGACCGGAACCCAGAGTCAGTTCGCGTTTTTGTTGACGGTGCCTCGTTATCACTGTCGATGGACGGATGGTATGCAAGATCGTGTGTCAACTCGGAGCTGTCTCGTGAAGAATGATGGTGGTGACGAAGGCCCTGCAGTCCGACTGCATCTTTAAAGCGTCCTAACCCTGCTCGAGCGTCTGAAACTCGTCCGCTGACGCCCTTCTTTCGGTAATCTTTTTCTTCAACAGTAGGCTCTGGCATTTTCCAAGAACGATCCGGTCCCGAGTTTACTCGCTCGGCATACATATCCTCTGTTGAATACTTCTTGCGACTGGTCCAGAGATAACCGCCTTGTTCATCGGTGGTAAACATCATATCCGATCCAGTCCCGCGAGTGAACCCGTCTTCGACACCACTCTTGCGCGGTTTACCAAGCCACAGCCACTTTGCTCTCTCGCCATTGCAGCACTGTACGAAGGTGTCGAGATCCAGTGTTTCGATATCGGCAATGCCACCTTTGTCGCGCCCGCGCACCATTCCCATAACCATCTCACCACCCTGTCCACTGAGCTCGGCCATGGTTGACTTCACTGCATCGGTCCAGCCTTCTGCATTGGCAGCCTTGGCCGTCACGCGGTGTAAACGGTCCAATGTAAGTCGATCCAGTCTTCGCGATCGCCTCATTTTTTGAGATTTTTGGAATCCACCGATTCCTCTTTTTAGATTGGGGAAGTCGAATGCGTCTTTCCCCACGGGGGCGCCATAGGTGTGCAGTCGATTTCGAGCCCCGAGCAATGTGCCCAGCAACGCAGCCACGCTGGTGGGTCCTAAACTGCTGTCACTTGGCTCGATGTTGTACAGGTCTGTCCCGATATCTGTCCACCAATCGCTAACAGCTGCCTCGGTCACATCACAAAGTAGCCCGTCCACATATTCCGGGGCTAGCTTGTCAAACACCATCAAGGCAATCTGGCATTGTCGGACTAATTCCATGACCGCATTGTATAAAGGAACTCTGTCGCTCGTCCGGTACAGCTGATGAAACTTGGCTTCGGTCGCTGCTGAGGGAGGCTGAAGTTTCAAGCCCGCGCGGCCTGCGCACCCGAGTCTTTTTAAGTTTTCATTCACCATGAAGTCCTCCCGATGTTTCTTGATATCGCCATTGGGTACTGGAATGAGACTCAGAGCAGAAGGAAATGAGGCCAGATCCGTAACCATGACCGTCCCTAGTGGTGTTTCCTTCCTTCTAGCGTGACATTGCTTCATAGCGTCGAAGTACATCCGTAAGCGAGGCGACCATGTAGCCTCATTGGTCGGAACACTCAATACTCCCACAATCACTGTATGCGAAGGGTCACCAGTATAGGTCGAGATGATGAATGTCGGATGCACGCGAGAGCAGGCCCATTGCTCAACGACATAAATTTCATAGCCTTGTAGTGTTACACGTCGCTGGAGCACATCGGTCGAGGTGTCTTCTTCGAGGTATCGGAGGGCAACCGCGTCGGTGAACACAATTCGCTGGTGGCCTTGCGGTGAAGGACGTTCGCCTCCAGTTGCGTGGGAGGCGGCCTCTGATGGCATAGAGTCGGTGCGATCAACCGAAGGAACACTGGGGGCGTTGGCCTGCATGGTGGGTAGTCTTCTATCCAGACTTATTTGCTAAGGGACAAAAGTGAAAAGAACGCCGATCATTCAACCCTAAAGCAGGTCACCTCTCCTAAGCTCAAGGTGCGAAGGGAGCGCCGACCTTCCTTCGATCCTCCTGCACTCTTGGTCAGGTAGAAACAATTGTGACATATCCAGGCAACGGGGTTTGAGGCATATTATGAGCCTAAGAAACAGGAGAAAGGCCAATATAATATCGGCGGATGCCTTGAAAACCACATAAACCCCCCGAAGGTGCAGACCCTGGCGACGTCATTCCCGTACCTTACGGCGCACGGGTCATGTGACCTTGAATGCCTCTTGTTGCAGCCTCAGGCATCAACGTTTTGTATAGATGTGATACTCAGAACACGGTCTACATTTTAATTCCCTCTCCGCTGGTAAAATCTTGATATATATATTTATACCTAACTTTTAGGCAAGCTAGATGGCTTTCCCTTTCCATTTTAGTGCTCACCCCTTGCCGCTTTTTGATCACTGAGATCTGAGTATCATATGATAATTGAACTCACCCCCGAGCCCTGAAGTCACTGTGCGTGACCGGGGTAAAGTTCGAAGAGGCTGAAAAGTTGGAGAGCAGCCAATTCAGCAGCTGGCGAAAATTCAATGCCTCAATTCTGAACACTGTCCACCCATCATGCACTTCTATCCTAGGAGAATTTTATCATGATTTTCGTCTCCAGGTGAGCAGAAAATCGTTGATATGCCTTTGGTACCTCTTCGATGTCGATGGTGCTCGAGAAAACGAAGCCCGGGTTAGCTATGCCACTTTTCACAAGTTCCAGCAGTGGCTCAACAAATAATTTGCTGTCCACTGCACCGCCACGAATGGTCATGTTCTTTTGCCAGAAGAGAGTCATGGGAAATTTCATATATGGTGAGATGGTGTCTCCTCGTTGAACTCCCTTGGAATTCGGTTCAGCAAAGTGTACACCAATGACCGCTAAACCACCACCCACGCTAACGCACTTCGTCGCCTGTGTGATAACGAAGGCCTGATCGGGCTCCAATTTCTCGTTGACGCATTCCTCCCCAACACAATCTACAGTGCGCTGAACGCCACCCGGCTCCCGAGCCAGAATCTGCGCTGACGGTTCACCCTTCGTGAAGTTGATCGGAATGGCTCCAATGGAAGCTGCGAGTTCGAGCCGGTCTTCAACAGAGTCAATGGAATACACACGAGAGGCCCCACGGAGAATTGCCGAATATGCAGCAAGTAGTCCGACTGGGCCTGCTCCAAAAATGGCGATTTTATCCCCAGCCTCGAAGCCCGACCAAGTGACCCCCGTCCAGGCAGTAGGAAAGATATCTGAAAGAACAACCAGATCCTTATCCTCGATCTCATCAAACTCCCTACCGAGAATGATTAAGGATTTGTCTGCAAGTGGGACACGGACATATTCGGCTGTTGAGAATGGCGTGGCTAGTTAGACACAGGTCTTGTTGCAAGAATAAAAACTTGACTCTGCAGCGCTTAATCGTACCTTGACAGCCTCCCAAATTGCCAAATTCCGGTCCTTCTCCATATAATGCAACTGCAGGGCGAATTGCTGGTTCTAAATCCAGCCCAGCGCCGTCAGGAATGTCAGGGATAATGACCCGATCCCCAACGTTCACGGAATCGACATCTGCTCCGACTTTCTCGACGATACCCATCGCCTCATGTCCAATAGGATAAGGAACCTGGTCGCTGCCAAAGACACCGTGGTAGTTGTGCAGGTCGCTGCCGCAGATAGCTGCTGAAGTGACCCGAACTACGGCATCCGTTTGCCTGATGACATTTGCCTTCCGAACATCGCGGACATGAACCTTGAGCGGATGACCATCGAAAACGACTGATCGCATAGTTCTGCTATTGCTATACGTCTCTGCCATGGTGTGTAAAGATGTATAATGCTATTGAAGCGTTGAAAATGTGGGATTCTTCTCTGAGTGGTTCTTGTAAAACTGGGAGAAATTTGCTGTTGGATTCGTATTAGCTAAGATGCATCCTTGACCTTGTCAGAGTGACTGGTCATTATATAGCAACTGTGATAAGTGCACCCATGCACCCGTGTAGCTGAGTACAAGTTCCACGTATAAACAGGACCTGACGTCACATTTTAGGTATCTACGTCTCATACCACGTCAGTCCCAGGCTTATGGAAGATGAAACGGTTATGTTCAGAGAATCCACATGCTAAGTCTGATGTAAGATGAGAAAGCCAAAGCTGGATTCTATGTATTCCGGGCTCTTGAAACAATTTATTCAAGATCTCCGTCGCAACTCAATTGGATTACCAAACTCCTTCAGAGCAACTAGCTCACGTTACCATGAATAACATATCCCTCGTTGGGCGCTTAGCCTTCTTTCGGTTGTTCGAACCATGGGCACATTGGAATTGCTCATGCCAAAATCATCTGTCATGAACTCCACATCTGTGTCGCTGCATTAACTGTCGTCGCAAGTCCCTTTATCCACCCAGTGACAATTCTAGACTTAAACTTGGTCAACAAATAGGGAAATAACGCCCGCCCTCTGGCAGCCAACTAATATATCTTTGCCTTAATCTGAACACTTCGGAAGTTCTGTTGTATTCAGACGGGCAACTCCGTTTATTGACGCCCCATCCATTGGTTATGTCGGAAGTCTTACCGACGTAACATGCATCAATGAGACTCGAATTATGTGCCGGCTGAACAACAGGCAGCCTAGAAGCCGGGTTTGTAGCAGTGTGTAGTCACATGGCGGGAGTGGCAAAATGATACTTCACCAGCGTTACATTAACCATGGTACAAACAGCTAGTATCGCTGCTTCTCCAAGTACATGTTTCCGGCATAGAATCCACGGGACAGAAAATCATGCGAGGCTCCAAGCCATGGCAGTTATCTTAGGAAAATTTAGGATCCACGAACAGGGCGAGTTGATCCCCGGCGGCGCATGTGGGAACCATCGGACAATCGGTCTCGGCCCATTTTCACGCCAGCCCAATTCAGCATACTCCTTTATGTCAATCAAATTTGTTTGTGCTACAAGAAACTAGCATGAAACAATCCTTTGGGTCATGAAGCTAAGGGCCACACACCAGGAACAGTACTTCCAACAGGGTTATCACGGTCACAAACTCCATTAAGATCATAGCTCATCAGATTCACCCTACTTTCTATCAGCCTCGAAGCATTGGATAAATGTAACAATCAGGACCTAATAACCCATTTACGGCGACCTTGTATATAATTGTTTCTTCTGTGGTTATTCGAAGGCGTGATATCATATAACAGAAACCTAGGTCTACAACAATGTAGGGTATAGATCAATGAATATGCATAACTCTAACCAAAAATGACTCGAACAAGAATTTAACTGGACATTTTTCAATACCCTGTGTGCACCTTGGTGTTCGACATCATGACAACCATTTCTCCAGAGTAGCTCTCAAATCCCCCCAAAATGCCTTTGTCGCTTGTAACTCCCAAAAGTGCCCAAAATTATGCGGGACACCCTTATAGACATGAAGCGTAACGGGTACATTTCCCTCTTCTAGCTTCCTAGCATACGCGATCCCCTCATCTCGTAATGGATCTTGTCCTGCCACAAAGATCAAATGCCGTGGAAGACTTTCTATATCCCCAAGTAACGGAGACGCTTTAATATTCAAGCCCGAGGCGGGATCCGGATGAATCAGATTCCAAACGGCGAGTAACCCACTTGAGCCCATAAAGATATCCATACACTGGGTATACGAGCGAAGGGACTCTTTAGAGGGACCGTACTCGACCGGGAAATGACGAGGGTCGCAGAGCATAGGAGCGTTAAGGATAACACCGTTGATAGGGATACCTTTGTCACGACAGATCTGAGAGAGAGCGGCACTAATCCCTGCTCCAGAGGAGGAACCGGCTAGGATAAGTCGACTGAGATCGGCATTGATGTTTGCGCTTTGACTGAGGTTTGTGTTTAAACCAAGAAGCCTCTCTGGGGAATCGACCAGGGCATCTAGTACATCCTCAGAATCCTCAATCCAGATGGGGAAGCGGTTCTCCGGAGCCAGACGGTATTCCACACTAACAATCACGAGGTCGAACTGCTTATACAAAGGGTATAAGAGCCACAATTCCTCCGAGATATGACTGCCTTGAACCCAGCCCCCACCATGCGTCACAAAGAGGACCGGTAGAGAAAACTTATCATTTCCCTTTCCCCTAGCGTGGAGACGGTCGGATAGTGGAAAAGACACTTTCACGTTGATATTGGCACCATCGCGGGCTCGGACTATAGTTGACTTTGTAGTATAGCCGACCTCTTCTATAGGGTGTTTTTCGGCCCATTTGGTGTCATTTGTCGCCTCGTATTCTCTAATGGAAGCGAAATCAAGTTGGGTGAAGTCGATTGGGGCCGACGGTGGAGTGGTCGAGGGAAGCGGAATATCATTTTTAGTGGCGAATGCTTCCCAGTCTGGGTCGCTGGTGAAGTAGTCTGGAGTCGACATAATGAATTCTAGTTGAATTGGATATCTCGGGGGAAGGACAATTCCTTATGATAAAATAGCATTTTCGAAGGAATCTAGGCTCCTCCGTATTTCTACAAAGAAATCGCTCAAGGTAGAAAAAAGGATATTAAGTAAAAGTAAAATAGACGGTCTCCGTTGGACCTCCGTACCTAGACTAACCACAATAGTGCGTGGGAAGAAACCCCAGGCTTCCAAGGTTGTTCGGAATAAAGACAAGCTTTTGCCGAGGTTTAGGTGGATCCGGGGGCTAAGTAACCTCAGTGGCCACTTGTAGAGGTCGTAGTAAGAAGTGGAAGCTGAAAGGTGTTATTTTCAAGTTGTTATTCCGAGCCTATCTGCGTGCATTAGCGTAGTTCTCGCCCGGGCTGTTATGGCAGAATAAATCCTTCCCATCTGGCGAGCTCCGTCCCTTGCAATCAGCCTAATTTGGACGGTCTCCGGTTTGAATTCTGTTGCTTCATGGCGGTGACATGCGTTCAGGAAGATACTCTTTACTGATAACACCATATATGTAAAATTCGCAGCCACGACATGGTCTTCATTCGAATAACCGGGCAAATGGGAAATGCTCATATCTGCAACCTACCTCTGTAATTACAATGGATCTTTTAACACGTCTTTCGTCCGGTGCTGAGGACCGCAATCTTCATCCGCAAAACACGGACTCAAAGAGCAGACGGAAATAGCAGAACAAGATGGCTCAGAGGAAGTATCCTACGATATCGCCCTCCATTACTTCTACAAGTGGAACTTTAATGTGAAGGCTGATTGCTGATTACTCTGACTTGCAACCTAATTCTACGTTAACGGTGCTAGTGAAGTAAACAGTCTAGATTCAATTAGTTAGGACGGCCTACCTCAGACTAGTTCGGATATGTAGGCCACTATGCAATGTAATCTCCATTGTACAACGAATCTCCGTTGACCGCCATGATCCAGAAACCCCTTGATTTACCTGTCTCATATCCAACATGTCATATGTTGTTCCCTCTGATTCCATAGTTCCAATATCGGAGCTCTTACACCAAACATTTTCCGGTGCACATTGTTCTTGTTCCTTTAGATCTGTCAGTTTCCTGCACGAAGTTCCGGTAGTTAGCTAGAGCAACAAATTAGTCAGAGTAGGGGTTAATTATCATTACACCCCAAGACAGAGGCGTAGTGTACAGTATGATGGAAGACCACCAGATAATTGTGCTAGGGCCGATGTACTTGCTAAGCGCAATGGTGCTCTCCGAAAGGAAGAGAGGAACACAAAGAGAGAAGGAAGACATCACTCAGCACACCACCGCAATTGATTTTATCCCACTTGCGACCGTATAACCCGCAGCGTAGCGTATACTACCAAGCAAGAACGACCCATCATTTAGGACCACAGGGACGCGACCGCAGGAGAACAAGCTACCAATTACACTACCCACCCCACCTCATATCTGTTCGAGGTGGGATCGCGAATAGAATTGGTTGTTATCGCTGCTAAATGCCTAACAAAGCAGAAACCATAAGGCTCAGTATTCTTTAAATTTTTGAAATTACATCCTAACTCATCTACATCAACTACAGCATCGAGAATAAAGAGCCAATTTCGAATGCCATCACCAAGATACTCGACCAGCGAGATGGCAGACACGATTCATATTTCAAAATAAAGCTATGCCATGCTATGAGCCTATCAATTCAAAATGTTTCCTCCAAAGCTCTAGGATATCAACCTCTAATCACATCCACATCCACTTTGGACTATTTAACGTCCACCGTGCTAAAGAAACGTCAGCAAATGATTCACATAAACGAACGAGCTATACATACTCCTCCCTGAGGACCACCGGGACCGCCGTTTCCGCCGTGTCCGCCCTGGTGCTGTCCAGGGCCGCCAAAGCCTCCAGGACCGCCGGGGCCACCCTGAGGACCACCGAAGCCACCGGGGCCACCGGGGCCACCATGTTGCTGTCCCTGGAATCCACCCTGGGGTCCTCCGAATCCTCCAGGGCCTCCAGGACCACCCTGCTGCTGTCCCTGGAATCCACCCTGAGGTCCGCCAGGGCCGCCAGGGCCGCTAGGACCACCGTTATGTTGGGGACCACCGTGGGGTCCGCCGGGACCTTGCTGCTGGCCGTGGCCCTCGTGGTGCTTATCGTGGTGGTGACTGAAGAGACCCATGATTGATGATGGTATGAGGAAGTGGGGAGGTAATGGATTGATGATCAGTGAGATCAAGAGTGTATGAATGTGAGTATAATCTATGAAAGAAGAGGATGAAGAGGTCCCAGGGTGCCCTTTATAAAGACTGAGTGGCGTCACCAACGACGAAGCTAAACTAGTGCTCAGGTGCTATGAGCTGAACCTAATCCAAGATCGAGATGATGGCATCACTTACGACTGCGGGTGTGGAGTAGCAGAAGCTTGCCATTGGATCGAATTCCTCCGCCACTTGCTACTAGCATCGATCGATGAAGACGTAACCAAACCCTACGTTGTAGATCGATTCGCCATTCTGAGATTTGTTTGATTTGATTCCATCAGTGCGATATACATCTGAGTTCGGGTAGAATTCTATTTGGAATTGAGCTTGCAGCCCTTCAGTCTCAATGCCAACATAAACAGCCAAGCTTTGCAACGTAATCTTAGCATATGCTGATTATCCTGGGGCCTACAAATGGAGCGTCGATTGCCGCTCGGTCTTCCGCCGCTGGTCTTGGCATTAAGGCTATACGTCGGTGTGTACGTATGCTTCCCCACAGCTCCAGCCCTATCAACTATTTTATTGCCGAGATTCTTCCGCTAATGATTTTATGGGTTTGGAAAGTGCCAAGGCCGTGCTCGGAGCTAATTGCCGTTATTTTCAGGTCGAAGGTCGGGCGTAAGAATCATAAGCAGTGAGCGGAAAGTAGGGTTCGGACAGGGTATTTCGACAAGTCCACCGTACCAAAGGTCTCAAAGATATATATAGAAAAGTCTCCTATATAAAGTATGCTTTTTTGACTGCCTTCACATATATCTAAACAGGCATTCAAAAAGACTAACAAAGAAGATATCGTAATGTTATGAAAATACTTTGAAAAAAAAATAGGAGTATCCGATCATCGATAATGAATAAATTGGGACACGCCGGTGACACCAAATACTGAAACTAACTCAGGATTGAGCGATGTCACTTGCTCTCCTGTACCGAGGTCCACAACTGCCTCAAAGTCAACCAAAGCCACTTTCCCACTCATGCAGTGATAGAGAATGTTGTTGCCTGCCAGCATCCAGTAGTCGAATGGAGCGTCTAACTGTGAGCACTTGTGGCTTCTCAGCAAACGGCAGGCTGTTGCAGATATCAAATTACTGTTCTCCTAGAACCTTCTCCAGAAGAAGGATCTTGCCCTCAGGGAAATTTGCAGAGCAGGTGATATCACCAGAGAACGCAAGGCGAGTAAAGAATTCGAAGCTCTCAAAGGCTCTTGCACAAAGTATGCTTGTTTTACCACCTTCACATACTCTAAAAAAGAAGCTTGAAAAGACCAGCAAAAAAGACATCGCAAGGCCGCATAAGCGGCTGACTATTCTTGCGTCGAACAAAATAATTCCGAAGAGAACGAATTGGCAGATGTTGCTACCTTTTTGGAAGTTAATCAAGTATATTTTCAGATAGGAATTGACACAAATTGGAAAGAAAGTCTTGGTATTCGTGTCACGAGCTCTGAAATATATATATGTACATTTTAAAAAGGTCGCCAACCGAACCGACGCTATAAGTTACAGCCAAGCGCCTATACAAAAGAACCAATCAATTCACGAGCTAAGGAAGCAAGCCCGTGCCCAAGCCCGTGCTCATCTCAAGTTGTTGATAACCTTTTGGATTGTGGAGATTCCTTTGGGCGGACGGCATAAGATCGACGATCAAAGAAAGAATATACCCAGTGAAGACAAAGGCGATGACTGTGGAGCAAATTAGTACAATGTAAGGCAGTGGAGATATGGGGAAGCATATATATACTCACCCCATTCAAGAGTTGCTGCCGTGTTGTTCTGCTGGTAGTGGGTATGCTCGGTGATGCGGAAGACGATAATGAGGGCAAGTTCGACGACAATGAACGAGGATTTGATAACGAAGCTCGTCATGAGCATAGGCTGCCGTAGAGCATGTGCAATTCCAAGGTAGATATAATCCAAACACATCAAGGCCGCACTGAGTAGGAACCCCACACTGGGACTGTTAGTACATTGTAACACATGCATATCGGTCCTAAAGTCTTGGCGAGGGGCATACATAAAGATCGTCACGCAGACATCGTGCATGAAATGGTGAGCGATGTTATCCAAGACTGAGAGCATAATCAAGCCGATACTCCCGACGACTGTGAAAAAGAATGAACCATGCGTGCACGCTTTGCTGATGTATGACTTGTTTTGAACATGTCGGTAAAAAGAGAGGTTTAAAAGGAGGACTGTGGTGATAGATCCGATCATGAATAATGGCTTTAATTCCTGGGCTCCAATATCTGAAATGAATCTGGTCGAAGCCGTTAGTTGAAATCTTGGCATGATTCTGGGGATGACCGAAGGAGGCAAGTGCTCACGGGATATTCTGACCAGGCTTCATCAAGCCATATCTCGGTTCACCGATCACAGTCCAGTGTCCTAGCATAGTGAGTAGCATTGCTAAATCCAATGTTAGATCATTGTGCCTTGCGACCGTGGAAAATTGAAGATCTCACCTAGCCAGGTGGACGCGGCTACGGCCGGATAAACCCAGGATGGGGGTGACATTTTGGCGCGTGCGTATAGCTAAAGAGTGTGTTTTGGAGCAGCAGTCATAGTATTGTTATAGCGATTGTATCAAAGAGTGCGGGCTGGTGAAGTTGGATACCAGCCACACCTCTTTACTCGAGCAGTTGACAAAGAGAGAAAGTGATCCTTACGTTGGGAGTCAGGCAACGAGAGATTGTGCCTGTCGATCCCTGCTCCTCTGCCCCTATGACGATTGTCAGTTATGGTATGTGGGTCTATTAAGGAATTGGCAACCCCTTGATGATTGTTTCGTGTAAAAAGCGCATGTTTCGTATCCGTATATGTATGATAGCAGCGGACTCATTGTTTACAAATTTAGCACAAAGACTCCATGTATTAATGCCGCTTTCTTGAAAATTGGCAGGTAGATAATGAATTTGACATGCTTTGACTGAAGCTTGAGCGTTGAGTGAAAAATCCGATTGCTTGTTGATCCACCAATCTCCATCAAACATTGAATCGAGCAACGGGTTTACATATCCCCCGGTACCATTGGTGGGGGCCGGGGCTGGGGATTTGTTCGTCGACATTGGAAAAGTAAAAGATCTTGTACATCGTAGGAGTATGATACCCCAGGTGTGAAGGTTGAAGATATCCTTTCGTGCATGAACAAAAGTTGTATTCTCACACCCATCACCTGCAGTGTATTGAATTTGCATAAAAGATCAATGTGTGTTCCTTGGCAAGCCTCGGGGTCTGAAAGGCAAGCCATTTCGCCGGTCTCGAATCCAGGTGAGACCAGAATACCCGCGGCTTCCGTGACTGCGACCGTATGGAGTACCTGCAGCACAATTCCAGGTAATCCGTACCGATGCTAAAGGAGATTAATAAGCACGGAGTATGCACCTATCACTTTGATATTGGACGTATCAGGGGGTGGGGGCATATGCGAGGACACAGACGGAGTGGGGAGATGGAATCCAGGATGCTCCCCGAGGTCGATGCCGACAATGAGGCCTCTGGCTGGGACGCTGTTTCGACCTGGTTTGACTTGCTTCAACAGCATGGCAACCTCACGGTCGGAGAAGATAGGATTTGCTTTGCTCGTAGGGAATGCAGACTGTAGAGGTACCTAGACTGAAAGGTAGCTTGAAGGTGTTCTAATGATACGTCAGTGACTGTAATTCCATCACAGATTGGCGCCTAGATTGGAGCTCCATTGAAATGAAGGAGCAAGGCTTATTGATAGCGTGGTATTTGACTCTGTGCACCAATTCATTGGCAACTATGCATGCACCGGCTTGGATTTGCCAAATGAAGGTGGATGATGCAACCACAAGGGATAGATAGACCCCCTGAGACATTCTCCAGCTCAGACCTCAGGTATATTGCATCAGTGGGGCAGCTTTGAAACACACACTACCCTTACAATATGAAATTGTATGTGAAAAGGGAGTGGCGAGAAGGCTATTAAGTACAAGCGACCGAAAATAAACGTAACCTCAACGACAGCGAGGTACGAAGGGGAGAAATGATCGTACCAAAAAGGATCTGAGATCTGGACCGCCAAGGGGCAGGAAAACTTTTCGGACGCGACCGACCGAGGCACGCGACAGTCAATCATAACACCCACCTGGGCAAGGACATAAACAGAAATATATTTCTATGTGAAAAACTCTTCGCAATCTACCAGGAATGTATCTATCTTCTAAGGATCTCTTCTCTAAGAGCCACCAACATGGGCAACAAGTAGTGAAAAGACTCAAGATACTTGAGGGTTACCAAGGTCTCCCATCAAAGAATCAAATTCAACTCGAGGACTCAAGAGCCAAGGAGTTGAGGCAATTTGGTTTCAAAAATTCCCAAGCGTGCGATGAGGCTCGCTTGAAGTAGTCAATTTGGTAGTTTTCAACTAGCAAAAACACGATCTCGGATGTCTCCTCACTGATACGTGTAAAACCCGTGCACTAGGATGAAGAAGAAAAAAAAAAAGAGAAGGAAGCTGGGGGGACGGACCAGGTATTTATATTTCTCCCCTGGCTTAAGGCAGCCAGCAAGGAAGGTGGGTGACGATCCGGATTAAGGATATCCCGGTGAGTTATAGATTAGACCAATTAAGTTGTGTGTCGGATAATTATTAATCCATGTATCAGAGTTAACCTCGGAGAAGAGTTGATCCGTAGACCGGGAAAAAGTGCATCGGAGGATCTTTATTCCGTGATGTGAAGTTAGTTCATCCATGCTACCTCATATTCAACTCATTTTAACCAATTAAATGCCTTGCCGATGTATCCTCACCTCCCAGAAAGTGGCTCTACGAGAGTAGAGGTAGAGTGATATTAAGGACCTTGCTTAGAGGTTAAATTAGTATGTTAACCGGAACTACTACATGTTGCATACATATAAGGTCGACTTGAACAAAAAGCGGATAAATGGCGGATAAATCGACATGGACCGGAACAGATTTGGAAGGCGGTACAAGAAGCCAAAAATCAGAAAGCCTGGTGAGCAGGTTACAGGGAACGCTTGAAAAAGCTACGATATGGATATACAAAATAGGGAGGGTTTAATGAGTTTCTTCACCAGGACTTTAGCCCTAGAATAGAAAGCACCCATAAGACATTTACTATCTACGGAGTGTAGACTCAAAGAGTGTGAGTAATGTCAAACTATGGTGTTAAAGCGAGAGTGAAAATGGACATGACATTTCACATCCATGCAACGAGTGTATGGTTATATGGCCCAAAAAATACGACTGCTGACCCGCCATGCCCTACTTTGTAGTGCGCCATCATCACTCGCCATACATCCGGATAGAGGGGTGAATCACGTGGAAAATCACCCGGAACAACTTGTCTCTCTGTTTGATTTCGACCGGTTTCCTCTCATTATCATCTTCTTTATAGTGGCCTTTATTTGAGGCAAATATTCCAAGAGATACCTCAATATATTATATATCGAATCCAAGTTGGAAGGCGCCGAGATAAAAGAGCTCTTATCTGAAGTTCTCCACATGGCGAGACTCGGTAACCTCGCCAGTCACCTCCGAGCCTGTCAACCGAAGCCCATCTGCAATGGAAGCAGTGCAGAAAGAACACAGCCGACTCGTCAAGAGGACTGAAGGCGCTCAAGGCATCAAGAATGTTCAGTCTGTGATTGATTCACTGCAGTCTGCTCGTGATGCCATAGCTGCTGGTTGGTAGCCGTGAACGTGCCCCCGCTAGGTTCCCCAACTGACGACACCGATCTCTCCCCAAATAGATCCATCCGCTGCCTCTGCCACTCTAGCCAACCTTCAGAGCTCGGTTAAATCTTCCTTTGACTCTATCAACGACAGTTTGAAAGAGACTCACAGTGGCCTTAACAAGTACACCAAATCTCTAGATAAGGTATTGAGAATGCTGACCATCCATGTGTTGCTACTAATCTAACATCGGGATCAGCTTTTCAAAGATCGACCGCTTCCTGGCACCGACGACGATGGCCTCTCTACATACGATAACCTGATCAACCGCGCCATCGCCATGCATCTCCTTCGCGAAGGCCAGTTTGGCGTGGCCGCCACTTTCCTTTCCGAGATTACCGACCAGAAGACAATGTATCCAGTCTCCCAGAATGGGAATGGACCGACCAATGCGCCCGCCAGCCTGCTCGATATCGACGAAGTCCCTTCGACCGAGATCCGGAAACAATTCGCCTCAATGTACTACATCCTACAACAGCTGCAAGAGAACAGGAACTTATTGCCTGCAATCGAATGGTCGAGGGAAAACCGAGAGGCGCTGGAAGCCCGAGGCAGCAACCTCGAATTCGAGCTCTGTCGACTACAGTATGTATGGCTGTACCATGGCGGAGCGAACGGCCAGGGAACCGCAAGCGGATGGCTAGCTGCGCTCGAGTATGCACGGCAGGAGTTCCATGTCTTTGTGCCTCGATATTTGAGAGAAGTCCAGCAGCTAGTCGGAGCAATGGCGTACTCGCCCAACCTCGGCGGATCACCATATGCGGCTCTCTTCAACAACAGCTCGGCATGGGATGACGTAGCTCACTTCTTCACTCGCGAGTTCTGTTCGTTGCTGGGCCTATCGGCGGACTCGCCACTGTACATCGCTGCTACGGCGGGCGCGATCGCTCTACCGACACTATTGAAGCTACAGACGATTATGAAGTCGAAGCGGACGGAGTGGACATCCGACAACGAGCTTCCGGTGAGAAAGCTGCTACTCTGTGTGCAAATAAACGCTAATATTTGTATTTCCAGGTCGAAATACCCCTCCCTCCCCAATATCTCTTCCACTCCATCTTTGTCTGTCCGGTGTCTAAGGAGCAGGCGACCGATGAGAACCCTCCTATGATGATGCCATGTGGACATGTCATTGCGCAGGAATCGTTGAAACGCCTGGGTAAGGGTAATCGGTTCAAATGCCCGTATTGTCCCAGCGAAAGCCACCCCAAGGAAGCCAGGAAAGTATTCCTATGATGTAGGTCTTCTCTTTCCATCACTTTCTTTTTCTTTCTTTGTCCCCATATCTCTGGGTATTTTCTTCCCATGGCGATAGGACGGGTAACTTCGGGAACACCGGGTCTTGTCAAGGGCGTTTAGCGTCGGCGTTCAGGGGCTCATCTGTTGGGACATTGCAATGCAGGTCCATTTCAAAGCTGTACGGAGCACTTCAATTTATTTCAAACCTGACATTCGAACGTAACCAAGTTCAAAGGTAAACTAACAACCTCACCATTCCAAGGCTGTTGCCGAATGAACGTATCAATTCCAACAAAGACAGAAGATCAGAATTTGCCTCGATGCGAAACAATAATCCACCGCAATCCACAACCATTTCCCAAATAGGAAATCGTAATCTCCTTTGTCTCAATGGCCACGTCTGATTGGCTACATCGAGGCCCGTGACCACGCGCCAATTTGGCGACTCGAAAAAACCCCTTTACGCGGTCGAAACTAGTTGTGACGCGTCTTTCGCTGAGCTCTACCCCTCTACGCAGGCTAATTGGAGCTATCCAGTAGATCATCCGTATACAAACCGTCCCAAGTCCTGTAATCTCCACCCAGTACAATATAAAGTACGATGTGACTTGTCTCCGTAACAAACGGAAGCTTGCAGTCCTCTCTCTGTCTTTTATAAATAGCACCCCATCTGCCCCCCTGAATCCATCCACGGCTGTCTCTATATTCTCCTCAAATCCCATCTCCTATCCATACCATAATATAATAGCAATGCTGTCCAAAAGAACACCAGAGAGTCCAATTCCTGGCCGGTATCGCGCGACAAAGGCTTCGGCTTTCACGCTGCAGTCGCGCAGAATTCCTCGCGAGAGAACAAGAGACCGAGCGCCCAAAGACAAAGAGCGAGATAGCTCTGGCTCTGGCTCCGGCTCTGGCTCGATTGGCAGTAAGACTCGACGAGCCGAGCAGCGTCGAAGATTCGATAAACCCCCAGATGTAACGTAAGTCTTGCCTACAACATGTATCTCCATCTGCATCTCATCATCTACACCAATCCATAAACCCAACCACTAACCCTATCTAGAACACCCCCAACAAGCCCAGTAGTAATGCTCCGCGTGGGTCCCGAAAAGCGCCTCTTCGCCGCCCACGAAGCCGTTCTCCGCACATCCCCCTTCTTCGCCGCGCACTGCAAAGCCCAAACACCCAACCCGAATGCGCCACGGCCCAGACTCGCCCAACAACCACTAAGCAAGCGCATCGACCTCCCAGAAGAGCAAGCCGAAGTCCTCTCCTGCGTCCTCGAGTACCTCTACAAGGGCGACTACTACCCGCGTCTGCGACACAATAGTCGAACGCAGACATGGCAGCTGGAGGACGCCGATGCGGGCGTTGGTGCTGGCGCTAGTGGTGAACTGGGACAGGCGACAGCGACGGTGTTTCACCATCGGGCGCGGGGGGTTATATTGCGGGATACGGCTATTTAGTAAGTGATTCCCCTCTTTTCTTGGTCTTTTACTCGGTTATGAATGTGTGTATACTAACACATGTATGTTTTGTGCAGCTGCGCAGCGGAAAAATACAACCTCCCCCATCTCCAGCGTCTCGCGCTGCGCAAGCAGGGTCTACACACGGGCATCCAGTGTAGCACGATCCTTGCGAGTGCCCGGTTCGCGTATGCCAATACGCCGGATACGGAGTCGAAGCTGCGGGCGCATTATCTTGCACTGATTGTGCGGTCGAGGAGCACGTTTATGCGTAGTGGGACTATGCAGGCGGAGATGGAGCGTGGAGGGAAGTTGTTCTTTGATCTCTTTGTTGCTTTGTGTAATCATATGGTGAGTTTACTGCTCTTGGGTATTGGGGAGGCATGAGGTGCTAATGGTTTGCGATTAGGATGACTATACTGGTCAATCGGTTGAGAGTTCGGCTGTTACGACTCACTGTTAGGGATGTGTGGGATTATGGGATTAGGTGGTATGTTGGTTTGCTTTTGACTATTGCGAGGTTTGTATTCTATATCGCTGCTGGGAGTGTTTTATACCCGTGTACTACTATGTTTCAATATCTACATAATGGAGAGAATGTTTAAAGGTTTACTTCTCGAAGTAATGGATTCGTAAGTTCGTAAAGATAGGGTCTATATAGTCTAGCTAGCCCAATTCTGATTTATCTCATGTATCAGGCAAGCGTAGACTGGATCCATGGATGACACTGTTGAAGCTGGCGCTTCGATCCGAGCAATGACCAAGTATCATGCTACTGGTATGCAATGTGTATCGCGTCAGGCCAAAATTCTTCGGCAGTGGCGTTGCTTGATCAGCCTGGGTATCCTGGTGTGTCGAATGATATGGCTGTATGGATGTAAGTAATAGGCAGATGCATACCTGACGACTATGAAGGTGCTAGCAATCAACGAGGTAGTTGTCGATGGGCATTAGACGAAATGGGGTTCAAACACATTGTAGTGCATTGTATTGCCACCAAGAAGAGTCTTTAGACACCTGTGCCCGGGAAAGCGCTACCTCCCTTGCTCAAAACGATGATGCCTCGATCACGCGCAATGTATCCTTTCATGAGTCCCTGGAGCGGCATGTCAGTAAACACTTACGGATTGACCATTCTTGTCAGCCTACCTTGTAGATGAGGTTGGAGAGTAAACACTCCACTTCATCAATATCGATGCGCGATCGGCCACTCGTAGAAGTACCCACACGGAGAGCTGCCGCAAACTCATTGACGTGGACACGGGTACGTCGAACAGGAGATTGACCCTCCTTAGGTTCGTCAAAACCACCAGCGAGGAAAACTTTGCGGAACAGGTTGCGCAAGGCAATGTCGCGTCCACGCTCTAACGGCAGGTAGATACGTCTCTTGACAAACTCTGCCTCGCCGTCAGACATGGCCTGGTCGAACCCGACCAAGTCACCCTTTCGGATGCAGTTTGACAGAGACCGGAAAAGCTTCTCGAGGCGTGGGAATGGCGCAAGGAGCTCCTTGCTGGGGAGTGTATGTGTGGTCACGAGGTGACAGGGAATAAGGTAGGTCAGAATCAATCTACTAGTGGTTAGTGGAAGCTTGTCTGTGGCTGGAGGGCTACTAACTCGCGATTCTTGATTGCATCTCGATGGCACATCTTCCAAGCCCATGTCAAGTGTTCTTCGGCCTATAGAGCAAATCATTAGTCCCGGTAATAGTCCATGAACACAGATCTTGGTAATACCTCAGTATAATTCTCATCCAAGAAGTGGATGACCCCAACGTAATATTCAAACGTGACAATGTGGGATTTGGGGAAAGCTTCGGGAGGGGGAAGATCGGCCGACGAGGCTTTGATGGCACGGAGCAAGTTTTTGGTAAGGCCGACAGAGTTGATCTAAAGGGGAGAGATTAGCATTGCGCTAGCGACAATGAGGTCGACATTTGGTACCTTGAAATATGTCTTGAATAGGAGATTGGTCATGTTGTAGATCCCCCACTTGCGGGACTCTTCAAGTGGTGCTCTGGGTCTGGTCAGCAATGGAACAACTCATTGAATCAACCACATCCTTACCTATCACTCAGGCACAGAGTGAACATCCGGTTGATGACCCGAGCAGCCTCCTCCAAGTTCGCATTCTTCTCAACATCAGCTGCGATGTCATCCTGGAATCCAAACCCAGCGGAGCCTTGGGAAGCCGCTTCGAGATCGGCATTGATCGCAAAAGTACGCAAGTACTTCCCGACTGTGTACAAGCATGGCAATGTCCAAGCCGGAATACCGGCAGAGCCCGAGTATCCTCTGATAAGGGCGTTGGCGACCTTTTTCCAAGCATTGAAAACCGTAATGACGCTAGCACCAGGGAGGCGATCTTCACACTGAAGTATTTCGCCTATAGCTTCCCAGTAAACAACAAAGATGTCAACCCAGGCAGCCTGTTCGGCCTTTGGTAATTTCAGACTTTTCCCGTGGAAGAGAGCATAGCTGAGATCCTTGGATAGGTATTCGGCATTTGAGAACCGGTAGAATTCACGCAGCCGATTGCGATCTTCGGGCGGCGCGATCGGGGTGAGCACTGCAGCTAATTCCGGGCCGGACCCGTTGAGGTATGCGTTCTTGAACGCGGGTGCGAGAGAAGCCATGGTGAACTGCGCTCTAGCGAGGAAGCGCGTGTATTAAATTGATTGGCAAGTTATCGGTTGAAAAGAAGCATTCGAGGTGGGGTAAGGGTTGAGATCCGACCCGACAAAGACAAACAAGTGAGGAACGCCATACTTTTGGAGAAGACATGTGGGGAAGGAGAGGCGATGTGGCTGGTGACTTGTGGCGGAACGATAGTGGCGCAGTAACATTACTAAATGGGACTAGTGCAGAACGGAATGCCTCCACTCGCTTAGGGCAAGGGCGGCAACCCTAAGCACAATTGGAACCTCACAATTCTCATTTTCCATCGACGGCACACTAACGACTCATCCACCACAGCGACAATCACAGTGAGTACCTACCATTCGATTTTTATCGGAGATTTATACTAACAACAAACTCTTCCAGATGGGTGAGTGATTTCTATTCCCTTCCCGATACCCCAGGACTTTTTTCGAGACAACGGTGCGCGCATATGCTTGGAGGAAATTCGAGACGCAAAGACCCCGACAACATCGACATGAGACAATCACAGAAGAGGAGGACGCAATGGCAAATCGACGTCGCTTGGAATTGTTTATGAAGGAACGCACAACGCTGTCGATAAGGGCTACGCATGGTTGAATCTCGAATTTTTTTTCAATATCCACAAAGTCTTCTCGAATTCTCGCCAATTTGCATCGCGCACCGTTTCATCCCTCGAACTGAACAGCTGGACAATTGGAATATCCACTACAAACAATGACTGACGGATTCCCAGGGCGTCTTACTGAGTACCAGGTCATCGGGCGTCACCTGCCCAACGAGGCGAACCCCACGCCCAAGCTGTACCGCATGCGTATCTTTGCGCCCAACACTGTTGTGGCCAAGTCTCGCTTCTGGTACTTCATGGCCCAGCTCCGTAAGCTCAAGAAGGCCAACGGCGAGATCGTTTCCCTGAACGTGGTATGTTGGGATTGAAATATCCGAAGATATGGAATGGTGCTCATCCTTTTGTGTCTAGATCGAGGAGAAGCGCCCTCTCAAGGTCAAGAACTTCGGTATCTGGATCCGCTACGACTCGCGCTCCGGTACCCACAACATGTACAAGGAGTTCCGTGAGATGAGCCGCACCGACGCTGTTGAGGCCCTCTACCAGGACATGGCTGCCCGTCACCGCTCCCGTTTCGGTTCCATCCACGTATGTTACGCTACTCGAAGCCTTCGATAATGACCATATTCTAATTGTTATTTCCCTGCAGATCCTCAAGGTTGTTGAGATCGAGAACAACGACAGCATCCGCCGCCCCTACATCAAGCAGCTCCTCCAGAAGGACCTCAAGTTCCCCCTGCCCCACCGCGCCGGTGCCAAGGTTGGCAAGAAGGTCTTCGCCTACTCCCGCCCCTCTACCTTTGCTTAAATGTGACGTTCTGGGTGTTGGGTTTGGAGTGTGTGGATGAATGACTGTTTATGGCCATAGCATGCATGAAAGATGGTCGCGTGGAAACCACCGCCCTTCACAGGCGAGATGGTTGGATGTCTCTAGTTCCCCGTATGGTGGCATCTTAGGTTATATTGAAAAAATCATCGGGTTTCTTGAATTATTCGAGTTCCAGTAGGACAATGGGCATACATGGAGAGTAGGGTGATTTGATAAGTGATAAGGCATATCTCTTACCAGAGATATATCAACCTGGAATAATGGGCTGTTGGCCTTCTGATTTCTTTCAAGTCAGCCTATTCACAATGGGTCGTATACATATGTACAGATGTACACAAGGTAGTTGCAAACCCCTACCTGTTGGCCATATATTTCATCGCAAATTACATACATATTGATCCATGGCAAGTATCATATCAAATAGTAATCGATTCTTTCTTCCGCTATACATTACAATTTCAATTCCGACTGAGTTAGTGTCAGATGTCGGAGTTTCTTTAGCCGCAACCGAGACCGAATCTTGATGCCTTGTAGATCAGGCATTAACCAGTTCCGTATCCGTACTCCTGTTCAGCCGTCATTCTAGCTGCATGTGTTTATTTTGGCCTGTCAAGAATAGAGGCTGAGACATCTTGACTATCTTTTACTCAAATAGTCATTACCTCCGGAAGATATTGTTGTATCCTTCGAAATCCTGTCAGGAAGGAGCTGGCTGGGCGTCCGTTTTCGCTTTCGTGATCGCATATGTAATCCGATTTATTCGGGCCTGCGGGATCTTGACCTTCCAACATTTCCAGCTTACCTTCATAAACTCATTCCCCTCAATTCATCGCAATCATGTTTGCTCGTCAATCTTTCCGTTGTGCGCAGCCCTTGAAACAGGTTCGTTGGAATAGGTCCCTGTTTCTGTTTCGAACAATACTAAAATCCACTCAATCAGAGCTTGCGCAATTACTCTGCTGAGGCTGCTCCCAAGAAGTCCAACCTAACCCCTATCTACGTTGGTGTCGGCCTCGCCGGTCTTGGAGCTGGTATTTATCGCTATAGCACCACCGCGGCTGCTGAGCCCAAGGAACGCCCCAAGGTCTTCAACGGCGATGGCTGGGTGGACCTCAAGCTGTCCAGCATTGAAGATCTGAGCCACAACACCAAGCGTCTTCGCTTTGAGTACGATGATAAGGAGGCTGTATCTGGCCTTCCTGTTACCTGTGAGTAATCTGTCTCTCCGAGGATGGTTGTCAATCAATTACTAACAGGCATATAGCTGCTCTCTTGACCCGTTTCAAGCCCGAGGGTGCTGAGAAGAACATCCTCCGCCCCTACACCCCCACCAGTGATGAGGGTAGGATTAACATGGACCCGACTTGGTTTTCATTTGCTAACACATAGCAGATATTCCTGGCTAC